TTTTCACAATTCATTACGGACGAACCATTCGAGCAATACATTCAACGCAAACGGCAAGATGGAGTACATGGGAACAACCCCGAAATTCAAGCCATTAGCGAATTGTTCAACCGACCTATTGAAGTCCTCGTTCCTGAAAATGGGGCAAAGCCGCTCAACATTTTTCATGCCGAATACAAGACACAAGATGCGCCAATCCGACTATCGTATCACGACGGAAATCATTACAACGCCGTCATTGATCCGCTGGTGCCTACAGCTGGATTGGGATTGGGTCTGCCCGGTTTGCAACCCGGTCTCGCCGACAAGATGCAAATGGCGAAGGCCGTTGCAGAATCTGACAAAATGGCCGACCAGACTGAATTTGAGCGGGCCCTGGAAGAGTCCCACAATGATCAATTGCAGCGAGCCATCAAGGAATCGACGCTAACAGAAGACAATGTAAGTTTGTTTCCTGTGAAAGAAAACGATGGAGCACTGACTGATTCATTCTCACTAACGTTTTGTTTTTGTCCTGTTCTGTAGATGTATCAGCACAAGGCCCTTTCCTTGTCAGACTGTGACGCCACAAACTTTGAACTGGAGCAGGCTGTCCTTGAAAGCTCCCTGGAATCGTTTCGAGCGTTCGAACACGGCAGAAAGCAGGCTTCCTCGTCGCCTCCCGCGCATGCGGTTGGAAGGCGAAAGCGGCAAGCAAGTCTTCCACAGCAGAAACGCGCATCTCATAGTGCAACGACTACGGTACGTTTGTGTTGAATGAATGGCTGCTGCCCTCGCGGGCTAGCATGGGACTGTCGTGGCTCATCAAACCCCAATTCCATTACTGTGCATTGCATTATGTAGAGTTCTGTTGCGTCAATGCCCAACGAAGCCCGACAAGACACTGGTGGCAGTTCAGTTCCTCGGGCTGCTTCAGCGGCAGTAGCCTCTACGTCAGTTGCTGCAGCGCCTGCAGTTGCAAGTCGACCTTCTAGCAATGACATCAATGGCGAGACTGTGGCCGGCCCCATGGCGGCAGAGCATTATCCTCAATCGGTGCAGGAACTTGTGATGAATGGATTCGAGCTACGGAAAGTCGTACGCGCTTACGAGCTGGTCGGCGACAACTTTGATGATCTCTTGGGCTTCCTCATGTCCAACACAGCATAATATCGTAATGGATGCTTCTTTATTTCACGGTAGGTTTGCACTAGCTAGCCATTATTACCTCGTTCACCATGCGGTAGCGGTATCCCCAGTAGCTGTGGGAGCTTGTGGGTCCATTGTCCAACCCTACAATGTTCCCAGCCTACGGTATGCTACTGCTGCCAATGTTTCCTTTCTACTAGCTAGCTAGGAACCATAGCCAGCAGGCATCGTTGGTGCTTTCACGGTGTGATACTGCTGCCAATGTTTCCTCTACTAGCTAGGAACCATAGCCAGCAGGCATCGTTGGTGCCTTCACGGTGTGATACTGCTGCCAATGTTTCCTTTCTACTGGCTATAGGAACCATAGCCAGCTGGCAACGTTGGTGCTTTCGTGGCCAAAGAGCAGGAGAGGCAAAATGACAATGCATGGCATGGCCAGCCGCATCGGGGCTGCTGAGTCACGCCAGATGCGAATCCCCAATCGAAAATCCCAGCTCCATCCACATCCAACACTCGACACTTCATCATCATCACCATCGAGCTGCTCAGAAAGACTCTCTCGAAGTGTCCACCTCCATAGCTAGCAGAAGATGATGCGATGTCTTCTTGCGCTTTCTTCTCTGTTGGCCCTGGCTTACAGTTTTGATATTGGTGTCAAGGTGACGGGTGGCCCCTCCAAGCAACCAGCCACACGATGCTACAACTACGAAGAAATTGAACGGGGAGATGTTGTGGTCATTCATTTCAATGTCAGCTATCATGAAACTTCGCCCTCTGGAAATCCAGGAGATTTCATCACCTCAAGCTCAGAACACACAGCGAATGGCGGCCCTTTTGCTGTTCCGGTTGGAGATGTCAATCACAAAGATGGATGGGATTTGGCTTTGTTGGGTTACTGCGAAGGCGACTTTCTGACGTTGACGGTACCTCCCAAATATATTCACGGGGAAATCTTTGAAGGGAAGAATGTACCAGGCGATGCGATACTAGAAATTGACGTTCACGTGGAAGATATCCTTGTGGATGACGGGGAAGGAGAGGAGGAAGAGTGGGACTACATGTACGGTGAAGAAGATTCTGACGAAGATGAGGACTATGATGAAGACATGGAAGAGGAACTGTAGACGAAAAGGGTTGCCCACAACCAATTCATAAACTGTGTCATTAGTATTACTGTAGAATCGAAGAGTTTCTTTAACGAGCTTCATCTTCTTGAAGTGGGTTTACTTGACCTGGTTTGGAAGACAAAACACTCCTAACTAAGTACGCAACAGCTGCTGTGTGATTTTTCAAAAGAGCAAAGAAGCACAGTGGAATCAGTTGAATTTCAACACATCTGACTTCAAAAGCTAGTTCATGCTACTATGTTTTAGCGTCGAGCCTTGCTTGACCAATTGCTCTTCACAATGCCTATGTCCCCAGCGAGCAACAACAGGCTATCCAAGTAAGGCTAAGTGTTGAGACACAAGTGAAGTATTTTAATAGAACCCGATACAGGAGAGGAGCCACGTTGGTGTGCCAACACGGCTCGTGCGTTCTCCGTTTTATTCTTCGCAGTGACCGTGGTTCAAAAGAACGAGTCCGATTGGAATGGCTCCCAAAGCGAAGCAACAAAATGCCAAAGCGCGGTCAAACATCGTCTCAGCCAGTCGATCAACTGTAGGCATGCATTCTTTGGCCGCAACACTGATGTAGATACCAGCAGACATGCTCAGGATCACTCCGATCGCAAAGTTGGAAACATCTGACGCCAAAACGACTATTGCGCCCAACGTCACCGAAAGGCCACTCGCAAAGTTCAGGACCAGAGCCCTGAACGGAGGCAAGTGGGCATGCTCTGTGAGCAAGAAAAAGTCGGATACCTCCTGAGCGAGCTCATGGTAGATTGTACTGGCAAGAATGCTCCATCCCACCGTATTGCCGCAAAGCAAGAACCCAACGCCGATGAAGATGCCATCGGCAAAGTTGTGCAAGGCATCACCCAGAATGATGGCACTTACGAGCCTCCAGTTAACGGGTGGTCGATCTTGCTCGGATAGGACTCCTTCTGCCCCCTTTTTCGAGCCTATATCTACCTTCAATTCTTCTTCCTCTTCGCCGGATTTGTTCCGGTTGTCCGAAGATACAACGTCATCTCGGGCAGAAATTACATCCGCATAGTCGGCTTTGAGGTTGGAACTGCTCTCAATGAACGCATCAACGTCAACAATGTCATGCGCCTCTTCCGATTCCTTACTCACCGAAGGATCGGCTGGAACGAGCATGGGACAACGGAGGTTTTATCAATACAATACAATCCAAAGCTCCTCGTGCCACCATTGTCGTGCAAGCGTCACTACTTACCATCCACAGGGACGTGCGCAGTCTCCATTCCGTGGGAATGATGCGGAAAGAAGGATGCAAGGAACATAGGCAAGAGGAAGCCTGCCAGTACGCACGTTCCAAAGATCCAGGTGCTGTCTCCGTGATCATGTCCCTCGTGACTATCTTCTTGCAGCATCCGATGATCATGTCCGGCATGAGGATCTTCTTCTTCACCTCTAGAATTGACAAGAAACATCGCCTCTGGCACAATCAAGAAAAAAGTTGTAGCCAGGAGCGCACCGCAGGCAAAGGACGTGATACCCATGTCGAAAACACGGCGATTCTCAACGTTTTCCATAATGGGATCAGCGCTGGTCCACAGCCTTTTCGATACCTCCTTGAAACTGTCTCTCCTAAAGGCCGTGCTGAGTGTTGGTACCAAAAAGATGACCCCACTCAGTGTGACAAGGTTGACGAGTAGGGTAGCCCCGATCACTGTTCCCCAGGGTTTGTCCTTGCCCTCCCTGGGGTCGGACGTTGATGCTGTTTTTTGCAAGACCTTTATCGTTTCAGGCCATACTTCGCCCCCCTGTTCGTCTACAAGAAAATGTTGCTCCGCAGCCTCCACTTGGGAAGGATTACCAGGCAAAAACAACACAAAGTGGACTGTGCCGTTGACGGTATCATATTGTTGAGTGATATTGATGGATAAAGCACCGACCGACTCACCCACCAACAACATTTCGTAAGCATTGTCTGTGGATGGTATAATGGTATCTCCATCGCTGACATCCATGATGGCATCCTCGTGCTTGCTCATGTCAGAGACAATACCAATGGCTTGTTCGATTCCATCTTGACCATCTCCAGATACCGGAATCAGAGCCATCAGGAAATGGTACTCTTCGGACTCCTTATGGTCTCCACTTAAGTTCCAAGAAGGAAATCAAGGGGAAAATCGGTGTGTGAGATCCAGCTACTCACAGTGATGCACTGCATTACTTGCCACAAATTCTTACCCGCTGCACTCAAGGTTACCATCATGACAGTGACACATTGATTGCGCCATGGCTTCATCACCACTCGAGCAATGAATCGCTGATCCATCACAGTGGCAAGATGGATCTACCTCCGCACTATGGGCTGTTGCATGATCGTCTTCTTCACCGCTTTGGTTGGGGAGAAAATCGAGGAAAAAATTGGTGTGTGAGACCCAGCTACTCATGGTACGGTCCTGTACACAATGCCACATTTCTTACCCACTGCATTCAAGGTTACCATCATGGCAGTCACAAATTGCTTCAGCCATTGCCTCGTCCCCATTGGAGCAATGAATGGAGGAACCATCACAATGGCAAGAGGGGTCCACTTCCTGGCAGTGCACCTCAGTCACACCATCATGTTCATGGCACTCACAGTACGCCTCCGCCTCACTTGCGGAACAGTGAATTAGGGTTCCATCGCAGTGGCAGCCATTGGGGTCGTCCCCAGCCAGTAAACGGTGGAAGGAAGTAGCTTCAGCATGGGACGAATGGACGCGTCCGTCATTCTGGAGCCGTCGGAAATGATTGTGCCCTGCATGGCTGTCGCCTTCCTCTGGTACCTTAACAGCAAGGGAGTATACCTGTGGTTCTAGGTGGAAGATTCCAGCCCACTGGAAGGAGGCAGCAAGCTGCTCTTGAGAGTCATCAAGGTGATCATGCTCATGGTCATCATGTAGGTCTTCGGATTCCTGCAAGTTTCGCTGCCGTGAATATCCTTGGGTATCAATACTACTAAGGAAGCTACCGATGCTTCTGCCTCCTCCCTCCAATACTGAAGTACTGGTAACATGTGAGAGAAAAAGCACTGATAAAAACAGCTGTAAGAGCGCTAATGCCATTCTCGTCATCTTTTCCTTTGTTCGGACTTGGAACTTTGTCGGCGGTAGCAAACTAAGCTTGTGGCTGTGCAGCCAACGAAATTTCTATGGAGTATGAATAATAAGAGAATACGTGACCTTGCAAACGTTAGAGCAATCCCGTTGGGCCCATCCAATGCGCTGTTGCCGCAATTTTTCTGGACGAATGAATCACAATTAAAACATTTATATCATTTAAATATATTTTTAACATTAAATCTTACTGGATTTTCCGCCAGTGCGTGCTGTGCAGTGTAGGCGTTCGCAAGGCTCTTTCCGGAACTTTCTGGATGTTTCAAGAACAAAATCCAGCAGAGCGGGAAAACGCGCTTATAAATTTCGAAAGTACAGCTTAGATGGGCGATCACTTGCTCCGTGAATGTTACGGCCACCGGTATGACGGGCCAGACAGAACGCCCTCCGTGCGGGAGTGGGAGAACATCATTTGCAAAGGTCTTGTTTTGCATGCTCTTGTTGACTTCGCAATCAGATGATTTAGGTGTCAGCACTGATTCCTTGCCCGATTCTGCCTGGTACCTGGTACTCTAAAGAATTTTGAAGTAACAGAAGATTCCGTCCCTGATCAATCCTATCTTACAAGGAGCTCGAGCGGTGATTAGAGGTACTGAAACGCTCAATCTTGCATGCTCGATCCCTTGTCTGAAGCTACCGCAGTCTCTGGTAAGGATCGCCTATCTTTAGTATTGGCACAAGGCTGTGGAGTGATAGCTTTGGCCCCATCACTGGACGGCTCGGGTACGGTACACACTGTAGCTATTTCGAGAACCAAAGTCCACTTCCGCAAGTTGTGCGGTCGAGTTTTTGAACAGAGTTCTGAGTGTTTTGACAGCTCTGCCATTTTGACGAAATTTTCAAGCCACGTCAGCAATTTTTAATTCTTAAGACGTCATCGCGTACCGGTACTGTACCGGTACTCAAAGCTTAAACGAAAACCACCATCCGAGGTCGGTTTTACAAAGAGCTTACGGTGCTTAGCTGGCTTTCCTCCGGGTATGGTTGGTTGAGAATTCGCAGTTCGCAGCATCGGCACTTTGAGGTTGGTTTTCTTCTATCTCACCCTTGCTACCAGTCGAGTCCACTGTACGGACAAGGGTCTCCCAAAGACCCACAAAGCTTGCAGTCCTCTGGCCAAACCACTCCTTTCTTTCTCACAAATCAAATCAGTTTGGAGCTCATTCTAAAGGAAGATAGAAAGGCGGAAATATGAGTGAAGGTAGGTGATATTGGTAGCCACCAATGCTACATGTCTTGTGTGGTATTATGCATGCGAGAATCGAATCTGCCAATGGGTATCTTCTGGTCGGATGTACCAATAGGGATTCACTCCCTTTCTTGCTTTCTCACATGAATGATTCTACTCCTTTGTGATACTTGACAGTTTCCCTCGCGTCAGGGCTCATGGAGTTTGCTCCAGGAGCTATTGGCGGTACGTCTTTTTGTGTTATCTCACTCCTTCATTTATTCATTGGCATTTTCTCATGCCTGATCGCCCGTTTGGTTTTCCCACACGAACACGACAACAATAATTTGTTTGAACAACAGGCTTCTGCAACGTATTTGTGGGTCATCCCATGGACCTGATCAAAGTACGCCAGCAATCGGTCCCTATGGGAGGTGGTGGCGGTGCAAGCGTCTCACGTACAGCCGTGGCGGCTGCGTTGGCCTCCAACACCTCGACTTCCGCCATGTTTCGAAACATAATTGCTCAGGAAGGCATGAGTGGTCTATACCGAGGATTGTCATCTCCACTCATTGCCGTCACTCCGGCCTTTGCTGTGAACTTTTGGAGTTTCGATGTGGCCAAGAACTTTATAATAAAGCAACAACAACAGAACGCCAATTCCAATGAAGAAGTTCCAGTTCAACTCTCCATTGCTCAAATCTCCCTGGCAGGTGCCTTTTCGGGAATCTGCTTGGGTGGTGTTATTGGACCCAGTGAGCGGATCAAGTGCCTTATGCAAGTCGACAAACAACGCTACAGTGGTTTCTTCGATTGTGCTAGACAGGTATACAAGGAAGGTGGACTCGCCAGTGTCTTTCGGGGCACTGGATCCGCCATTCTACGAGACGTCCCAGGCAATGCTGCTTACTTTGGAGCCTACGAATTGTTCAAGCGACAACTCTGCGTCTGGGAAGAACGAGACACTCCCTCCACTCGGGCCATTCTCCTTGCCGGTGGCATGTCTGGGGTGGCCAATTGGATTGTCGCCATTCCCTTTGACACCATCAAAAGCAGAATCCAGACCGCCCCAGCTGGACGATACCGAAACTATGTTGATGTCCTTCGTCAAACCATTCAGCAAGAAGGATTTCAAGCACTGTTTCGAGGTCTTACACCTGCTCTCCTGAGAGCCTTTCCCGCCAATGCGGCGTGTCTCTTGGGAGTCGAATCCGCACGAACCTTCTTTGCTTCCATTAGATAACACGGCTTACAGTTGGTTTGACAAGTTGTTGTTGTGAATAGCGATTGACAAAGGCGCTCATGCAGTCAGTCCATTGGGACGTGTATGTGTTCAACGAGCATGAAGGAATAGAGCAAAGTATCTATACTACATGTACAATACAAGTAGCTGCAAAGTGTAAGATATATAACATTGTAGCATTCAAAGAAAGAGATTGTTGAGTGAGGTACTGCAACGGTTGAAGTCGCGTGGTGTAGAAGGCAGAGTGCTTGTACCGGTAGCTGGGAAGCACGATGGCATCTATCAGCCCCCGCTACTTTGGCTTTGGAAGGATGTCCCTGTATCTTGATGGGCTACTGCTGCAGTATAAGATAGTGACACGAAGATGCGACGACGTGTGTGGTTGCATTACAAACAACACTCAATGCATTGATCCACGACCAGTGCCCTTAGGTCTTGAAAATACCAGGCCTTCGGTCAAGAGTTGGCCTCGAACACATAGAGTTGCCTCAAGTGTTTTTTAAAAGTATATCATCAGTTTCCTTTCCATCTAGCTACTTGCAATGCTTTGTTTGGATCTGGATAGCACCAGGAAACCGCAACGTCTGTTGCGGTGTAGTACACCCAACACACGATGCATTGCTCCTTCGACATTTGCTTGTTGGAGGTTGTCCACCCAACAAAGCTCGGCTGACCAAACTGTATTCAAGGAAGCACAAGCTCATTATAGGTCCATGGGGAGCTGCCCGGGTCAATCAATTGCATGGACAGCATGGGAACTGCAATAGGGCAACGGTTGTTGGATTGAATCATTAGCTATCGCTTAGCTACCAGCCAGTAAATGCATAGCTGTTGGTTGGCGTAAGGCTGATGTTGCTTGGCTGCAACCCATGATGGGCAGCTGGTGGAAGATGGTTTATTCCCACGCAATCGATTATCTGTGTACTGTATGTGATCAAGACTCCTCGGCTTGGTACGTTGGCGCATGAACGGTGTTGGAAATGCATTTGCAACTCTTGCCAAGAGAAAGCAAAATTTTTACAGTGCTGACACACTGAAACCGTGCACAAAGACAATTGATCGCTCGAGGGGCCGCCATTAGATTGTTCCAGCTCTTTGGCTAGCTAGCTAGTGGCAACGATAGTTACCAGGTTGGGTAACAGGGAGCTTGGATTGCCATGAAGTGTCCGTTTATGCCTGCAACAGAAACAAAACACACCCAAAACTAGCTCGTTCCGTAATGAGGTTTGGCTGGCTACCTCTTCTCACGTCTCACGTCACTGAAAATAAGAAGTGGTGGAGGGAAAAACGCGAGACAAAAAAATTCTGCAAAAGTTTTTGCTCCCAAGAGCACCAACGGCCTTTTCTTGGCGGGCGGTGTCGTTGAAAGCAGTCTTCTTTTCGTCGAGAGTATCCACTTTTCTTATGATTGGCAATGCTGAGTAGTCGAGGCTTTCAAGTTGGTTGTGAAGTAAGACCATCCCGAGAGCGACGGTATCGGTAGAGGGGAACAGGCCGCAGACAATACCTCATTAGGAGACCGTCGTATACAACAAGACTGGCACCAGGCTGTCATCAGTTGTTTTGTCCATGCTTCGATCAATTATATCTCCCGAGTTGGAGCTCTTTCGACTTTGCCGATGCAGGAATTGGGTAGCAGTACGGCAGAGGGCAGAGTCCCATCCTGTGGAAGCCACTCCATCAGAATCAGCACTACAGGGCCACTGTCCGACGGCACTCTCCCTGGCTGCTCGTTTGGGGGCACCGAGGGAAGCCATCAAGGCGCTTCTAGGGGCAAGCTTTGAGCAAATAGAGGTCGTCCACCGGGGGAGCACACTCTTAATAGAAGCTCTGCGACATCGTGCGTCGGGTGAAGTGCTTGATACCCTCTTGCAAGCAGTTCTACACCATCGCGCTACGTCGCGGAGCAATATCGATATCCTTGGCCTCAGAGATGAATTGTTGGGTCGAACCGCCCTTCATTACATGGTGGAACGAGCGAAACACGCGTTTGAATCAGGGACTGTAAACCCCAGCAATTGGAAGCTATTCCAGGCCATGCTGCACGCACGGCCAGAGTCAGTCCATGCACTCGACAGTGACGGCAACACCCCCTTGGTGCTCTTGCTACTGCTGCCCAGGGTGCAATTTGTAGGTTATGAGTTTGCCATCGAAGAAGAAATCTTTCGGATGGTTCACTCAATGGTGTCTGCATCTCCGTGGGTAGCTTCCATGTCAAGGCTTCTACCCGAACCGTGGCACGATGCCAGACACGCCCACAGCGGCATGGACGGATCGCCAACTCCCTTGTACTTGGCAATCTTGCACGGAAGGTCAGTTGGTGTGGTGGATTCGTTGATCAATGCAAACAGAAAGGTGGGAATCGACGCTTGTGCAGCAAGAATCAGCCAGTACAACGAGGTACCGCTGCACACTGCGATAAGCACCCAAGCTTCCCTCGCAGTAGTCACCAGACTGCTCGAGGAATCGCCGTCTCAAGTGCTGGAAACTGACTCTGGTGGCTTGAGTCCGGTGGATTGGATCTGGATCCGCCATGTCGTCGATTGGAAAACAGAGAGTACTCCAGCAATGTTGGTTTCAAGGGGTCGGTACATTGGAAGCCAGTTTGGGGACTGGCACGGGGAGGTGTCCAGAAGTATTATCCAGGAACACAACTATGCGGATGTGCCTCAGCCCCAGCGTCCTGCTCTGAAGGAAGTCACGAAGAACCTGTTGCGTCTGATGGAAGCACTACTTCCGGTTGCGGCAGGCAACACCAGTGACACCACTTTTCAGAATTGGTCACTGCTAAATGCTGCATGCGCGATGCCGTGTCCTCTGGCAATGGTCAGTCTAGCACTGGATCAATCAGGTCCAAATGCATTGCGCACATCAGATGTTGCATACCAGAGGCTCCCATTGCATTGGGCGGCTTCACGCCTGGGGTTCGCTGGGAACTATCCCCTTGGCTACACTAGACACCTACAGCGGTTGGTGGAGCCCACGGCTGTTCCATTGCTGGTCGTTCGATATGCACCAGCCTGTGCTATCCCAGACGGTCATGGGCAGCTGCCAGTTCATATTGTAATTGATTCTGCCAGACGGTATCGGGCGGCTGCACACGCTTACGGGTCGCAAAATGGGCAGACATTGACGACCCAAGAAGTCGATGCAATGGAAGATGAGGCGTTGAACGTTCTGGTAGGGACATATCCTGATTCACTTGAGCAGCGGGACGGGAGGAGCCGTCTGTTCCCCTTTCAGCAAGCCGCGGTTGGCCCAGGAGCCCGATTGAACACAGTCTACTGTCTCCTCCGACTTCTCCCAAGTCTGCTGAACGGTGAGATCGACAGGGATACAATGGTGATGTAGAAGTGGCCTCCCACTCCTCAGGGAGCTGCCTAGATGAATTTGATATCAGTACCCCATATTACTTCTCTTCCAATTGTTATGTGTTATTCATTCTAGACTAGCTAGAGATGTCTCGTACTCAGCCCACCCATCAGCTGCAAGTGAGAAAAGGAGACTCTTCCTATGAAGTAGTATCGCCTTCTAGAGCATCAAGAACTGGGCGAAACTTGCTGTTCGAAGTGGTGCGTTGATGGAATTCCGCGAACTTGCGTGCATTCATGGCCCCATCCAATCGACTGAGCGCCAACATGGCTCTCAAAGAGCTCTTGATCCAGTCATTCAATCGCTCCAACTCTGTGCCTGTCTTCTGCCCGGCCTTCTTGTGAATAGTCTTCTCCAAAGGTTCCACGAAAGTCTCAATGGCAGCAACCAGGTACGTAGGCTGCCGCAAACACATGGAGATCAAAATGTGGTGAGCGTGGAGCTGAATGTCTTCGACATCACCCAACGATTTGGCCAGCACAGGCATGAAAGCCGCAATGTCCATGCTTGCCGGCAACTTCTCCAAGCAGGTAGCAAAGATGCTGAGAGCGGCCTTTCGAAGCGGCAAGGCGTCGTCCACCGTGTGCTTGAAGGGACCGAGATCCACGATGCGTTCCAATTTCAACTCTGCAACATCGTAAAGCGATGGCATGATTTCGTCCTTCATGAGCCCGGACACCACCTGAGGCATGTGGTGGACAGCCGAGTATGTCATGAGGAGGGCAGCATTGCGGACATGGAGTTCCTTCTGCTGCAACAATTTCAAGTATCCAGGCATGTACTTCGCCAGCTCGGTTGAATCGACCTTTCCAGCAATGGCGAGTTTCAAAGAAGTTGCTACAGTCCAACATACGAGCGAGTTCTCCTTGGATTTGGTATCGTCGCTAGGAACGACACCGCCAGGGGCATTGATCTCCATGTGCGCAGATTGGATCTCTGACAGCTTCTTGAGCATAGTGTCAGGCTGCATACAAGTCAAGGAGCCAAGGCACTCGGCAACCATCGTCCGAACACCTTCCTCTTCCTCTTTGCAGTGTGCTTCCAAGTGCGGCAAGACGACAGGCAGACTCGGGGCAATGCCATCCCCTCCCGATTGATGAAAGCTGCACTTGATGTATTCACGTAGCGCAGACAACAGCAAATACTGCTTCTTTTGGTTCTTCTCGTCCATTGTATTGACAATGACGGGTAGGAAAACTGACTGAGAACCAACGGAGGCGCGGCCCAAAGAAAATGCAGCTGCATGCTTCAGATCCTCTGAAGACGACAAGAAATACTCCATGTAGATCTTTTGAAGCCGCTCTGCCACTCCTCCGCTGAGCGTACTCAAATCAACCATGCGTCCCAAATCCCCAGAGACAAGCAGGGCCAACTGAACACGTCGAAGTTCAGCGCTGGTGTCAGGAGTTTCTGCCTTGTCCAACAAAACGAGGGTTTCATCAACCACACCTTGGCGATTCTCGGGGGTGGTGGTGGCAGTAATGATGGCGATGCACTTGGCCAGATTGTAAATCGCATGCTTTCCAATTTTCTCTTCCTTGAGACGTTCTCGTAGCATGACCAACAGGTCCGAAAACTCCACGGCGTTGCTCAGGACAATCTGCTCCAAGAGCGCCAAGAGAGAATCGAGCGCAAGATCCTGCAACAGAGGGGACGTAGAAAGAACCAACGAGTTTGGCAACACATGAGCCTTCACTGCTGGACCACATGCTGGACACTCTTTCAGAACAGAAATGGCTGCGCGTCTGTGGCCAGGGAGAGACAAATGAATGAGCAAGCAGAGTCAGGACACATTTCATTTCAAACAAAGCGGAACCATGGCACCAAATAAATGAAACCAAATCACGTACAAGCTCAAGTGACTAAGATGAAGGTCGCTGTCAACGACCAGAGGAGCAAGCTCTTGCAAAACCATGGCATACAACTCCCCGTTTGCCAATTCGGCATAGGCAGAACCGTGATTGGTCACAATCGTATCCAAAGCTTCCAATGACGATTGCTTCAAGGATCGAGACTGAAGCTTAAGGAAGGATGCCATGGTTGAGATGGAATCCACCAAAATGGGGGACAAGTCGATCTTTCCTTGTCGGTCCACGTCCATGGCGTCTTCTTCGCCGACACCAGGGGATCCAGAAGAAGCGGCAATCGCGGAGATTGTCTTAATCGCAGCAATGCGAGTGGTTTCGTTCTTGAGTCGCTCCAAGAGCAACTGCAATAATCGATCTTTTTGCTCGACCTTCAAGCTGGAATGCAACGAAGACAACAGCGAGGCACAGGCTTTGAGGGCGCACTCCTTGATCTCTTGATCTACGTCGTGTGCAGACAACAAGGGTTCGATAGCAACGTAAAGGTGACTCGCCACCTTCTCTTTCTCCTTTGTTTGACTGGCTTCATCATCTTGATCAGTCCAGCCAACGATAAAGAATCGAGGAACTGCCGCCAAAGCACGAAGCGCCTCCGCGATGACTTTGTACCATTGTTCTTTGACCGCTTCGCAGAGCTCCGGTAAAAGTGACTGTCGCAACCCCTGCTGGATATGAACAGGATCGTGATTGCCACTGACCAACATGGCTCGCACCAGTGAGAGGGCATCCAATCGCAACGCTTTACTGGTTCCTTCTCGGTGCAGAGCTTGATCACCATTGGTGGCCAAGAACGTTTGGACATGCTGGAACACCGAGGCCACTTCGCTGCCGCCACCGACACCTCCAGGCGCAGTGCAGAGCGTTGATAGGAGCATCAACGCATTTGATTTGGATCGTTCCCCTCCTTTCTTGACACTGAGCAATTTTTCGCATGCCTTGACGAGCTGAGGCGCATACTGATTGCGCAAATCAATAGTGGTGCTTGCACTGTTCGCGGTAGTGTCCATGGCATTGGGATCCGCAAAGGCAATTACTCCAGAATGAGCTGCTGCGACTGTCACATCTAGCAGTCGAGTGAAACAATCAATGACGCCGACCCGGCAATTTTCTTCCCGCTCCTTGAATCGGTTGACGAGAGCAGTAGCGACAATAGAAGATTTGCTCTTTCGGACGGGATAGCTTTTGGACCAAAGGGTGGAGGGATCATGCTTCTTGGCTTCGACAACCGCCTTCAATGCCCGAATAGCCGATCGTCGGACCTTCCAGGATTCATCATCATCATCTTCGTCCTCTTCATCGTCGTCTTCTTCGAATTCATCGTCATCGTCGTCCTCAAAGGCATCCTCTTCGTCCTCCTCGCCAATATTGTTGTCGCCATCGTCGTCATCTCCGTAAGAGTAATTAGGGTCATAAGACATGAATGCCAACGAGGCTTGCACAATGTTATCCAAATGCGGCTCCACTTCGGTTGGACAACGCAAAACGAACGACTCGAACCCCATGAAACAGGACTCCCGTAGTTCATTTTTCAACGCCATGGCGGTTTCATCTTCCGAGTCTTGTGACATGGCCGGATCTTCCATGGCGGCATCATCGTCACCACCATTGGCGCCTTCTCCGTCATCGTCGTCGTCTCCTGTGGCGGCATCCTCTGGATTTGTGAATTTCAAGAAAATGGGCAAGATGCGATCAATTTGTCCTTGTCCCAATCGATGTCCCACGGCTCCCGACACTGTGCACATGGTTCGAATCAATGCTCGCGTGTCGATGACTTCCTTTCCAGACGATGGCTGCTGTTCGGCTCGATCAATTTGTCCCAACAATGCCTGTACCATGCGGGTGAGGAGTGCATCGCTCAAGACGACACTCAAACATCCAATAGTGTTGCCGGCTCGTTTTCGGACGACGGGACTTTCTGCGCCGAGCTGAGTCAAGCACATTTGCAAGATGGGTTCATGTTGTCGTGTGACACTGAGCGCCGTGGCTCCAAAGCGTCCCAGTAAATCCGTCAGAATATCCAGACACGCCAGGACAATTTCTTGATTGTCCGAAGTGCGAATTCCTTCCAAGAGACGTCCCACCAGACGTTTACTAACTTCATGACCCATGGATTGAGGAATGGTCTTGACCAGAGTTCGTAATCCAATGGCATAGACATCACGCAATTCGCTCTTGCTGGCATCGAGCACTTGATCGGCCAAACTGTCGGCAATTTCCAGCACTTGCTCTTGTCCTACCGTCGTCAAGAGAACCCCCAACGTCTTGACGGCAATGGCTTGGACATCGTTCGATTTGTCATGCAACAATCGCAAGACGGCCGTGCAAATGCGACGCTCCGTGGAAGAATCCAAACTCCCGACGGAAGAACTGCCGCCTGTGTCGCGAGAAGCATGACGCTTCAAGACTTCGCACAAATCAGATGTCGCCATATATCGCTCATCTTTGTCATAGTGTTCTGTCTTTTTCAACAGAGCGTTGATGTTGCTGTTGCTGCTCGACATGTTTCCAACAACACTTGTCTCGAATTTCCAAAATATATAAATCAACGAGGCACGAACGAGTCAACGGCACGTCTCCTTTTCTTTTCTCTCAATCTCTCGCAGTTGGTAATCCAAACGAAAAAAGACGGCTCCAACAGATAGAACGGTCTTGTTGCTCTGAAGATGTATCAAATAAATCACTCTACTCTATAGCTAGCTTGCCTTGGCGCCAACACAGCACAATTGCCTCTCAAACAATGCCAAAGGACCAAAAAACTGTTTTGTGATCTGTGTCCGTCGCTGCCGCCTGTTTGGATCTTTTGCTTGTCTTCGGATGGCGCCTTGCTGAAAGGAGAAAGCACGCGCACTTTCTCCTTCAAAACTCGACTCAATTCATGACTCACTGGACACAAACCAACATGGGGTTTTAGCTAGACTGACCACCATTGTGCTGGCAAGATGCTGAAGGAGGGACCTTATATGTCATAGGGTGACCAACAACAGACCAACTGACAATTACAATCGCCAGTGCGTGGCATCCCATGGATACATGATTGTTCCACTCTGCAACTCTCTTTTGCATCCCGTTGGGCCAAAACCTGTCTTCAATAGCATGCTTCCTGGTTCCGCACCTCCAATGGCTATGTGTGATCTGCCACATGGTACCAGGTTTGGTTAGACAGCCAGACAGCTAGAGAAACTCAAGCCTTCCTGAGAGAGAGCATCATGAATGGACAGGGCACTTTGCTTTCTTCCCAAGGATTTGGTTGCATGGAGCTACCGTAGCTGGCTTGCTACCCAACAGGGAAGCTTCTAAGCATACCCAAGCTAGACAGAGCAAAATAATAAGCCTGTTTGCAACTCTGTGTTGTCAGTAATAGCAAAAGGTTGACGACAACGGCAGGACTCGAACCTACGCGGAGAAACTCCAGTAGATTTCGAATCTACCGCCTTAACCACTCGGCCACGTTGTCTTCTCTGCCATGGTCCAAAGTAAAATAACCTAAATAGTCAACAAAAGAAGATTCACGATTTGGAAGTGGTGGCAAGATCAACGCGGCGTCCCAGCATTTCGCATGATCACCCACACACCAACAACCTGGATCATCCTCGATCTCCATCTGACTTCTCTCACCATGAACACCAGCAATGCCTTTCGTTCCCATTTGATGCAGCAATTTGCATCAGCTGCTCGCAGCCAGTCTCGTCCTCCCCTGGCTCTGATACCATGGATAAGGGTAGCCGAAGAAGGAGACCACAACAGCCATCGGCGTCAGCGACCTGGTACCAGTAATGCCAGCGGACGGAGATCCATATCCACTCGTCCTGGGCGCACTGGCAGTAGTAATAGCTCTTGGTCCTCGCCATCCACTGAAACTGCAAGAAGGCCAACACTGGCCCGACCCAGTGCTCTTTCGTCGTTGTCACTGTCATCACTAGCAGACGAGGAGGAAGAATCTCACCACGATCGCATCCAAAATACCCCCACTATCACAACAACCATCGCCTCTGGGGATCCTCCCACAAGCAATGACGAACTCAATTCGCACGAAAATAATGGAGCTACACTTGCTCATCATTTCCAAACCCTGATACAAACGAGACGGACCACCAGCCATTTTGGCGGGCCAGCCAACAACCCCGAAAATGATCCTTTGGCACCAAGATTTTGGATCGACGCCTTGGACAGAGCTGTGGAGTGTGGACGGAGGGCTCCCAATCATAAACGAACAGAACGATTTTCCTTTAAGCGCATGATTGCGCCATCACCCGCCACGGAGCGTTTGGCCGAGATTGCCTACCATGTGACCCTTCAAAAGCCATCGGCAACCGAGCAAACGGCAGAAAAGAAACAAGCCAAATGGAGCAGCATACCCGCCTTTTTGGTCGCCACGGTACAATCAGAGTCACAGCTACACCCTGATAACGACAATACCGTTGGCATGTACCAGGCACTTCCATTTGTACCACCTCAAACAGAACGAGAAATGGAAGATGTAAGTTGCCACACCCGAAAGGTATCTGCACCTCTACAGAGTCTCACCAGCAATATTGTTTTTCTGTTCCTTCAGTATGCCGCTGCTTGTGCTGCAGTCCAGAATGTATTGCTCAGTTTGCATGCTGAGAACATTGCCTCCAAGTGGGCAACAGGGCCTGTGATACAGTCACCAGCCTTTCGGGAACTGGTAGGGGCCACTGCCAATGATCGCATTGTAGCACTCGTTATGATTGGATTGCCCAAGCTACCAGGTGGCGGCAGTAGTCCTCCTCGACCGCGACGGTTTCGGCGGGATTGGCAGGACTTCCTGCAAGATGTGTAGCATGCACTCCATTGAAGCTAAGCTGAGGGTGACCGACCACGCCGTCTCGTGGAGAACTGACCTGGCAGAAACAGCTACGGACGGTACACTGTAGTGTTGCTATCCTTGTACGGTAGTAACTTTTCAGTTGAGACTTCACGCCCCTAATTTGCACCGCATGCATTTGCAACTGCTCTTTTGTAACTTGCACTACTGCTCTTTTGTAACTTGCACTACATGTCTGATAGCGGCACAGACTGGTGGAACTTTGATCAGATCAGAAACTACTCTACTAGCTAGTTCGTTATCAGTTTCTACTGTATGGGTTTATGGGTTGTGAGCAATAGCTACGCTCCAAATTAGCTGGTCTCTCGCTGCATCTTCAAGCTTCGAACAGTGTACTGCTATCGTCTTCTTCCTGGTTCACGAAACCGGATTGATTGTTCTGATTGGGATACTGAAACTTATGTTGGTGGCGGCGCATCTTGTCCAAGGGGTCGTTGCGTTGGTTGAAGTCTGATACAAAGCCGTTGATCGGGCGCCTCTGTGCTTGCAATCGGCGGTCTCTCTGGATGCTCAGCATCATGTTCTGGTACTCTTGAAGGTTCTGTTCTTCTCTCTTGCGAAGTTGGCGGCTGAGCTTCTGCTTCTTCTGGTTCAATCCTCCGGTGCCATTGTGGTAGTAACGATTAAGCAACTTGTTGCCTTGGATCATCCATTCCGAAGCAGCCGTGCTACCCGTTACGTCGGAAACAGCCGCGTCGCCAAGGGCATGGATGTCGTGTGGAACGCCGCGAGCTGAGTCTCGGTTGGAAGAAATCGATTTGGACACCGATTTCGACACAGATTGAGATGCACGGGTGTCGTTGTCTCCTGCTTGAAACAACATGGAACCGAAAATTGACGTTGGTGGGATTCCAGTAGGCGGGCGGCCACCATTGGACGATGTCGAGGCCTTGTTGAAAAAGTCAGCGTCGTTCATAATGCTTGTGGAAGCCGTAGACATTGAAAGCGACGACGACGAGTGCATCATTTGAGAAGGAAAGCTTCCACGGATGCCCCTAGGCGATGACTCCACGAATGTGCTGACGGATGTGGCTGTGCTATCGGAATCTGCGGAATCGATTGTAGACGCGAAAGAACCCTTCTTGTTGATGGAGCCATCATCGACGCTATCTACCTTGTCGATGAATAGATGCATCGAGTCTGGACTCATCATCGGCACCGCCCCGAGTTGAGAGGAAGTTGCCTCCTTACCCCATTTATTCAGCTGCTGTTGTCTGCTTGTTTCTTGCTCTTGCCGACGAGTAGCTAAATCGGACGTTTTGACTCGTTGATGAGGATCCCTCTGTTTTCGTGTTGACCGATCATTTTCATACTCAAAGCGAAAACTAACATCACGATGAGCCTCTTTGTTTTTGGGGGGAATTGTGAAGCCCGGAGCTGTTTGCCACTGTGACTTTACACCGTCTTCATAAGGCGCAGCCTTCACATCTGTTGTGATCCTTATTCGTCCATATGGCTCCATGTCATTCGATGGGATCTTCATCAAAGGGCTGCATATCTTCTTTTCGAACTTTACCTTTTTGCTGCGAAAGATATCCTTGCTGTCAAAGACGGCTGGGCCAGTATTCTCGTTTTCTTTGAAAGGGCTTGGAGCTTCGTCAGTATTCTGGAAGTCTGCCACTTCTGCCTTTGGCTGATTCTGCGACCATCTGACGACGTTGTTGCGTTGAGTATCATCTTTCGGGGAGACCGATCCTCCTTCTGCCCTGATCCTAACGTTTCTCTGTCGAAATAGAGCTTTGGTATCGTTGATAAGGGCTTGCGACTTTTCGATAAGCCTTTGCGACTCGGCATAAGCAGCCTTACTGCTATCAACTTCTTCTTGATTGAAATCGCCACCGGTGGTACTGGTATGGGACTCGTCTTGAACCGGCGCGAAACCGTCCACTGCACCCTTCTTGCCAGCTTCACGACCGTGCTTCACCAGCTCAAAATGCGTCGGCAAGTCCTGCTTTTTCTCGGATACAATCACCTGTGGCTCAGGCAGAACCTGAGGGTCGGCAACGGCCCAACCAAAGTCACCGAACGAGGCTTGTCCAGTCGAGGAGGGCGTTTCGGAAGAAAAGCCAACAAATGCATCAGACTCCACTACACTAGTGGGACCCTCCGAGGCGAGGAACTTGGGCCTCGGAAAATCTTCATCAGAAGCCTTGCGGTCCCCACTGATGTTTTCTGGCAACTTTGCGTGACCTGATCGCTCAGCTGGCAGTTTCTTTGGTTGGACTTGAGGGGGCGCATCAGAAGCCTTGCGGTCCCGACTGATGTTTTCTGGAAACTTTGCGCGACCTGATTGCTGAGCTGGCAGTTTCTTTGGTTGGACTTGAGGGGACGCATCAGAAGCCTTGCGGTTCCCACTGTTGTTTTCTGGAAACTTTGCGCGACCTGATTGCTCAACTGGCCGTTTCTTTGGTTGGACTTGAGGGGACGCACCTCCATGGGTAAACAAGCTTCGGGCGGTACCGGTAGAGGTGCGTGGCGCGCTGAGCTTGGGAATTTTCGATGGCCTTTTATCAGAAGGGGTGTTGACGACGTTGCTGTCATTGTCGCTGTCATTACGACTAGGCGTTCCTTGCGGGAGCACCGGATTTCTCTTGCTCAAAGAACTTGTCGTCGTAGAGCTTTGCAACAGAGGAAATGCCGCAGGATCATTACTACTCACCTTCATATCTTCCACAGTTGGACGTTGGGCTCCCGAGTTAGAAGCAACAGAGCTACAGACACTCGACTCAGAAGAGCATGATTTGCTCAGGGATGCGGTATCTGCAGCAAACTGGAAAATCTTCAATGTCCCACCAGTGCCCTGATTCTTCTTCCTTTTGCCTTTCACCTTTTTTTCGCTGGCCTTAATTGCATCTTCCAGAGTCATTGCATTTTTGATCTCTACCATTTCACCTTTTTGGGGACCCTCCTGAAAGAATTGGTTTTCTCGCTCTCTTTGAACGTGCAAGAAATCCTTGGGTGGCTGGTAGTTTTCTGGTTGGTTGACGTCGCCATAGTCCCACTCCACGAGGCGATGAAAACGCTGCTTGCGTCGACTAGGAGTGTTCTTCTTTTTCGGTGTATTGTTTCTTGAGTTGCTATTTGCATTCTTACGCTTCAGATCAGCTCCTGCGTCATTGTCAAGATCCGAGTCGTTTTCTTCGACAATGTTGCTGAGCCTCCTGCTCATAGCAAAGGGCTGGAACACATTCCTAGTTTCAGCTCGGTTAGCTGCCTTCTTTTTGTTGCTAAACAGGCCCATGGTTAGAATGTTAAGAGTTTATTTCAAGAGATTGAACGAACGATGCTTTCGGCAGTAATGCAAAGTGTGGTTTTGGAAGGGACGTTTGCGAAAAAGTGGAAGAACCGGTCGCCAAATTTGCGAGAATTCTTTGAAACAATTTGTGAGTGGGTGAACCTCAAAGCTGACCTGCTAACGTCCCAGAATACAGTAATTAGCCAATCCAACGCATATTGGCATGCACGCGTCACCGCACTGAAGCTAGTCCAGTCGTTCGAGGTCTCTTGGGTGCAATTTCGATAGAGCCATTTTCAAGGAACAATCTGGACTTTTCGACGGTTGCAGCGTTGCAGCAGCAACTTGTGGTTGCTGTGCTTGTTAAGGAACGATGGCGGAAGAGAGTGGAACTTACCATGAAATAGCGACCTACCTTGTTCGCTTCATGGCAGCCTTAAACAATAACATTTGCATCATAATGTCTGAGGAGGAAATATCGAAACCACCAATAATCGAGAGCATGAATCCAACAATGAAGGACTTTGACTCGTCTGTGCCAGTCTTGGCTCCTGCCAGTGTCAGCAGCACGGACTCCAGCTGCGAATGTTGCTCCAGCAGGCACACTGTGGAGCCAGATGTTGTTGCAGAAAAAGATCAACCGCCGAAAGAGATTGAAACACGAAGATCTAAAGTCTCCTTTGGTGAGGTCATATTCCGCAACTATCCCATCATCCTTGGCGACCATCCTGATTGCATTGGACCACCCGTAAGTTTGTTGTGAGATGATCATCGTTGGTGTCTGACTTTTGCAGTCAGATAGCAATTCTTACCTTTCCTCCCACTTTCATTTAAAAAACACAAAGATCGCCCTGGATTGGGAATGTGTAAATGAGGAACACTACGATTTGGAAGAGTACGAAGCCGGGAGAGAACCGCGAAAGCATGATGAAGGGCTAGTGCTGGATTGGTTACTTCGTAAGCGAATGCTTCGGTGCTATGCTGGTACGTCGGAAGACGCCATGAACGAGAGCAGCCTAGAGTGCTCTAGAATACGTCGACAACGGGAGCAAACCCGAAAATCTGTGCAGCATAGGTCGCATATGCGGCATCTGCTCTCGAGATTTTCTGGTGGTTTGCTTGGGGATAAAGCTATCAAACACAAGGACAGAAGCGTCCACCTGGCTAGGTTCAAGAACAAGACAACACCCGGAGACTCAAAGCCGACGGTGGAGGCAGGCTGTTGAGGTTTCTGGTGTTATTTTATTGACAAATAATGCTGGTGTGATCCGCCCACGCCGTTACTGTTTCCATTGTATTATCATTAGCTACATATGCATTACTATTGCTCATTCTATAGCTAGCTACATGCTAGCGGTAGTTGCTACCGGAGTGCGCGTATGCATAGTGCGAAGGCAGGAGCGTTGGCCGGGTCGTTTACGGGAGTTCATCCAGAACGTAGACTAGTAAAACCGAATGCAATTTGTAAAAGCCGGCTGGGCCAATGGAGGGCTGAGTGTTGACACCCGAATTCTCTTTGAATCTAAATCCAAGAGCCAGATTCGGGCTTCGATTCCGCAGCAAGCTCTGACAAAGTACGTACATCATGTATCGGGTCCAGTCCGAACTAATTACCACTGGATAGCTACTAGCCACATGTGCTACTGTAGCACCAGCGCCAAGTATGGATACGTCGTCAAGGGAATGAGAATCAACTAGGTTGAAACGTTGCGGCATCCGAAGTGTCAGTTACGGTACCAACCCAATAGAAGAAAGTGGACCTCCAGCATGGAGAATTGTCTCTGCCAAACAGTACGTTGGACTCTCACTGATTGCAATTGATGGAAAGTGGACCTCAAAGTCCTGGTCACTTTCAGAAGTTTTTCGCAGAGCGTCAAACTGTAATCTGAGTTCTCAATATGTCTCAGGCCAAAGGTCTTTAGCAGGCCTGCAGTTGCTATCGTACAACAGTGCTCCAACGGATAGTGAAATGAGTATGAATGCTTGCACGGGCGCTGCTCCTTTGGATTTCACTTAGAAGGTGGTTGTCCGGTCTCTGGCGCGAAGCTGGCTCTGCCTTGAGAGGTATCTTTTCTCTCTCTCTCTCTCTCTCTCTGTGAACTCGTAGGATTCACTCTAGTCGGCTTGCCTTAGGATTTCCGCCCCAGGTTGTTGCAATAACGCCTCTAGCACAACGGGGAAATGATCACTAGCGTCCGTGTCAATTTGGTAATGTTCCTTGGGTAGGATGGCAGGCAGAGAACTGGGTGACTGTGCCACTGAATTCTTGACTAGAATGTGGTCAATGCGCATGAGAGGAAGCGTGGTCCAGGAAGTGGCATCAGGTACCTGCTTCGCGGTACCATCCTGCTGTCCATAGCTTTCATAAAAGGAGTCTAAATAGCCAGCATCTTTCAAAGCATCCAGGGCCAGAGAACGCTCGTAGGGCGTTGGCCAGCCTCTTGTCTGGAAGAGGTTCAAAATGGCTTTCCATCCTTTGGGGTCGCAATCCGATTTTTGAAAGGCATTGAAATCCCCACAAATGAGATGAGGGACATCACTCAAAACGTCCCGCGTGTCCTCTAGTACTTTCAAGATTTGCTTCTCCCTTAGTTCTTCACTTTTGTGATCCAGGTGTCCAAAGGCAATCCCAATGCAATGTTGATTGTCGTCAAATTTGACTTTGGCCACCCCAAACGACCTCGGATCGACAAAATCCCGCTCTTGGTTCCCCAAATCAATGTCTCCTGGTTCAATGGGCAGCGGGACGGGTAAAAAGTCGTCGATGGGATGGGTAGATAAAATGGCATTGCCAAACCAAATCCCCTTGCCAAAGAAGGAGTTGTCAGTGGCACCAACGAATTGAACATTCGGTAGATTGGTTGCTTTTGACAGCCGAGAAAGGAAGGAATCCTCTTGAGACTGTACAAAAGAGGGGTGGATGGTCTTGCCACGACCTTGGTTTTGCTGGACTTGTTTGTAGTAATCGTCAATCACTTGTTGATTTGCTGCTTTGTCCGATCCAGAGGGCGTTGCAAAGGGATGAAGGACCTCATTCAGACAGAGTATATCGGGATTCACTTCCCTGACAACAGTAGCGATTCGATCGAAATTGCATTGATGCGTCGAGTCTCTCCATCCATGAATATTAAAGGTCATCAACTTGAGCGACGTTGGTGATGATGAAAGCTCTAGAGTCAACGCAACTACCGAAGCTGGACCGAAAGCGCTGAACGATGCACCCGCTGAAATTAGAATTGACAGACCACAAGCAGCTATCCTGCCAGGGACAACTCTTATTCCCCAATGAACCATCTTGCAGTTTCCAGTGGCTCGGTCAAAGGGCTTGCCTTCTTCCAAGGTCGACGTCCAGATAAGATGACATCCCCAAGCAAGCAGCACGGATATGCTATCGGAAATCCCAGCTCTAGCTAGCTAGCTTTTGGATCCATTGAAGCAGCAGGATCATGTCATTGCTTCTGAATCGAATCCCTAACCCTTGGAGTTTTAAAAAGTCATCGATGTCCTTCTCTGGTACATACGACTGTACATTTCTACGTACGGCCGGTACCCGATCTTTTTTGGTGAGAAGTTGAGAACCTCCTCGTATCCGATCTTGTTGGCGCGAAAGCAGAAATCTTTTCCTGGATTTTCTTCCGAGTCTGTTTCATAGATAATTAATTTGTTGGAAATTTCTATTCGACCATGGCTGCTTCGAAACCGTCAATCGCAGGGTTGGATCCTTTGAAGGAGCTCTTCGAGGGGATTTTGGTCCGCCTCGAGGCTTTGGAGGGCAAAGTAGGAGTCGCAGCTCCTCAGTCGTCCGCGTCCCTTTCGGGAGGCAGTTCCCACGGCAAACCGCCCACCAAGGGTGGCAAACGACTTTCGGTAGTCCACGGTGAGTACTGTACTATACTCGGCACAGGAATATATATATGTATGTTGGCAGCGTGGATTTTGAGAAGAGGGAGCATCCTACGAGGTGAAATAATTATTGTTTCGCTGGGATTTTATACCCTACCTATGGTCGTCCTTGAAGAAATCGGTGGAAATCGGCCGTCTTTCACAATGAACTTGTCATCATCTGAATCTTCTTGTCTTTCTTCTCTCTTTCGACTCTCCTCCACTCGTCATTCAGTGGCCCCTGATCAGGCAGCTGATTCCGTGGTTGCCTTTGATGAGTACATCAAGACTTCTGTCATGCCGCTGGCATTGACGTGTGATGAACTGGGCGGACTGCAGGATATCGGAAAGCACCTGATGGATGCTTGGGATGGAATTCGTGGCATTATTGTCTTGGCCACCAAATCAAAAGCCCCCGAGGAAGATCTGGCCAAAGCGTTGACCCCTCATCTCGCGCAAACGCAGGATTCCATCAAGGCCATTCAATCCATCAAGGTCGATCGAGACTGGGATCGTCATTACAAGGCCATTTCCGAAATGCTACCCTGCAACTCCTGGGTATTGTGCAAGGCACCGGCCATGATGCCCGCCAACTGTGCCAAAGATGCCATTGGAGCTGCCGAATTCTGGACCAACAAAATTCGAAAGGATTTCAAAGACGACGAAGCCCAGCAGGATTTCTGCAACACGGTCAAGAAAGTATTGAAAGAGTTGTCCGAATATATTGAAAAATATCACAAGACCGGTCTGTCATGGAATCCACGTGGAGTGAGTCTGGCGGAAGCTGCCGTTGTCATGGCCGAACCCCCGGAGGAAAAGAAGGACGTTATGAAATCACCCATTGGAAAGCGCCGTAGTGTTGGTGTCGGAAGTTTGGTTGGAGGAAACGTTTCCGGTCTCGTGTCGGAATTGGCTAGTAAGCGTAATGCGGATGGTAGTTCCGCGGCAACAGGGTTGAGAAAGGTACGTTTGGACGGGATGGAAAAATTAGAAACGGCGGATGACAGAATTCCTGACAATATAGTGCTCGTCTTTCTTTCTCATTATTTTGGATAGGTCACCAAAGATCAACAAACATGGCGGAAGGAATTCAAAAAAGATGCCGCCGGCACTGTGGCACCACCACCAAAGCCCAAGGCCAAGCCAGTGGCGGAAAAGAAAAAGCTCACTGGATTGCCAATCTTTGAATACCAGGACCGTGGACACAAGTGGGTCATTGAAAATCACACTGCCGAATCCGCGAAAAAAGAGTCGGACAACGGAATTATCACTGTCGAAGTGTCCGACCCCAAACAACAAGTCTACATGTACAATTGCTCCGGTGTCACGGTCAAGGTGAATGGCGGCAAATTCAAGTCGCTCATCCTCGACAAATGCGAGAAATGCAACGTCGTATTCGAAACCGTCATTTCGTCTACCGAAGTGGTCAATTGCAAGCGACTGCAGTTCCAAACAGACGGAGTCTGCCCCGTGTTCACCATTGATAAGACTGTCGGTTGCCTGGTTTGGTTGAGCGAGAAAAGCAAGGATATTTCCAGCTTTGTTGTCAGTATGAGCAGCGAAGTCAACGTGAACTTCCCCGATGGCGATGACATGAAGGAACTACCCATTCCGGAGCAATTTGTTCACAAGCTTGTCAACGGAAAGGTTGCCAGTGAAGTATCTGATTTGTACCATTAGGCTGGCTGCAGGCAAAGTGGCTCTGTTTTGCAATATTATATGCCCTTGCCAGCGACCGGCTCTGGCCCCCTTTAGAATAGCAAATGGTAGAGCAACTTCCAAAATAGAAGAATGATTGACACTGTGCATAGCTAGTGGTCAAGCCGTGCTTTGCCTTTACTTTCGCAGTCCTTCATCTTGCACTTCTAAACTAAAAAGCCCAGTCAGCCATGTCGATCGCGGAGGACACCACAACAATGGCAATAGGTAACTCAATAGTTGTAAGGTGTAGCTAGCTCGTGTTCGTAGAGAGGGAGTCATTACCATGCCTTCACAGCCGTGCAATGTTCCTGACATTGGCCCTCTTCTGCTTTGCATTCTAGGACATGACGGCCATTCCCTTTCCTCGGTTGGTCAGTGTTGAGCCTAATTAATCGTCAAATGTCGTGGCATAATCAGAGATGACTGTCACTATCCCATCGTCCCATCATCCTCCAACACTCAAGCTCCTGGCAAAGAATCGAATCCATTGAAGAAGGATGCGCAATGTTGTGGATTGACTGCTTCCACGGCATGCTTCCACGATCAAGACCATCATTTGCTTCCGGCGTTGCCGCAAGTGTGACTGACTGACTTGGCTGTTTGGCTGGTTCTAGCTAGCGTTGGGCTCACATTTTTCTGGGTTTTTATGCCCGCCCCCGGTAAAGCCAGTAGCGGCGATGGCCAACACATTTCGCAACTTGTCTTGAAGTACCATCCTACTGGCAGTGTGTGGTAGTCCTCGAAGCGTACAAAGGTGAAACGGTGGCGCAGAGCGCTCCAGCAATGGCTAGCAATAGTTCACTCCCAGCGCTGAAACAAAACGAAGTAGACTCGTCGCTACGGTATATCGATTGACATTCCTGTCATTCTTTCATCATGGGACAACAAATTTCCGCCGAGATTGGCACAGGATTTGGTGCGGATTTCTGTGCCAATCTTGACGATATCATGGAAACCAAAACCGATGAAGAAAACGGTGGTACAGAGATTATAGCCACAGGTCCATTGCGCCCTGCAACCAAGCCAGAACCTACGTGTCAAGAAAAGGAACAACCGCTTCGTCCATTTAAACGGATACTGTGGATTGTAATCCTTATAGTCTTGATATTTGCAACGCTGGCTGCAACAGTTTCATTGGTTTACCTGAAGCTTATGAAAGATGATGCAGATCAGGGAGCTGATCTAAGCTATGGGGAAACTCCCATCAGACCAACGACAGAGGAAACTGGAGTTTTGCCAACTTCACAGTCGGATTCACTGGGGGGAGGCTCAGTTGATCAGAACCTTGTTGTAAATGAAACCAGGACTCGAAACAACACAATGTTTCAAACTGAAACAGACAGCGGAAGTGAAAGTGAAGCTGAAGATGAAAGTGTTCCAACCTCCGCAGCGATCTTCTTCCACAATCTACCCTTTGACCGCGTAGAGTTGCCTCCCTTCGACTCTGGTGTTCTACAAGGATACGCTAATGAGACAGACTTTGAGCAAGATCTAGCCGAAGCTGCGAAGTTTCTTATCAATAGGGTTGCCTTGAGGAATCTGGGTGCCGCCGAGGCAGCGGGAAGTGTTGATACTGGTGGAGGTGGTGGTTGGGGTGCAAACTCCATGCTGATGAATGATAGCAATGAATACAGTTGGCGTGGTGCAACAACTCATAGCGAAGAACCACAAGGGTTCTTTGATGTAACAGATTACGAGACGAATAATCAAGAGAATGGAATCAATGAAGCCGATGCTGTGAAAGCCGACGACGAATATGTCTATGCTGCTTATGGAAACTACGTTGTGGTATGGGACAAGGACGGAAATCAAGTAACACAAGTGAAGATTTCTGCTTCAGAAAGCGAAGAGGACGACATGGAAAGTTCAGATGGCAGCGCAGGTGGAAGCATTTTTGCACGTTCTTACGTTGCAAGCCTCGCTTCGGGTCGAAAGCCGCATGTTGAGTCTCTTTTGCTTGCAGGACACAACTTGGTGGTCATCGTATCAAGTTACAGAAGTGGCAACAGCTCAGAAGGAAATCCCCTGCTTCAGAATTATCTTCAGACCCAAGTGCATACCTACAGTACACATCTGAATGGCACTCTTTTTCATCTTGGTGCCACGGAAATCAACGGGCGGTTCTTGGACGCCAGAGCGGTGGGAAGCGTTGTTCATATTGCTACAAGCAGTAGCATCGACACCTATACGTCCCTTGTTGCACCGTTTGATCGTGTGAAGAACTATCCAACTTTGAGCAACGAGGAGTACATTGCGCAGGTTCGAAGACAAGCATCAGAATTCGTTATTCCTCAATTTATCCAAAGGATGAAGAGCGAGCTGAAAGGAGAAGTGGGAAAGCTTCCAAATCTGCTTCGAATAAACCAATGGCAGCCCCCGGCAGCTCTCGATGGTTCTTTGGTTGACGAAAGCTTTGCTAAAGTGTTTGCGCATGTATTTGCAGGAGGTGTGATCAACAGTGTTGCACTGATCACATCCTTCGACGCATCGGCAGTGAAAGTGGATGCATCTACCATGAGTGGCGAACTCATAACGACCACTTCCGCCTTTCTGAGTCCTTCGCAACGAGCACACTTGTACGCGACATCGACGAAGCTTGTACTAGCGACACGTACTGGGAGCTGGAATGCCCCGCAAAAAGCAATGGAAGAGGTAACGCACTTGGTCGTTCTGGATACTATCGGTACGGACGAGTCCAGCGAAGAATCCGTGTCGACCAACTTTGTTGCGACGGGAACAGTCCGAGGATATCTCCTGAATCCCTACTCTTTGGACATTGTGGGGGGCAGGCTTCGGACGGCCACGACAATCTCAAGACGCTGGCGTCTACATGGAAGGCCACAGCTGTCCAGCAACATTGTAGCTGTCGGAAACTCGCATGGCATTGATGTGTCCGATCGGTCTGCAGGACAGGAGGAAGAAAGCGTCGCAGAGACCCCTGCCACCGATAACTTCATCACTGTATTGGACCTCGACAACGACTTGCAGGAGCTTGGCTCTGTCGCACTTGGCGAAGCGGGCGAAGGTAAGTTCAACTAGCCTTGTTCCAATTGCATTTGTTTTCGTCCTTACAAGTGTCATGCCCCCCCTTCGATCGCAGTCATCTCGGCAGTCCGCTTCTTTGATGACGTTGCGTATTGTGTCACTTTCGAACAAACAGACCCCTTCTATGTGGTTGACATGGATAACGTGGAGATATTGGGTTCATTCAAGCTGAATGGTTTCTCAAACTACCTACATCCACTAAATGATGACAACACACTTCTCGTGGGGATAGGCCAGAATGTCTCTGAAGATGGAATGCCTTCGGGCTTTATGGTTACTGTATTCAACGTCACGGATGCTACTAACCCAGAGGCCCTCGTAAGCTACTCTGTGGATGATAGCCCACCGGATAGCAGTGCGGCAATCCAAAGCACAGCCCAATGGGACTACAAGTCCTTTCGCTATGTGGACGGAAAGTTGATTGTGCCACTTGACGTGGTCGCCTACTCAACCGAGGGATCGACTGCCGATTCCATCCGTCAAACAATCTTGGGGAGATTTGAAGGCTTTGTTGTTTTCAACGTTAGCCCAGAAACCATCGAGGAACATGTACGAATATCTCACAACACGCTTTCTTGTCACTATTGTGGATACTTGACTCCTCGAAGCTTTGTGTACGATGGAAATGTTATGACTGTGGAGGGACAAATTGTGTCTAGTACCAACCTTGAAACCAAGGCAGAACAATGGGCCTTTCATGTACAAATAGAAGGTGAAGATCCACGCTGCTGTTATTGAAAGAAGAGGAGAGGCGCAGCTATATCGAGGCCTGCCGCATTGTAAACTAGCTACTCCTGCATATTCTTCACTGATCAGCTATGTGAACCATTTTAGAGCCCTGGTTTCGGTATCAGTCACTGATCAGCTAGCTAGCTAGCTACCGATACGGTAGTTGAACAATTAGCACCCCTACCGGTACCGTACATCGTACCGGTACCACTTGATTCTTTTGGTCGGCAGATTCTGGTCCACCGCTTTGATGGCTTCATCATCAAGACGATGACCTTGAAATAATGACCATGCCCACGTGGGAGTCAATTTTTGAGGTGTGAGGTGTCACACCACAGCCAGCAAAGAAAACTCGGAAGCTGTAAGCCGTGAGTGGTAGCAATTGGAGAGCAAGGGAGGAGCTGTTGGAGGTTGATAGACAAAGCGTTGCAGTTGGTTACCGAGGTCCTTCCGTAGCAGTAGCAGCAGCATGTCGAAAGAAGAAGAAGAATTTGGAGTTGCCTGGTCCAATGTCGATGATAATGATTTATTTGCGAACGACGACGACGATGATGCCAAAGGAGATGTGATGGATGAAGCCGAAGAAGCCACACACCCTTCCTCCCAGTTCACAGCTGGGCAGAGCAGTGACGATGAGGCTAGCAGCGTAGAAGAAGAAGCGCCAGATACGAAAGCAGATGGCGCTTTTCCTGATGATGATTGGGACGATGCAAATCAATCTAGGCCTTCCTGGGTTACTGACGAGGGTGACAAGGGGGCTACTAGTAGTGAGAATGGTACGGGGGAAGAAGGGCAATCTCAAGATGGTGGGAATCAGCCACCGCCTTTTTCTCCTGAGCCAGTCAATGTTGGTAGTTGTGACGTGCAACGTTTGAGTTCGGGGAGCTCTCGGTTGGCTGGCTATTCGGGTGATCTCAAGTTGAGGTTCAGTGAAAACACAACGGACAGCAACAATGCGAAAGAGGAAGATGATGGCTTCCAGGAATCTCCTTGGCCTGGTGACGATGTCAAAGACGAAGACGATGAAGATGAAGATGCCAACAGAGAAGCAGAGGGGGGCGATGCGTTTTCTTCAGAAGTTAGACACACGGCAAAGAAAGAACCGGCAGTCCCAAGTCAGTCTCTTACCAAAGAACTCTCCACAAATTGGATGAAATTTGACGACGATAAATGGGACTCTTCCAAGCATGATTCCAGGCATGAAAAGGAAGAGGGCGACACGGGCCCACAGCAATCACCCAATATCCAGGCACCAAAGGGGGTGCTCAAGTCTTCAATGTCATCAGGAAAGAAAAAGAAGAAAAACGGGAAACAATCTTTTTCGCTGGAGGCTGGACTGGCCAAGGTAAATGAAGCCACCAAAGACACGGCGCCCACGGGACCCCAAGAAGAGCAAAAGGGAGGGGAGCAAGCAAACGAACTTATTTCCTTTTGGGGTGAAGGATCAGCAGAGGAGGAAGACGCAGACGATCCATTGGCCATGGCACTCAAGGCAAAGCCACCAGAACAACATGAACGACAAAGCAGATACAATGATGCAGCTATTTTCACATCGCCCAAAACGCAACTGTCGCCAGAGGGTGGCACCAATCAAACCGAAGGGCCAGGATGGCTTCAAAAGGGCATGGCAGCGCTCGACAGGGTTACTTCCAATTTACCATTTAACAAACCCAAAGAAGAGGAAGATAGGAAGGTTGAAGAGGATAATGTTGTTGAGGTGGATGACATGCCCTTTCCCAATTACACAAATACGCATCCTGCGGCGGCTGCGAAGCCGCAGCCTCATCCGATGCACGATCTGAGCGCCATGTCGGATGATTCAGCCTTGGTTCCAAATTATGGTCGGCGTGAACGCGCAGCAGAGATCGCAAGCACCTTCGATAGTGCAGATCCTCAAATCAAAAACGCACTCAAGGCACTTCCAGATGGCATGAACGCCCAAGCGGAAAACAACGAAAACAGCCGAATCAAGTTTTCCAAAGAAACGAAAAAGGAATCCAAAGTTTTCCATGCCACCCCAATCTTTGATCTTTGTATGGATCTTCCCCACCCGGCAGCGGACGCATCCTGCGCTCCGGCGTCCCTTATTGGTGCTCCTTCGAGTAATGATAAGGACGTGAAGATCCAGAGCGAAATCCAGGACTGCATGAAGGAAATTACTTGCATGGCTTTTCCAGATTACGACACTGCGATATTGGCACAAGATGATGATAGTGAACCCAGGAGTACGCCTCGGTATGCCCTGACAATATTGGAAGTTCCCGGCTTTCAGTACCACACGTTTTCTCTGCATCTCAAGTCTGGCGCCTTGGTTTTAGCTCACGTACGGAGATATTTGCCACCGCACAAAGAAGCGACCTTTCGCCACGACATAGGCCGTCGTCTGTGTCGAGCAATGGTTGTTTTAACTAGGTATCCAGGTGGGGACGATATGTATCTTACCATTCTGAAGTAAGTGTTTGCTTCTAGGTTGCGGCTGGTTGTTGGTGAACTAGCACTGACCCTATTCTTTTGTTTCGAAACGAATAGAACTTTGGATGCCGTCGCATCTCAACACCATTCCCGGCGCAGCCTGCATGTAACTCGACCTCAAAAGTGGTTTTTGCACAATTTGTATCAGAAGCATCAGCGCCTCTGCGCGCATTATGCGGCAAACAACGAAGAACGACGAGGTGGCCCTCATATTATCACTCTTCAGGGACTGGAATTCGCCGATTGCATGGAGTTTTATTCAGCAGTTGATACTACTCATTTCTTCTTGCCCAACAACCTTCTTCATGATCCTGTGGTTCCGGGTTTCCATGCGTCTTACCACGACAGCGTGCTACCTCTGATTCGGTGTTTGGGTGTGGTGAACTCATTGAGACTGCTCTCTGCTCTATTGAGCGAACGTCGCGTTATAATGGTATCTGTGAGCCCCACACGGCTCGATAGAAACGTCCGAGCAGCGATTGCTATGCTGGCACAGGGAATGTTGAACTGGCCACACCAATGCATTCCGGTGCTTCCCCCAGATCTCTGGTCCAAACTCAAGTCGCCCTCGCCATACATTATGGGTGTACAGGCATCTCTGGCATACAGACTGGAACTCACAGATCAGCTGGGAGATGTAGCTGTCTTCAATTTGGACGAAAACACAATCACAGCAATGGGCGAACAGAAGCTTGCAAAACTTATCCCAGACCTCTGTAGGAGTTTGTCGGAAACAATGCTGCAGAAGAGGAGGATTGCTTTGCCCGAGAACGTTGCGACCGAAAAAGACATGACTGCGATGGCTATTTTGAACAGCACGTCAGATTTCCTAGCGCAAGATCTCGTGGAGATCATGAAGTCTGACAAACAGACCATGAACGGTACCGCTGTTGCAGCAAAGCACGTAGCAAAGACCGCGAAAAAAGCCGTGAAATCGACACTGAAGTACCTTTTAGGAAGTGGGGAAAAGGAGGAAGGGGAAGAAGCGCCGGATGTGAAAAAATCAAAGAAAGAGAAACGCACGGAACCTGACGCTGTCTTTATCGAGGGCTGCCGCAACGAAGCCGCCGAAGAAGCTGTACGCTTGGCATTTGTCAGTTTTTTTGTCCGTATTCTTGGAAATGTCGAAGGCTATGCAATCCAAACGGAAGACTCGGAATACGAGTTCGACAGAGACTTCTTTTTGCAGCAAAGAAAGGAGAGAGGGGATGGCCAGGGATCCCCGATGTGGACACTGCTATTACACTTTTGTGAGACCCGAATAGTCCGAGATTTTGTGCGACTCCGAGAGGAGCACATTCGCAAACGACAACCAATTCCCATGGACGCTCCTCTCTTTTGGCAATGTATTGATTTTCTGGAAGTGAAGAATATTGACTTTGGCATTCTCAACGTTAGAAGTGTTGCAAGAATGATGCTGCAGAAGTCGTCTGTTCACCAGATGCTTCCATCAAATGTCCGGAGACTTGCCATGGCTTTGACATCGAAGAGAAAGTTCGAAGGACATTTGGACGATGCCGTGGCAGACCTCGCAGAGCTTTCACGAGAGTCGTGCTCGGCTCTTTATGACGTGATGTCTGTCGTTTGGCTCCGCGCTCGGAATTCCAAGGGTTTGCAATGGGTTCATGGGTATCAGGCGATGCGAGTGCTGAAAGCAGTGCTTCTCCATGGTCCACTCGCAGCCGTGGCAGACGCGACGGATGGTTTGCACACGATCCGCACACTTGCGTACCGAAAATCCCAGGGCTGCGAACAAATCCAAGCCGAGGCAATGGAAATCTACAACTTGCTCGCCGATAGATCGAGGCTGTTCTTGCGAAGAGGTGTTGCCGCGGAACAACGACGACATTTTCGCGACCCAGACGAGCTACCGGTGAGTTCGTGCCTGTTGGTGCCTGTTGGTGCGATTAATCTTTGCAATTCATTTGACGTCTGACCGATAGTGCAATTCTTTCTCTTGCAGCTGGTCCGCGATACACGGCTCAATCTCAAATCACCTTTCAAGGAAATGCATGCTATAATGAATCCAAGCCTTCGTCCCCCAGAGCCGCAGCGAAGGCGAGCATCTCTCTCCTCTCGTCGCGCTTCTCTATCAAATCGACTTCCGCATCGTTTGAGTATCACGAAGCACATGATGGCGCTCGAGCCCATGGATGGTTCCATGTCGAGCTTTCCACAGAATGTGCTACCGATGGATCGACATGCGAATCGACACAACGAGTTCCTACAAGACCCGATGCAGAGAAACCCCGAGAGCGTTGCTGGTTCAGTCTCTGGAGAATTCGCCTCTGCACGTCGCTACGTACGTGAAATCGCCCGAAAGACTCAGGAAGAAGAAAAGGAGCGCACTCGGGAAGATGTCCGCCGCCGCGATTCCAATGCCATGGGAGTGGAGCTCTTGAAGAAGCAGTTCATGCTGTTGAAGGTGGCCATTTACCTCGGTCCAGTGTTTTACATCTTTGGAAATCACGAGCACTTCTTGACTGTGGTAATGTTTGTTTGGTTATCGCAGCAGCTCCAGGTCTTCCGCGCCCCCATTGACAGTGGAACGTATTAGCCAAGAGCCAAGTTGGACGAGAGAAGGACGCTTCTGTGACAGAAGACCACTACTTGTGCTGATGTACTGTATTGATAATTGCATGGGTGCCCTGACAACGAGAACTGGTAGTCGTGACTGAATCGTCCTTTAAATCTGAATCGTCCCTTTAAAAATCGTCTCATATATCTGAAATCGTCCCTTAAATCATCCTTTAAGCCCAAAGTCATCCCTTCTTTGGGACGATTTAGGGGACGACTCCAATCGTCCCAAAATCGTCCCTTTTATGTACTATGGGACGATTTAGGGTGCAACCAAATCTCGCCATATTCTATTTTAATAAATTACCAGTCTGCAAGAATTTCCTAAGACGAGACCTAGCTAGTAGTACCAGTATCGGTCACCCTTGCATCGCTGTGCAGTGACGACGGATTGCTGGCTGGAGTCCCCCTCGCCAGATTCATTGCCACTGTGTATTGTCTCATGGATAGCGGACCCCTCACTAAGCAAGTCTTGCAAGCTCAAGAAGCAAAGGTACAAGCACTCCTCAAGGGCTTGAAACAGTTCCAGGACATCAAGGTCCCAGCTTGCCCATCAGCGGACTCTGACTTCCCTCAAAGTTCTATGGACAAAATCAGAGAGGACATTTGAAGCGCCCACCAGATGGCGAGAAACGGGATGGTTGTCTCAAAAGCAACGGGGTGGATTTAGTTCATATTGAGTGCAAGAACTACAAAGATGGTCTGTCAACAGATGTCCTGGAAAAGATCATCAACAGATTCAGAAACTCAGTGAATGTTTTCTTCAGGAAAACATGGATCGGTTCTGGCAAAAATAGGGATAGTGGAACCAAAAAAGGAATTCGGATTCCTTCATATATCCAGTGAAGGAAACTGCTGTTGGATAAAAACTGCTGATGGGAAGACAGAATTCAGAGCTGACAAGAATACTCCTCACTTGGCTGCCCTCTTTGCAAATCGAACGGTGGATTGACAGGTGAATTGCAAGATGTTTACCGAGAAGGAAAGGGTTGACATCAAGCTAGCTAATTAACGACCGGGCCAGGGATAGAATTCAATGTTGTTTACTCAATCTGTTTCAAAATTGAAGATCTATCATAGGAGGATGATCAAGATACATGTAGTCTAATCCAAGCGAAATTAATTGTGGCTTGGCTGTCGTTGGGGACCCACTGTCACTCCCTAACGCTACGGTGGACAACCCTTTGACCCCTTTTTTAAGAAACTAAGCCAGGAAACGAGAGGTTCGCCACCAACGAACCAACGAATTTCCGCACCGGTACCGGGTGTTCCAGTCCCGTGTTGCTGCAAGGTCACGGACAGCCGCGCGCTCCTGGCTGATTACTTGGCAAGCAGCAAAGGGCTTGCTTGACGATTCGATCGAGGGAGCTTTCGTCGAACAAAGCAATAGGAAGCAAGAAACAGAGCCGGTGGTGTTGTCACAAGGCAAGGGAATCGGGACAGTCAGCCCGCAGAACAGTGTAATCTAATAGAAAGGCCAACCCAAGTCGCAGCGTTGTTGCGACTCGACTCCTCCAAGAGGCATTTGCTGTGGAAAGACAAGAAGAAGTAGAACTCTCAGCGCCTCCGCGGTCGTTTGGAGAAGCTAATATTCACCAATCAACTTTCAAATCTGGCCGATATTATAAGAGCCATCGCAGATACAGTGCTGCTGTGTATTGGGTGCACGTCTTCATCTATCTATCATTCATCTATCTATCATCGACTGAAGCTATCCAAGCATGGCAGACAATGGCTTGGGTTACATCACGGAGCTGAACGCGATGGATGTGTTGTTTGGCCGTGGCTCGGGCCCAAATGATCATGAAGGGAACATTCGATTTCGTCATCTCGTGGCGGAGCGCAAGCAGGAGTACTTGGCCACCAATCATCGACAGACCAAAGCCAAGATAGCTCGTGAAATTGTCAACAAAATCCTGGATGATCGGGGCCGCTTCTTGAAGAAAGTAGAGCATTTCGAAGCGCGACGATTAGGGATCCCCAAGGGTGTTGATGCGTGGATTATTGTCGACGATGACACTGTCATGGAAAAGGCAAAACAGGCCTTGCGGCAGAACACTGCCAAGGAAAAGCGAGGGGCGTCTCCAACTCGCGGCGGTGCATCGTCTCCTTTGCGCGGTAACTCGCCCGTTCGGGGCGTTTCTCCCAGTAGGTCCCCCATTCCAGGAACGTCTCCCGTACCTGTACGACGACAGCAGCAGCCGATGCCTACCTTTGAAGATCTGGAGCCTCTCCCTCTTGGCATGAACAACGCAAATCTGGCTGCAGCACGAGCAGCTGGAGGCCCTTTTGCAGGAATGTCCTTACAGGAACAGCAACAACGAATCCAACAGCAGGTACAGCAACAAGTCCAACAACAGGCACAACAACAACTGCAGCAGCAGGTACAGCAGCAACAAATAACGGCCGCCGCTCAGCTCGCCGCTCTTGGTGGCGTGCCTGGTGTCGATCCGACGTCTCTGGCATGGGGCGGCTCCGATCACAATCGATTTGTGGCGGCACAAAATGTGGCTCAAATGGCTGGAGGCGGTGCCGGAGACTGGGGACGTGGAGGATCCAATCACGGACATGGAGGAATTATTCTGCCAGGGCAAGACGCCATTGTCAGCAACAACGCACAGCTTGCTGGTGCCGGTGGTTGGCAGCAACAACAACAGCAGCAGCAAGCCGCCGATGCCCTCAATAATATGGCTCCACCAAACCCAAGTATGCTGGGACCTGGGCAAGTCCAGTATTCCAACGATAACAACTGGGGAGGCAATTCCGAGCATACTATTCCCAGCGGATCCGCTAACCGTGGAGATCGATTGCCAGGAGAATCCATGGAAGATTCCAGGAAACGACGCCAGAGTCTGCAAGTCGAAGATCTTATGGATTCTTTCAGTAAATTACAGACTGGAAACTTCTCAGCAGAAGCCAAGTTGCAAGAATCGACAGACACGATGGGTACTATTGAGCCCATTGGAGCATACGACAGCACAAGCATGAGTGTGACATCCTTCTCCAGCTCCTCGTTTTCCCTGTTTAAGAATGCCATGGGAGAAAGTACTGACGACATGGCGTTCTCACGAGGCGTGTCACGCAGCAGTAGTATAAATGAAGGCGCGCGCGTTGACATTGATTCCTCCATGCAATCCATGCAGTCTATTGGCTCCCTGGGTAATATGAGTGAAGTTTGGGGAACTCGCGGAATGTCTCTGTTGGATCGTTTGGTGGCGGAAGAACGAGAACGTGCCGCTGGAGGCGGTGAAGAAGGAGGCGATGGAGGCGGAGCAGCTGGAGGAATAGCAGATGATCCCAGGCCGGTTGGATTAATGGAGGACCAACCGGATACTTTGCAAAACCTGGGAGCATCTTCAATGTCGGTAATGAAAGCAGCCTTTGACAGCAATAGACCCGGCGACAATGGCAATGCCGATTGAGTGGACGCACTCAAGCGCACCAGTTTGATTACGAACGGCCGGGGAGATACTTGAGAGTTATGATTCGATTTGTCAAGGCAGCGGACAGCTCAGGAATGGAATTAATTGAAGATGCATTCTGAACAGCCACCCAAGTCGAAAATCAGGTCAGGCACAGTTCAGGGCAGATCAATTGACACGCTTATGGAAGGAGAGACCGTAGACTGATGCACTACTATTCAGCATCCTGCTGTCAACGCACCATGCAATCCAAACAAACTTACTTGTTGCTGTCATCATAAGAAATGTCACTTTTTGTACAACTACCTACGTGAATTCCTTGGCTTTATGTGTTGTCATCTCCCATTTGCCAGTGTATGCATTGAACCACAGTTGCCTTGACCACGTGTATTATACCGCTTCACCGGTACAGGGTTAGTAAACGCAGGCAGCTGAGGCTAGCCAGACTCCGGCGTGTCCAAGGCCTCTTTGGCACTTTGAGCACATCGCCTATCTTCTATTATCTTATGCTTGGCCACTGATGCCTCCGCACACTACCGTATCTATCTAGCTACCAGTAGCGATATTCCCGATGCCGCTAGCCAGCTTCGGTACCGGTAGAACAGCTGCGCTTCCCCCAGAGCTAGAACTCGATCATTGTCAGTTTACTTCGCCAGACCACGGTTGACTGACTAATGTAGCGTGGAAAGATGTCATAATCCGTGTGATCCATAGGTCTCTGGATACCGCGGTATCAATCCGATCCCATGCCGCCAACAGCAATGGCGCGCGTTTTTGCCTCATTTTCTGTTTCGATCAGCGTGTCGGAGTTTACAGTCTCTTTCTTGTCATTCGAAAAAGCACTGGGAAGTGAGTCCAAGCCAAGGAGGAACTGAACAACAAAGACGTGCCGTTGCTAGCAACGGCGAGGGCAGTGCTCGGTGGTGGAGACACCTAGAAGGGAACGATGGCTCGACGTGGCAATCGCGACGAAAGCATGGTAGGTAACAGTTCTTTATTGCAGCCTTACCATGGCATTACCTTCTTGATCTGTGCTGCTGTATTCCTCGGCTCTTGGTTAATGGAGTAGGGGAGACGCTGGCCCCTGGGCTTAGTAGATTTTGTCGATGCATGAACATGGAACCTTTGTCATGCACGGAACGGCGGGCAATTGAAGAATGTATTGGTGCTGACTCTATTGTGGTCTTTGGTTAGCTTTCATTTCCTGACACGCTATTTGACTGTTCCTTACAACGACAGGAAGACGAGCCTGAAGGCTCTAGTAGAAAGAATCCGCGTAGGGGCACCAAACCAGTTGCCTATACTGAAGAAAAGGCAGAGGTTGATGATCCCATGGATGTTGATCCGGCAGACGAAGAAGCCTCAGAAGGGGACGCTGACGATGAGTTGGAAAATGCTGGGAGAAAGTCTAAGCCTCGATCCAGGCGTTCCAAAGTTGCTGCTAGCAAAGAGAGCATAGATGAGCCTGAACGACGAAAGTCATCACGGTCCACAAAATTTAGGGATTCCATGAAGGAGCCATCCGACAAGGCATTTCAACTTGTTGCTACTAGTAGCAGCAAGAAACCCAACAATCGGCGAAAGGGGAACACCTCAGACATGGAACTGGACGACGACGACGAGGACAACAAACCCATAAAGAAAACTCAGCGAAAAAGCAACAAACGTGGAAGCCAAAAACAGACCAAGAAGCAGCAAAAGATGGCAAAAGAAACTTCCACAAAACACAAATCTCCAGCACGTCGTCACAGACAAGCCCGGCCCACCATTGGCCATAACTCATCTGCAGATTCTGACTATGATCAATCAGATCAATCTATTGTCGACTCGGAAGTCACCGACGACGAGGAAAGTGAAGAAGAGCCCTTCAAGATACAAAGAATCCTAGCATCCCGGACAGAGCCGAAGAAAGTTTGGACCAAGATCTGCCAGACCATGAACACCAGCGAGATTGACTTTGGTAGTCGTTGGGTGCAAGAAGAAATTGACAATGATGCTCATGACGACGATGACGATTACGAAGAGCGCTTCCTAGTGAAGTGGGCTGACATGAGTTACATGCATGTTTCCTGGGAGACCGAGAAAGACTTGACGGAGCAAGTTGAAGGAGCTAAGACCTACCTTTCAACATTCTTTCGAAAAAGCCATCATGGGCTGTTGTTTGACTCCGATGAACGTTGTGATGGCGACTATTTTGATCCTGCATGGACTCAGGTTGATCGGGTATTGGAAGTGCAGTTTCCAGAAGACTGCCCTTGCAAAGCTGTCAAAGACGAGGACAAAGTCACTAACGAAGATCTCGGAATCATTCTTGACAAGGAGCACCCAGACTTTGAGGTTGGCCTTGGCCGCGAGTTTCTCATTAAGTGGGGAAACGCCGCCTACTCTGAAGCAACTTATGAATACGAAAGGGATCTCATCTTGAATGAGATAGATCACAAGGACCAACTGAAAGCATTTCACAACCGACGCACAAAGGTAAGAAATGTCCTTCGGTGCGTGTCCCAATGTTGCAACCCCGATTTGCTCGCTCACTCATCCATCCATTCTTACAAAAGCCAACGAAGGATAAGGCCAAGAAGCTCCAGAAAGAGGGCGAGGCTGAATTTCGACGCTTGTATAAGTCCGTCTTTGGAGACAAGAGCGATGCCCAGGTTGAGGGTGGTGTAGAGGATTACCAGCGGTTGCTGCAGGAGCGCGTGTACAAGAATGGTGGTCAGCTGAGGGACTATCAGGCTGAAGGCGTTTCTTGGTTGATGGCAAACTTTGTCAATAAGCGCTCCTCCATTCTCGCTGACGAAATGGGTACGATTGTTGAATTGGACGGTTCTCCTCTCTTCTCTTGTTTCTCTCCTCTAACGTTAACTTTGTACGATTACCGTTCCTTCCAGGACTTGGAAAGACCCTTCAAACCGCTTCGTTTGTCAATCTCATTGCAACCAGCTTAAACCGGAGAGGTCCCTTCCTTATCGTTGCACCCTTGTCAACTCTTGCGCATTGGCAACGTGAGTTCATGGGTTGGACTGTTCTCAATACAGTTGTGTATCATGGATCTGCACAAGATCGAAGGTACATCCGAGAGTATGAGATTTCGCACGAGAACTTTAGGCCTACAGATGGCGTCGGTTTCAACCAGATGTACCTAAAGAAGTGTCTCCCAAAGAAGAACAAAAACTTTGTGGGGAACCCCTGGATGGCTGAGGTGGTCATCACAACTCCAGAGCTCATCACGGCTGATGATTTCATGGAGTTGACTGCGGTGCAATGGGAATGCTTGGTGGTTGACGAGGCTCAAAAATTGAAGAATCATAGCTCAAAGCTGGCTACCAATCTCAGAGATCCCAAGTTTCACTTTGGCCACAAGCTCCTCCTGACTGGCACTCCAATTCAGAATACAATGCAGGAGCTGTTTGCCCTCCTGAATTTTGTTGACCAAGACCAATTTCCGGATTGTAATGATTTCATGGAGAAGTATGGAGACATGAAGAGCAAGGACAACTTGGACAGTCTGCATGAAGAAATCCGGCCCTACATCCTGCGGCGACTCAAGGAAGATGTGGAGAAGAGCGTTCCACCTAAGGAAGAAACAGTCATTGAAGTGGAACTAACTGTTACCCAAAAGCAATACTATAGGGCCTTGTATGAAAGGAATGTCAAGTTCTTACACAAGAACAAGAAGAAAGCCTTGGATGGTCCCAGCCTCAACAATCTTGGCATGCAACTCAGGAAATGCTGCAACCACCTCTATCTTCTTAATGGAATCGAAGAAGAGTTGCGTGCCAAGCAGCGTATGGAAGGCCAAGCTTTGTCTGAGGGGGACATTTTGGTCAAGGCATCGGGAAAGCTTGTGCTGCTTGACAAGTTGTTGCCTCGCTTGAAGGAGAATGGGCACCGAATCCTCATCTTTTCCCAGTTCAAGATCATGTTGGATGTTTTAGAAGATTATCTCAATGCACGCACCTTGAAGTTTGAAAGGATTGATGGATCCATTACTGGCAAGAAACGACAACAAGCCATTGACAGATTCCAAGCTAAGGGTGCTGAAGGCAAAGAACTTCCTTTCATCATGCTTCTGTCCACTCGTGCTGGTGGTGTTGGGATCAACCTCACCGCAGCTGACACCTGCATCATCTTTGATTCTGATTTCAACCCTCAAAATGATCTTCAGGTATGTTTTTGGTGGCTTGAATGAATCGTTCGAATAGAGGGACTCGCTAAAATGACTTTTCTTCCTCTTTTAGGCCCAAGCTCGCTGCCACAGGATTGGGCAAACCAAAAGTGTAAAAGTGTACAGGTTGCTCAGCCGACAGACATATGAAATGCAGATGTTTCACATGAGCTCCCTGAAGATGGGGCTTGATCAAGCTGTTCTCTCTGGGTTTGAAACAGGGTCTTCGGGGGATGGCGCGTTGAGCAAGGACGAGGTGGAGCGCCTTCTGCGACATGGTGCTTATGGCATCTTCAGCGAAGACAAAGAAGGCGCGGAAGCTGAGTCCAACAGCTTTGTGCAGCAGGACCTCGACACAATTCTTGAACGGCGCGCAAGGACGGTGATACACGATAATGTCGCAAGCAAGAACAACGCTGGTAGCACATTCTCGAAGGCACGCTTTTCGGCGCCAAAAGGCATCGAAGGGAAGAAGGGTTCGAACGAGGAAATTTCAATAGACGATCCTCAGTTTTGGCAGGTATGTTATTCTGCTTGCTTGGACGTGACTAGCAGCCACTGCTTTGCCTTGTTGACCGCTCTCTTTGCCTTGTTTTTGTAGAAAATGGTCGGGGAGGGCCAAGATGACGGAGAAGAAGATGATCTGACTGGGAAACGGCGAAAGAGGAACGTGACAAACTACTCGGAGGCGCATTACGGCAAGAAGGTGGAGGCATCTCTCAGATTGAGCGATGCCGAGGACGACGACGACGATGAGGAGAGTGGCGACGATGAGTCTTATGGGAGCGATGACGAAGGACAGAAACGTGAACGACATCGATGGGGTGGTTCTAGGCCGTCCGATTGGAAGAAAGACGAGGCAAAGAAGCTTATCGGTTTGTTGCATGGACACGGATATGGCGCTCTTGGGTGGTCTCGGCTTGTGAACGAATTAGGAGCAAAGAACCCTCATAGTGAAAAAGAGGTAGGCTCTTTTTATGTTTTGTCGCTCTCGCATTCGAATGGCCCCGTGATTCTGACCAACCAGCTTCGACTAATCGTTTCGTGTCCCACAGGTCCAGCGAATGTGTTGGTCGATCCTCTTGACGGCACTGTGTGAGATTGCAGACGAAGATGCTGCTCATATCAAACGAAGAGCTGTTCGAGCTGCAGAGAAAAAGAGGGATGCTCCTGACGGCTCATCAGAGCAAGCACTGGGTGGCGTTCTTGCTGCCAGCAAGGGCGACTCTGCGTCAGATCCAAACAACGAAGAGTCCGTACAAAAGTGCTTCGACAAGCTATGGATCGCAAATGCTTCGTGGGCTGTCATCGTGCTAAAAGATGCATTGGCATTTGCGGCTTCCACTGAGCCACGCTCAGATGAAGTCTTGTCTAGAACAGTTCAGACTACCGAGGCACCCGCCAAGAAAGACGATATTTCTGCCAAATTCGCACAAAGCGTCTGGCCCTCTTTGAAGAGTCGAGGCTGGAAAGCTGAAATATTGACTGATGGGGCGAATGCTGGAAAGACCCAGTACAAGTATGACGGCAAACAGGTAAGCGCAGATTTATTCATTCGATGAATTTGTGTGTGGCAACGGTTTGATGCTAACTGCTCTGTTCTCCGTATTCACCAGTACTTATCTCCGGAGTCAGTGCTTGGTGCTGTTGGGAATATTCATCCTGAGCTGACCAATCTGACCGAGAGTATGCTGAGTGCTGCAGAGACCTCTCGACAGAAGTCGAAGGAATCTGAAGCGAAGCTGCGAGAAAAGCACCTCGCTATGAAAGCCGGAACCCTAGCTGTTAAGGACCTCACGGATTTTCTCAGAAAGTACGCCCCTTTGCAACTAGTGTTCGATCGAAAGAGTGCAAAGAAGCTCCACATGTCTGCTCGAAAAATGTTGCATGCATGTACATTTTTGGAGACTGCAAAAGCTCTAGTGAAGCGCGCTGAGAGTGTCAAGGGTACCTCGGAATTGATAGAGACTCTGTCGGCTTCGCTCCATGTTGAAAAACGCATGTCGCTACCTCACCCTCTATGGGAGTGCAAACACGATGCAGTGTTGATCCATGCTGTCGCGAAGCATGGCTGGATTGACAACGATTCTTCCTGTCGTAGGATCACCCAGGATTCTGCCATCCGATGGGGCTTTCCTTTCGATTCAGCCACATCGCCGAGTGACAACGAAGGAACCTCAGCCAATTCCGTCCATGATTTCATCAAGGGCTTGCGAGAAACGGCAGAGAGGGCTGCGTGTTTCTTCAATGATCATCATGATATCATTGCAGAAGTAAAGGGTTTCAACCAGAACGTGGTCATTCGTGCTTATGCGTTGGTTCATGAGAGCAGCGAAGAAACCCAGGCCGAGGATGCGAGGCCTCATTGGGTGGTTGACGAGGCTGCTTTGTTAGCGTCGACAGGATTGCAGGCTGGCAAAACACAGGAATATGTGGAGCTACCAACGAAGAAAGATCTTGCCAAGCGCGTGAAAATGATTTTGTCACGGAACGCCCCAATGTCTTTTTCGAATGTGGCTCCTGCTGCATCTACCAACGAGGGCGCTGCTTGTGTCATTGACCAGAGCGATAGATGCAACGTCTTCCTCGCAGAAGTCCTCAAAGCTGTTGTGAAAGCGCCTATCCCAAAATCTCCCAAAGCGATCAAAACTCTCTGTGCTGTCGCAACGGAGGAGGCACTGAAGCGAAAGGAGTCAATTCTGTCGTCACTTTCTCTTGGAAAGGAAAATGAGAAGAAAAGGCAAGCATCCGACGAGATGATGGAAACGATGCAAAAGATTGAGCTGTCGAAAAAGCACATTCATAAATCTTCCAGACAAGCCAAGAATGTCCTGAGAGTTTTGCTTTCTATGGAGATTATTAAGTCCGCAAAAGATCCTGATTTTCCTGCTGAAGCGGCAACCAGAGGAGGGAGTTTGCAGAAGGGTGCTAAGGAGGACACGCCAAGCAGTAAGGGCAAGAAGGAAGACAGTGCAACTGGTAAGATCAATTGTTCCCCGCCCATATCAGTGAATGCTCTTCATTTGAACCTATCTGATTCTTGAGTGATACAACCTTCGCTTATTGGTTGCAGGGGACCGTGGTACGTGATGAACTCGCGAATCTTGTCTGATGGGGGTGCATACGTGCTGCTTACAAGCGCCCTTTGTCAATTCGCTTCGCAGTGTTGACGCGGGGAATGGCACGATGCTTCAATATGAACAGTGGTGGCCCTGGTGTGGTTTCACCCGAGGGAAACAATGATGATCTTGAATTGACCGCAATGGAGACACTCATCCTTACCTGTGTTTGTAGCATTGGGATACCGGTTTGGGCTGAAAACATGTCTTCGCACTTTGCTGGCGAAGAGAGTAAGGATCCCGTTGACCCATCGACTCAAAACGAACTAACGCTCTTCTGGACTGGACTTGGAAAAGTCTTGATATCTGCTGCCAAAGAATGGCACGAAGGTGCTGTTGCCAAAGTAGAAGCTTACCAAGCTGGGTATGATAGGTTTGAGGACAAAGAAGAATCCACTGCCAAGATGAAAGCGCGGCGCAAGTTGGCTACGGCCATTCAATTAGAAAGTGTGAAGGAGCTCGCACGAGCCCAAGCAAAGGAATATGCCGCCGACCCTCCAATATTTGCAAAGAAGACTGTAATGCTGGTCGAGCGACTACGAAGGAAAATGGGGCTACAAGTCGGTGGAAGCAAGAAGACGACCAACCAAGGGTAAGCCTTGATCTCCATCTCATCGCTGCTCTCCTCTGGCGTTCTTGTTAGTAACCCATCGTTTGTTTTCCGCGATAGTTTGGGGCCAAAGATTTTTGACTATATTGAAGAGCAGCTTGGCCTCTGGGCCAAGAATCTTGACATTGTTGATGATCATGACCGAACTTTGTCTTACACGGCGGCTGATTTCTTCCACGACCTTCCGGAGGAGGAAAGAGACGAATTGGAGGTGATTACCTACCTCAACAAGCAAGACTGCAAAATGCTCCTCATCCAGATCACTTTGCTAACTCGACTGAGGAGTTTGTTCATCAAGCACCCGAAAGGCGAGTTGTCAACACGAATAGCCACCGCGGCGAAGAATTGTAAGGTTGGGGATTCTTGGGACGATCAACCTGCATGGTGGGGGACCACGGACGACGGCCCTATTCATGACGTTCGCCTCCTGGAGGGTCTCGTGGAGTTTGGCTTTGGTGGTGTGTTGGATAATGCTCGCGGCTTTGGCCCTCCGAGCGAGGTACGGCCTGACCTTCAAGCGCAGCAATGTATTTGGTCGTGTGATTGGTTCTGAACTTACCCCTCTGTCTTGCCGTTGTTTCTGTCGAAGACTCAGGCCCAACGTTCCTTGAGAGACAACGAGTTCACTTTGAACAAAGTTCAACAGCGGGCCAACCAGCTCACTCGGGAGTTGCACAATCTGGAGCGAAGTGACGACGTTCTGCGCTTCTTGGATAAACGACGGAGCAAAGCCGGTGGGAAAGCAACCGGCAACCCCAAAGCGGCCAAAAAGGGAGCCGCCCAAAAGGATGACTCTGGTAAAGACAAGAAGAAACAAACTGCGCTTGAATCGTTTTTCTCCAAGACGGCAGCTTCTAGTAAGGTGTCCAGTGTCGTTGTTGAGCTTTCCGATGCCGAAGATGCGACAAAGGAGGCAGTAGCTCGGGGCGTTCATATTGTTCCACTTGACATGTCGCCCAAGGGGGACAGCAGAGGGAACAGGGCTGATCCAGATGGCTTTCGACTCAAGGACGGTGGCCATGACGTGGTTCTTCTGCTTGGAGGCAAAAGAGAGGGTGATGAATCAATGGAGTCCCCATCTCCAGAAAAGAAACTTCGTAGTTCCTAAGACGCACAACTAGCTAGTAGGAGGAATCAACCACGTTCGCCCGTCCACTTCATATTATATTATACATCCTTTTGGATTGCAAAGCAGGCGGTTTAGTCAACTGACACCATAATGAATCGAATCTGTAATGAACTTGCTTCTGTGTACTAGTACCTGGTAGCTCATCTGTTGTTCGCCTCTCGCACCTCTTTGGAACTATCCAAGTCAAGCCATTAGACTACCAGCTAGTACTAGACTAGTAATGGTATGTATAATAGGCACCTGTTAGTCCTCGATTTGCCCCCCTACTAGCCCCCCGTTTGTTTCTTACTTTCTTGCGGTGTAATCGTGCGTGTACACGTGACTGTGTATTTGGGGGGTTAGAGTTTACACAGTACCTGGTAGAGCTCAGAGTTCAAGGGGTACAGTACTCGGAAGCGATACCGGTACTAGCTAGTAGTACAGTACCGGTACGGTACGATTCTACTACATTATTTATTTATTTACCGTACGATACTACTACTGCTTGTACGATTGTACTAGCTATTAAATAGCTAGTACAGCTAGCTAGTACCGGTACGTACATGTACCAGCAACTGTAACATGTGATCCAGTCGTCACGATATCCGTCACGAACCGTACAGGACACGACGGTCGCTCTTTCACCACAACAGCAAGGATGATCCACTCAGTCCTCAGTCGTCACGATATCATTGCTTCACTTCGGTACAGTGGTAGCTATCGTCTGCATCGCCTGCCGTCGATCACGGCAATTTCAAGGCTCCTGCCTTCCGCCTCCTACGTCGTACGTCGTAGAATCCAACCGCAGCGCCTTCCATCTGCCATGGTGCTACACAAGTACAGGTACGAGGTTTTAGCCATATCGATCCTGCTGCTAATGTATGTTGGAATCCTCACTATAGTACTAAAGTCTTGGCAAACCAACATTTTCGCGAAACAGCACATGTCACCTTTCTTCTTCGCTCCACTGGAACTCAATGCATATCACCCGAAAGCAATGTCAGTGTCATTGGCTTGACGCGGTCCAAAGGCAAACAATGTATCGTTTGGGCCAGCTCAAGCTGATGAAAGTTGCCGAGGAGTTCTACAAAGCTCATAATTTGAACAACTTGCAAAAGCAAAAGGCAGCGTGTTCAATCAATCAAAGCAGTCAAGTTTTCCCCCGAGTTTGCCTCCCGTACTACCATCGACCATGATCTTTGACACCAAGAATCTTTCTCTTTTCCTTGCAGCCACCCTTCTGCCAAAGCCCCTTCAGGTGGCTGGCCATGCTGCCCTGACTAACCCCATGGGGCGCCAGGCCTATGCAAAAGTGTACGGAAGCAATTCCATCCCTGGACGCCCTTTCCCGATCGGTGACCCGCTGGGCTGGCAGGCTGGCGGATATACTTACGGCGCCTGGTAAGAAACAAAAAACCATTTGTCTGTATTGCATGCTTGATACGCACCTTGTCATCTAGCTATTGCTAACCTCGTTGCTACAGTGGAAGGATGCTGGCCGGTGATGATATTAATGACTTTACCAACAACTACGTCGACGTGAATGGCGATCCTGCTGATTGGCAGACCCAAGCTGTCTACGATGAAGGCGATGTCATTGAGCTGGAGGTGACAATCCAGGCCAACCATGGCGGCTACTTTTTGTACTATGTCTGCCCTGACGTCGACAATCCCACTCAAGAGTGCTTTGATCAATACCCACTCGAGTACGTTGGAGATGCCCTCTATGGAGCGGAGCATCAAGAAGAGCCCTATCAGAATCGAGCTTACTTGGTACGTACGGTACGCGATGTTGGTTGGTTGGTTGGTTGTTTCTTGTCGAGCCGAGTTGTGCTGCACTTCTTACCATGGTTCTCACAACAACGACGTTGCTTCCTACTGTAGGCTCCGGATAGCGTGGAAAATAAGGTGGAGAGCCCAGGCTACCAACTCGAAAACGGAGAAAATTGGGCGTCGGGTTACCTGGTTGCGCGCCACTACTACAAGCTTCCCGAAGGAGTCTTTGGGGAAAGGATGTTGCTTCAGTGGCAATGGAAAACATTCATTTTTGACTGTATTCCACCAGCTTCCGATGAGTATGAGTTTCCTAGCGATTGGGGAGATGTCCTAAGTTCATACTCGAATGCCATTTGCTCGGTTGACGATCAAGGCCGCATGGCGGATGCTGGAAATTCCCCTCAGAGCTATTGGCAATGTGCCGAGATTGAAATTCGTGAAGCATCTCCGACCATTTCTCCGGCACCTACCCTGGCGCCTACCACACTGGAACCTACCTTGGCACCCCCTCCGACTGCCCCAACCTCAAGAGCTCCAACTGTTTGTGATGTCTGCACCGGCGTTATCGAATGCATTGGCAAGGGCGAGCGCGACTGTTTTCATTTGATAAACAATGACGGCAAAGATTGCGCTTGGACTGACTGCGACGCCGAAGAAACACCCGCTCCAACTGAAGCTCCCGTGACACCTCCAACAGAAGCTCCCGTGGCGCCAACTGAGCCGCCCGCAACATCTTCCCCGACAGACGCTCCAACAGAAGCTCCCGTGGTGCCAACGGACTCGCCCACAGAAGCTCCCGTGACGGAAGAACCAACAGAAGCTCCGGTGGCGCCTACTGACTCACCAACAGAAACTCCCGTGACGGAAGAACCAACAGAAGCTCCCGTGGCGCCTACTGATTCACCAACAGGAGCTCCCGTGACGGATGAACCAACAGAAGCTCCCGTGACGGACGAGCCAACGGACGAGCCAACAGATGAACCGACAGTGGCTCCGGTGACGGAAGAACCGACCGCGGCCACAACCCCAGAGCCAACTGAAGCAGGTCCCTGTGGGCAATGCGAACCCAGAGATGGTGTTAACGAGCCGGAATGCAACGGTCAGACCTTTCGAAGGTGCCGACGAATGATTGACCGAGAGGGCAAATGCATGTGGAATGTCGAATCTTGTTTCCTCGATGACGATGAAGAGGACGACGACGAAACTTGCGAACAAGTGTGTATCCCAGATCCTGATTCCAGCGAAAGCCAAGCTGAATGCTATGACCAGACAACTGAAACTTGCATCGTATTGATGGCAAGTGAACCACCCAAGTGTTCCATGACTGAATGCTAAGCCTTGTTGCTTGTCGCTACTACTACTACGAGTAGGCAAGCACGGCGGCTTCCAGTCCAGCATCAATCGCTTCGGTGATGAGTGTATTTGTAACTCAGCTTGTGTCTGAGTTGTGTTTGAATTCGTTACATTTTAAGACGAAGACCCAAGAACGTATAATCTGCTTGCTTTTAATCCAAGGTACTAGTATTGCTGCTGTGTACGTGTAGTTTTCGCCCTCGTCTTCGACTGCTGATGCGGGTTCGATATCGGTGATGAGTGTATTTGTAACTCAGCTTGTGTCTGAGTTGTGTTTGAATTCGTTACATTTTAACGATGTATCCTATCGACTGGCGCGCAGAGGCAGAAAGTGCCAATTCGAACCCCACCCCCACCCCAAATAGTGCATATTTTCTAGGGGGAGGGGAAGGCATCGATTTGGAGACATCTCGCTCTGAAAGGGAATCTCGAGGAGGGAATCCAAGTTTAGTATAGAAATTAGCTAGCTAGCTTTCCTTCTTTGTGTACGTGGTTAATCTGTAATGAGAAAGATAGATAAATACACATCCATTGGTTAGAGTCTTCTTCATAGAACAAACCAAACAACAGGGTATCTTACCATGGCTGTCAGTGAAAAGAGACTCAGTAGAAGGCAGGCAGGTGCCTCTCCAGAGGTGAAGGAGACTCCCAAGCAATTGTCATCCCTCCACAGACGAGATAGGGAGTGTAATCGTGGAGATTGGAACATGTTCCCGAAAGGAAAAAGGAGTCATAATTCAACAACAAAGGTGGAGGGAATAGACTTCCTATCTCCTACTGTTGCCAAAGCGGCTAAGAAACTGCATGTCAGCCCTGGTTCCAGTGCCGAAAGGCCCAAAATGAGAGTACTTCGAAAGAATCCCTTCCTGTCGCAGAACGCCACCCAATTCAACTCTGCACCCATTGCCGCCAATAGAAAGAACAAACGCTGCATTGTGGAACAGGAAAGTCTGTCAGCACTTATTGGCCAGAATACAGTTTGCGGTCATTGCAACAAGAAAGCGAAGGTTGAACTTACCTTTGCCCATTGTGGTGTGGTCACCATACCCAAAATACGGTGTACCAATCCTCACTGCAACAACCAAGACGTCGCTGATGTAGCCAAGACAAACTGGAACAAAACGAACGCTCATGAGAAGCTGACGGATTACGAGTTGAATTTCAAATTTGTACAGGCCTTTGTTGGATGTGGAGATGGTCCAACAGAAGCTGGTAGGTTTCTTACCATGTGTTCTCTACCGAATGCCATAACAATGAAATCCAACACGTTCAACAATATGGAGAGTGCCATGGCTGGTACCATCGAAGAGATTACAAGAGAACAACTGACAGAGAACCTGATAGAGGAAGTTCGAATGTCGATGTCCACAGATAAGGAATTTGACTTTGAGCAATGGAAGAGCAACTTCAAGTCTGGAAAGAGCCCTGATCCGACATGCATGCCAAGTGTCAGAGGTGGAATGGACATGGGATGGCAAAAGAAGGGCAGTGGACGTACTTATGATTCCCATTCTGGACATGCGGCATTCTTTGGGGCCTTGACGCGAATGCCAATTGCCATGGCTACCAAATGCACCCACTGTTCCACTTGCAGTTGGTACAACTCACGAGACAGAGAACCACCAGAACACAAATGCACAATCAACCACGAGGGAACAGCCGGAGCAATGGAGTCCGATGCGCTCCTTCAGATGATCCATGAGTTGTGGAATACGTATTTGGTCAAGGTGGTGGAGATAATAACAGACGATGACAGCACCATGAGATGCAACTGTCGATGGTCCAACAAAGACTGGATGAAACATGAAAACAGAACTGACGTGAACTTGCATCGAAACAAACAGAACAAATGGGTAAAGAGAAAGGAGGGTTACTTACAATATCCAATCCCACCGCCAGGCTTCCTCGCAGATCCAGCCCATCGAAAGAAGAGCATGAAAACGGTGTTCTACAAGTTGAAGAAGCAAAAGAAAGCAATCAACAAGGGTCTTCAGGAGGGAGACATCATCAGGCTGTCGCAGTTCTACATATACTGTGTCCGTCAAAACCTGGATCATCCAGAGGAGGAGTGGGTGGAACGGGCTTCTTGTTGTCTGGATCATCTCTTCGATGTCCACGAAAAGTGTGGCGATTGGTGCATTCGAAAGAAAGCCACCGACAAAGAGAAGCAGGAATCCACCAAGGTTTACCGGGACATGGAGAAGGACAAGGACCTGTATGCATTGTTGAAGGAAGTCATGGAACCGTTTGTGAGTTTGGAGGGATTACGGCAAGTTTGTCATGGTTTCGATACAAATCCGAATGAATCGCTAAACAACACAATCAGCTGGCTGGCACCCAAGAACAAGACTTACTGTGGCACCGTTTCGCTCAGGAACAGAGTGTGCATTGCCATCTGCATCCAGTCAATGGGTTTTGATGGCTTCTACCGCAAACTGTTCTCGCGTCTGAGTCTGGAACTGGATGAGTTGACAATTCACAGAATTAAAAAGGTGGAGGAACAACGGGCTTACCGACTGTACACAGTCAAGGAAATCAAACCGGAAGAAGAGGCGACAAGAGAAGAACTATGCAAAGATAAAGGCTTATTTCGAGAAGCTTGCTGACGACCGTTCGAAAGGAAAAGAATACAAGACGGCCATTGCGCTACTCAATAAAGAAGGTAAGAAAGCAAGATCAAAGGTGCAATGCGCATATTGTGGTTTGTTCGGGCATAAGACGAAAAGAGCGAAGGCGTGCTTGCAGAATCCTGCAAAACATACTCAAGCAGACACTGTGGAACATACAATCAACTCCGTACATGAAGAAGAAGATGAGGAGGATGACATACTCGACAACACTGCTAAGTTTGGTCTAGAAGTCTGCTTGCTCGACAGTTTACCAATCGAAGAAAGCCATTCGGAAGATATTGACGGCCTGGCGATCCTACTTGACAGTTGCGACGGCGAAGAAGATGAATGAATTATAGAATTTTGGCAATAGTGAACTAACAATTATCGAGTCTATTTCTTCTCTTCAACTCGTCCGATAACATTCATCTTCTGTAACAAACAAGAAAGTAGGCACGGCCTTTCCTGCTAAGATTCAACTGACACAAGCGATCGATCGCGAAAGACTCAATACCCTTCGCTGGAACTACTTTGAACCACACTCATTTCTTTTCCTTTGGTGGCTACCGAAGCAGCTTCTTGTTTCTTTTCTTTTTTTTTTTTTTGTTTCTTCTTTTCCTTCTGTCCTGTGTAGCGTTCAGCCGCTCTCTTCCTGCTAGTCTTGAATCCGGTGAACTTGCCGTCAGCAGGGTAGCAACACTTCTTGATGTACTTTTCCACACACCATGGCAATGGACGGCAGTTACCCTCCGTGTTCCTGAAAAAGTTGGAGTGGTAATGCTTGTACAAACACCAGCGTTGGGTGTTATCTTTGACGTCTTCCCACTCCATGCAGTCATGAAGCTGGTGCGGCGGCTCGCAGAAAGGTGAGAAGGTGTCCACGATCTGCTCTTTGTCCACACTTTCGATTGGATATTGCTTGACAATACATTCTTGGTAGATGTACTTCTTCTTACAGTCACAATCTTCGCTCTCTTCCTCCGAATCCTCCCAGACATTGGCAGCGGCGGCAGGCTTTTTTCTTTTTCTTCGTCATCTTCTTCACCCAATCGGATTTGGTTCTCATGTCCTGAATCCATTCGCCTTTGGCAAACCTTCTTCATCGACTTGAACAAAGACTTTGCCTGGTTGGCCTGGGCTGGACTCCTTCCTGAGACCGGTGAACAAAAGACAGGCCTGGTGGCTGTTCTTATCAGCTGTCTTGCGAAGAATGAAACAAATCTTCCTCTTGGGCTTCCTGAACTCGAGAGTCTCGGACATCACCTGACCGATTGGACGAAGCTGGTACCTGGGCGATACATAAGGCCTGTCCACCTGAGGTGGGTAGATCCAACCACAGTCCTTGATGAGCATTATCATCCTGTTGGGACAAAAGCCGGCGAAATTGTCAGTCATCCTAACAATTCTGAAGTCTGGCACGATGAGGGTTGAACCAGGAACAACGTTCCTCCCCCTTGCTTCCACAAAGGATGAGAGGCAAGTGTCAGTCACAGCTTTGATCATGGTGTTGATCCATCCATGAGTTGCATCACCAACACAGTGAAGTGCATTCCATTCTTTGGGTAGCTGCGAGTCTCTCTCTCACAGGTGAGAATGGTGAAGCGAGGACGGTTGTGATTGCCACACAACACATCAATGGAACCATTCTGGTGCATAAACTTTGTTTTAACTTTGTCCTCTCCGTACAGAAACAGGTCAGTCAAGAAATCAGGCGAAGCATCATCATAGCTATCAGAGTAAAGATCCGTCATCTTTGCCGTTTCCTATGAGCGAAATTGGCAAACAATGGGCTTCTTCATTGTCGGATTCCTTTTCACGCCAGCCATCCATCCTCCGAAAAGAAGGGAAAGCTGCAATATTTGCCATGCCGAAAGGGGCCAACAGAAACAACAATCAATCTTCCGACGCTGCTACTGCGATCTATTATCTTGGCAAGCAAGGCTACCCCAATGACAATGCGAGTATGTCGCAAGGGTAAGTTGGGTATGCTCTATCCATTGCTGGTGACTCTGCCACTTGTTATCCTGTGCCTGTTAAGCATCTCTCACTTCACTTTGACACATCTCATTTCGACACTCATGGTAAACAGTGTTGACTTCTTCCGACAACCCACTAAAACATGGCAGGCAAGGGCGGCACGGCAAGAGCAGACCAAGGGCTTTCCAGCGGTCCACCCATGGCCTTCTAGCTCTAAGCACAGCAAGTTTTGTTGGCCATCCTATAACTGCCTTGGCTATTACAGTTTATTCTTTCTTCTCCGTGCTGTATCGAGCGAACTTGACACCATGGGCCCGTCGAAGGTCAGACTCTAGGATACATCGTTAATTACATGAGCTACATCGTACCGTACCGGTAGCTCATGAGAATGCTGTATTATTACGGTACAGCGTACGGTACCGGTGGCACAAACTTGAGCTCGTCGCGATCGGGACGAAGGTTCAAGCGGGTGCGGCATCCTATAAATATTTGAGTCATTTGACAATCTTGCTGTGAATAATGGAATTAATGAATCGACACTGAGACATGCACATTATTTACCTTGGTGGTACAGTACAGTCAACATTCAGATATATATAGGGGATTCAGGATCTAAATATAGAGCGTTACTGCTACTAACCACTAGTAAAGAACGAGTGGAGAGTGCCATCACGTTTGCGTTTGCCAGCCCTTGTCGCCCTGGCCATATTCAAGGCTCTGGCAAACCGTTCATGTTGGTCTAGGTCGGATTGGAGGAATTGTTATGGTTTGCTTGCACTTGTTTTGTTGCTCAGAGAATTGTTTTTGTCTCCTCTCTGCCATTCTGTGCAAATCTCGCGAAAACACCATGAAAAACCCCACGAACGAAGATTTGCGCGGACTGGCAGAGAATGGACAGGCAAGCGAACTCCCATCGGCACCTCATCGGCATGCATTGGCATGCATTGGCATTTACACGTATGTCTCTGTCGAATTGGACCGTTTGCGATGGATTGCGAGCGATTGTTTTGCTGCTACGAGATTTGCGAAAGGTGTACTGACGTCATTCACGGTCACTCGTGACTGGGGGGGGGGAACTCGAGATATAATAAATATTATAGAGCGAATAAATATAAGATTATAAATATAAGCGAGTGTTAACTGTACAGTACCGGTACCCAATAACTTCAAACAACAACACACAACAAGAAACACAACTCGACTTCTGCTACTAGTACAACTTAGCCCTTGCTCCACTTCGTCTTGTTGCTGCTCTTGTTGACTACATGTACCAAAATAGATTAGTCTAGAGGTTTAATTTGGCCATGGCAGGCAATCCTCTTTCCTACGGCCAATGTAAGTACCAATACCACCTCTTGGGAGGGTTCAGGTTCGCATTGAGCCCTAACCTTAACCCTAATGTGTCCAGTTGTAACTCTACAGATTTGCAGCTATGTATCTTCATCCTTTTCAATAGCAGGATCTCTCCTGATTATGGTGTCCATTGCCAGGCAGCAGCAGAAAAAGCCCCTGGAAACAGATACACTTCACCAGCTACTAGTAGGACTGAGCATCTGTGACATAGTCAGTTCTCTTGGCATTGCAACTGCCACTTTCATGCTTTCTGCAGACACTGCCATGGAGGAGATCCCCTGGGCTTTTGGGAACCAGAGCACTTGCATTGCCAGTGCTTTCATATATGTGTCCTTTGCCACTGCGGCCTCTTGCTACAACTGCTTCATATCCATGCATTTCTGGAGAATGGTTCGGAGAACCAGGAAAAGAGCTGTCTGGTCCAGACTCAACCAGATGAAGAACCGATTGTTTCGCATTGTGGCGCACTCAACAGCCATCACCGTATCACTCATATTGGCAATAGCTGGAGTCGCCACAAACTCATTTCATCCTACGGCTTACCCTCATTTCTGCTACTTCAACGAGTTTCCAATATACTGTGATCATGATCCAAACATAGATTGTGAGCAAGGCTTGGCAGGGTCTACACTGGGGCATACACGCACTGGCGTTATTGGTTTCTTCGCCCTTGTCAGCATTGCATGTACCATTGCAGTGTACGTCAAAGTCAGGTCCAACCTACAACGATCTTCACAGTATGCTGCTGCCAACACCAGTCGCAGCATGAGTTTGGACTCCTTCATGCACTCATCCATTGTCAATACTAGTAGTCATACTGGTACGCTACCCAGCATCCCTCCGTTGCCATTGGGGTCTACCTCTACATCTGCTGCGGACAACAAAAGCACCGCCAATACCAAAAACTACAACATCAGAAGCAGTACCAACAGCAATCAGTCACAACACGACAATAAGCAGAGACAAGTGGCGCTACAGGCTGTGTGGTACACGCTGGCATATCTCAATTCAGTCATCTTTGTCGTCCTAGGTGCTATCGTTGTCAACACCACAGATGTACAAGGCAACGAAGGTGACCCTCGCTTCTTCACATTGCTATTGTATATGTGGGTCTTCATGCCCCTGCAGGGAGCGCTCAATTTTATCATCTACATCAGACCACGCATAAACGCTTGGAACGCACACTACGCCAGGCAAAAAGAGCAACAGGATCAATACCAAAGGTACCGTCGAAGCAAAGTCAAATCAGACGAACAAAACGGGAAAGAGGAATTGCAAGCAAATGCTACAATCATCGATAATACCAATGACCTGCAAGATACAGCATCAGCAGAGCTTGACATCCCGCCTTGGTGGGTCATCATGCGCAATGCCGTCATGGAAGAAGTCCCGTCGTCTCGTCAACCCAGACGTGGACGTCGTCCTCGAAACGCTAACACCAACACGCAAGACGCTTGTTCCGGCGATCAAACCCTGCTTTGATTCACCAAACATTGTTTCTTCCGTTGTGGAATCCACATGTGAAGATGGTGCTGCCCTCAATGATATCCGGAGAATCCCTTCGTCCATGTTTTCGTTGGAAGAGGCGGACGGTACCCACTCACAGCAAAAACAATCACAATCACACTCGCAGTCATTGTCGTCTCTAAAGCCTTTTAAGCACGACGAAATGGAAGCAACGTCAAAGGCAACTACTTCCGGAGACACCCCACAGGACGGCGACAGTGTCGATTCGTACAAAAACAGCAAAAACAATCGTAGTGATGGTGGAGCCAACATCGTTTTCGCGGATGAAATCGACGAAAGTAGGAGCAGTCAACATCAGATATGATCTCCTGAAACGAACCCCTCGGTCGCCTTTGTCTACTTTGCCTGTTCTCCTTCTTTCGTCCTTAGTTGCGAGGTACCGCAGCTAAAACTTTGGGGCGCAGTGCAACGACGTGGAAGCAGCAGGCTGTACCGGTATGCCCCACAACTCTGGCAACGGAAAGCACACAAAAAAAACGATAAGAAAGAAAATCATCTACTATCCATGAGTCGGAGCTTGAGCTTATCGAGCGTTCTTTCTTTCGACCAATGGTGAAAATTCGAGAAAGCTCTTCCGAGCATTGCAATCTGCGAGCCTTGCAATAAAATGCGACGTGGGAAGTTCAGGATATGCTCGGAACGGACCCTAAAACCCTGTTTTTGAAATCCACTTTAACCATCAAGATCCTTTCACGAGGAATGCCAACATGGATGTGGTGTGGGGATCGGCTCTGTGGTGGAATGCTTTGATCGAGATTGCGAGGAATACTGGATGAAATTGGAGCGATTGTGAAGAGGGCGACTACTAGGCTAGCTAGAATATGCGTACCGTACCCCACGAGCTGTGTCGCGTCACCCTTAGCTAACTACTACGGTAGTAGTTTACGTATTGGTCGCGAGCGACGAGACGAAAAACCGATGAACGAAGTCTGCTTGTGTAGAACAGAGCGTCGCCCGTTAGCGTCCAAGGGTATGGATCTCTGGCACCTTGCCCACGAGTGCCAGGTTTGCAGCGATACCACCAGTACCATGAGTTCGTACCAGCACTTCTGGTACCGTACCAGCACCAGAAATGATCCACCACTGCGCTGGAGTTGATACGTGTATAATAGCACGACCCTTACTTTTTTTATCCACGGCTGATAGAAAGGTCGAGTCCTGTGTAGGATTGGCTCACACTGGTATAAGCAAGACAAACTGGACAAATAGACCAACTTTTAACCAATTTGGGAGGAAACCACTACTGATAGTTATTTGCAAAGCAAGCTCAAAGCAATAGAAACTGTCCCATGCAGTCTTCAAGGAAGTTCGGAAGTTCACCTTGTTCAGAATGCGATGAGGCAAAGGCACTCCAGCTTTCCGCTGACTAGTATGTGCAAGCTGAACTAAACCACAATAGCAGTAAGTCGGTGGGGGGAAAGCTGGAGAAATAACTTCACGTGCTCCTGAGCAAGATTGAGACTAGCAAAAAGTGGTTCTAACACGGGAAACTCTGGCTCAGCAAAATTAGTTTAAATCTGGTTTTGCGTTCTGTAATCTCTTACTCATAATATTTATTTTGACTAAGACGCATCTCTGACGTTTGCAACCAACCAGCCATGGCAGTCGCGACTCGCGATCTGCACAAGGACCGGAACAAAGCCAGATAGAAACAGTATACACAGGAAGCTACAACTCAACTATAGCCCACAGCTACACAGGGATTCACTTGTAACCATCGAGCAGAGTCTCTATATCCTTCTTCAACATCCTTTAGCTGGTCGAAAAAGTAAGTTCATTTGCCTTTTTGAACGATGCGTTGATTGCTCTTGAATGTCACTGCATCCTCTGATGACTGACCTTTTGCGAGGTGGCTTCTTCATTAACCCCAGCCCTTCAGTCCTTGCATTGTCGTTCACTGTTGAACCACGTTATTATAAAGTATTTTGAAGCTAAACACTTGAATCCATGACCATTGTGCCAGTTTACAGAGCACGTGCGGAATGGAATTTCCTGTTTGATCGACGGAAGGCTTTTGAAATAGTGTTCTCTATGTCATTGTCAAGTACAATTGTTAATTAATCAACAATCAGAACGCCACGAGTCCACTAAGATCCATCTGTGACTAGGGTTGTGAAAACTGCTTTCACAGTACTGTTCAATATACAGTAAGTTTCTCTATGCAGTATTGGGGTGGACTTACTGTTATTTGTGGATACTGACGAATTCGGTTTAACTGGAAATCGATGGTGTTGAACACAGAAGGTGCCGGGAATACTTTGTTATTTAAGGTGTTTACTGGCAGCGCATTTTGTAGGTTTGTAAAAGTGTGCTCGACATTACTAGTACATGTACGTGGAGGCAGTTGGCCTTGATGAGCTTGAGACCCGGAGCGCTGTAAAAGCTCTGTAAACGTTTTCCCTGTTTACGGAGCTTTCTCGCTAGCCAGTTATGTACAACATGTATGTAGGTTCGGATAGATCTATTACCGGTACTCCTAGCTAGTTTACTACCTGGTACTACTGAGTACTCGAGTACGAGTAGCCTTTGGAGTTTGGAGCCCTCAATTGTTCGTACTGGACTGTGGCACGTAGGTTTCTACCTGTGTAAGACCGTTTTTGGAGACGATCGAAGAAAGCGAGGTTTGGTTCGGAATTGTACAGTAAGCTGAGTAGTTAGTTATCGGCTTGGACCTTGTGCCTTGGACCTTGGACCTTGGATTGCAGTGTGAGACTGTCACTCGCCTGGGCTCTTGGACCTGACGGATCCGATGATCCGATCCAGACTCGGAGCAATCGCATTTTGGTCGTCATCAATACGGTATCGTCAACACACGGAAAAAGTAAAGCCAAGGGTATCATCGGTTTCAATTGTATTCTAGCTGGCTAGTAGTGCTTGCTACCAGGTAGCTACCGTAGCTAGCTAGTAATAGCAAAGACAGCCCAACCTAAGCTAACTAACCTGAAAGCTCATAAAACTTGAGAAAACTTTTAAGATTGACTTGACTTGACTTGACTTGATTGGCCACACCTGAACACCTGAACTGTGCTGAACTGGACTGAAAACCTGATATACCGATACCACCGGTGGCAGAGCACAACGCTAGCGAGTGAAGTGATTGAGTGAAGGAGTAAGTAAGTCATACAGAATACAGAATACAGTATCGGTTTGTGATTGTGATTGTGATTGTGTTTGTGTTGTCTAGCTATTTCCTAGTATGGATCTGATCAGAACGTTTCCATCCACCAGACGAACCTTGACCCGCTTTCAACGGAACCCGCACTTGCTCCAGCTGTGGCTGTTGCTCCACACAATGCCTGTTGGCAGCAATTGCAAGGGTAACAGTAAGAAATCTGCATTGATATTGAAATCTGCATTGAAATTGAACAACCACAAGGCCAAGGCCAAGGCCAACAGTTACTCCAATTTTAATTTTACTGGGACAACAGGTACCAGAAAATCTTTGCTCTGTCTTGTGGTGAAAGCACGGGAAAGTGGGGACATCATGTCGGAAAGCAATGACCATAGCAGAAGCGCTGCCAGTGACAGTGAAAGCACCTCGGAGGAACAAAAGGTAGCTTCCTCGGCCTCTGAAGAGAGCAACCACTATGAAACTGCTCTGCAAAGACAGAGGGAAGCAGTAAGCTCAAGGAGTGTCAGTCAACCTCAGGATCAGCCTCAGGCTCCTCCACCTCACCCCCCTGCACCTGATCCTCCTGCACCTGGTCCTTATGCACAGCCTGTACCTGCCAGACATTCCCCATCTCTGCAGAGTCTTGCAGCTGCTAGCCAGCACCAGCAACAGGGACTCTTCAATCCTCTAGCTGCATTGCATGCACGAAGTATGAACAGGAACATGAACATGAACAATCAAGCCCTGGCTCAGGTTCAAGCACAGGTTCAAGCGCAGGCTCAAGCATTGGCTGCAGGCCGCCAACAGGGACTCCTTTCCTGGGCAGCCATGGCGGGGCTTGGACAAACACAAACACAATCACAATCACACGCGGGGACCGGAGTCAGCCCAGAACAACAGATACGGAATATGTTGGCATCAGGGAGATTCCCGGGCCCGCCAAACCTACAGCAAGGCACCACCGCTGCCACCTCGGCGTCCGCATCCGCAAACCCAAGCGACATTCTCAGGCTCGGAAACTTGGAACGAGAGGCTGCATTACTGGCTGCAAGACTCAGACACGCACAAAACCCTTCCATTGCTGGATTCTCATCCGCAGGATTCGCTGCCTCACTCACAGGGCTTGCTGCCGCTGCCGCACCAGCGAATCAACAGTTTCTAGCTTCATCGGCAGCTAGTGCTAGTGCTAGAGAAGCTGCAATACCAGCCGCAGCACCCTCCTTTCCGGCGTCACTGCAGCAGGCTGGACTGCCATCGCTAGGATCACCCATTCCAAGTGTAAGTGCATCATCTGCGTCCTCTTCCTCCAACATTCAAGCACAAATGCGAATGGCACAGCTCATGGCTATCCAACAGCAGTCACAACAGCAGTCACAAATGATGCAATTGGACTCCACTCGAAGGCTCATGATGGGAAGTGGCGGGGGCGGGGGCGCCACCGCATCAACAAGAGAAGCAGGAGGTGGAGCGGAACAACACTTGTTGGCAGCGGCTGCAAACTGGAGGCAACAGCATGTTCCTGGCAGCCAAGAATCTAACTCCACAAGAGAGTTGATTGCCGCACCTGCTCCACCCGGACGAGATGGTAGCAATCCTCGGGCACGCAAGAAATCCTCCCCGCCGTCCTCTTCACCACAACCTCCCAGCAAGCGACCCAGAGCTGCTTCTTCAGCCGCAAGCGCATTAACTGAAGCACGAGAACACGTCCGACGTGGTCCTCCGCAAGAAGCCACATTGGCCGTGGCCGGTGCTCTGCCCGCCGCATTGCCCCCCGTCGAAGAAGCAGCACCCACGCCACACTACAGTCAACGAGCATTCGTGTCCTTGGCTATCGATGAAGACCAGAATTGGCTATCGGAATTCCAGTGCTTTATTCGACAAGAGATACTAGAAGTATTCCGGGCCACCAATGAAGACGTGCGAGTTCGCAATAACAGCAAGCATTTGGCAACCCAGCAAGTGGGTATCCGTTGTCGATATTGCGCTCATTTGCCACCCAGTTCACGAGCCAGTCGCAGCAGTGCCTTTCCCAGCAGCGTCCCGCAGATTTACCAAAGTTTCACCATGATGCTGCGTGATCATTGGCCCGCCTGTGAATCCATTCCAAGTCCTCAAAAAGAACAATTCAGAGAATACAAGTCCAAAAACAATCAAGGTAAGTGCATGCATAACATGACGGATACCATACCATAGCGTACCAGTACTGCTTGGTTCGTTCAAGAGTTTCTAACTTTATACGTTGCACCAATGTATGTATGTATGTCAGGAGCATCTGATTCCAAGAATTACTGGATGCACGCTGCCCGTCGGATTGGTATGGTGAATACATCGCAGGGTATCCAGATTGACGATGGTAGCCGTACTGCTGCCGCCCGTATCCCTCCATTTGGGCACAACAGTGATACAGTGGCAAGTTTGGGTCTGGAACGGGATGATGCCGATATTCCGTTGGTGTTGCCGGAAGACAAGGAGCTCCTGAAGGGCCATCCGTTGGGTGACTACTGGTACTTTTTGTTGGGCCACGTGCAGCGTGTACGGTTGTCTTCTGCTGAACGAGTGGGCAATCGCAAGAGTCTCCGCTTGGGTCTCCCTGGGTTTGGTTGTCGTTACTGTGCGAAGCCTGGATGGTTGGGTCTTTCGCGTATCTTTCCTGCTCGTCGACGAACGTTGCCGACTAAGATACCTGATTTGCACGATCATTTGGGTCGATGCGCTTTGTGTCCTCCCGAAGTTAAGGAAAGATTAGTGGAGTTTGAAGAGCAGCAAGATCAAGATGATCAGGATCAGGAGCAACAGGAGGAAGGCAAGAGTTCTTCCGAAGGAGGTGTGCCAGCTGCTGTTGCCCCAGCCTCAGCAGCATCCGCGTCATTACCATCTGGGGCGACACCATCGTTTGCAGCTGGCAAGGAGCGGGAGTTTTTCACCCGAATTTGGGCTCGGCTGGGCCATGGAGATCGGCCGGAACCGGCTTAGTTCAGATAGATGAAACACACTGGCATAGCTGCACGGTACCAGGTAGCTGTAGTGTGGCTTAGCTAAGCTAAGGCAGTGGCTGTAAAATAGAAGCCAAGCCATACAGGAAGATGTCAGGTGCTAAGTTTAGGATTCTATTTAAATTTGGAGGGCGAGGAGGACAGAAAGAAAGAGGTGTGATTTGATTTGATTTGATTTGATATGTTGTCAGGCACAGAGCAAGGGGCCAGCCTACTATGCATTATGCAATAGCAGTTTATAGAATGATAATCAATTCCCAAAAGATAGAAGACAAACAAACTTCAAATTTTTTTTTACCTTTTATTATTAGACAAGGATGTATCCCCACCTTCCTGAAAGAACGAGATGGCCAGCACGCAAGAGCAGATTGTAGAGGGAGGTCGCCAACAGAGCTGAGCTGTTGAAGACGGTAAAAGGTCGGTAAAGAGAGCGGTCGAGGTTGGTCCAGCGCGGTGTAGTCGGCCGGTCTTTGTGAGCCCTCACATGAACGCTGGATCTCCGGTGGTTGAGGAAATATTCAGTCATTCCAGTGCCAGGTGAGTATGATAATCCCCAATCCCCAATCTAATGCATTTTCCTCAACGTTTTGCATAGGGTTAGCGGTTATTGAATTTTCGAGCCATCGGAACCCGAACCCCGATCTAAATAAAATAAGGTTCAGAACATCCATCCACATCCAACAAAGACTGCCGCCATCACCATCCACTCATTTTTCTTTTTTCTGCCATCCTTGAACGGTAGCTTCTATAGTACTAGCTAGCTAGTAGCTATAGAAGAGAGGTTGCATCTATCGATATCGCATAAGACAAGTCTTAGTCTTTGTCTTTTCTTGTCACTCAGTCTATTCTATTCCATAAGAAAGTAAGTCAGTCAGTACTTCAGTAATTCAGTAAGTCAGTATGAGTAGCGCCGTGATAATCGAGAAATCTTCGACCGCGGGAATCAAGGTGGATGCGTCCGTGATCGCCAAGCCGTTTCGTGAAGAGATTCAAGCGAAAGTGGCAGCGTGGAAATCGGAGGGCGTGGATGCTCCGTTGCTGGTGGGTTTACTGGCGAATGAAGACCCCGCTGCTAAAAAGTACGCCGAATGGACGGGCAAAGCGTGTCGCAATGACGGCTTACGGTACGAGCTAAGGACTTGTCAACCCTTGGACGTGGAAGCCACCTTGCTAGACGCCAATGACGATCCACGCGTCCACGGAATCATCGTCTACTATCCCATCTTCGGCCAGGAAGAGTCTTTCAGCGGCGCCAGTCAGGACGACTACTTGCGGGACTCCGTGTCCCACCAATGCGATGTCGAGGGACTCTGCCATCTTTATCGAACCAACCTTTTCCGAAACGTACGATTTCTCGATTATCCACGCAATCAGCAGAAATGCTTGCTGCCCTGTACGGCACTTTCCGTCGTCAAAATACTCGAACACTGTCCCGGCTGCTACGACGAAACCAAGCCCATTGGAAAACACATGCAAGGAAAAGTCGTTTCCGTCATCAACCGATCTGAAATTGTAGGAAGACCTCTCGCGGCCATGTTGGCCAATGATGGAGCCAAAGTTTACTCCATTGATATCAACTCCATATTCATTTTTGAAGGAGGAAGACTCCAAAAGTGTCCTCCAGGAACCACTCCTGAAGATTGTGTCAGGGAGGTAAGTCCACTACTAGAATACACACCCATGCATACTAATCAGATCCAAAGAAACGTTCCATTCGTTTTATTTCATCTCATCTCTTTTTCATCCTTTTCATTTTCACAGTCCAACATTGTCGTGACCGGAGTCCCCACCAAAAACTACCGTCTTCCCACCGAATGGGTGCAACCCAATACTACCGTCGTCAATGTGGCGTCCTACAAAAATGTTGATGAACAAGCGTTGCTGCAAATTCCAGGAGTCGTTTACGTGCCCATGGTCGGAAAGGTCACCGTGGCCATGCTAGAACGAAATCTGGTACGTCTCTTTGAACAGTTTCATATCAAGGGACATCCACAAGACAGGACACTTGCAACAACCACTACTATCAACAACAATACAACCACCAATGCAGATTTGCACCCCCTGCACTGGTATACGGCAGCGGCCGTCACGGCACTTTTGGCCATGATGATACTCAACAATCAAAAGTAAAAATAGAGTTGTGCGCTTGCGCATGCACTTGGACGTGTCAATTTGTGGTCAGGATCCAAGCTTTAAAATTAGTTTGTTCAGTTTGTTGGGTTGGAAAAATATATTATGATAGTAGTAGCATGAGTGATAATTGTACATGTAGTCTAATTGCGAGTTTTTAAATAATTAACAATGGAAAATAAAGTTGTAGCCAAAGTCAGGTATCCTACTCTCTAGAGATAATAATAACTATCGTAGCTAGCTAGGTCGCGGAGCGCAGCCATGAAAATAGATATCCCGTCGTCGCATGGGAAAGCTACACTTTGAAATCAAGTTTTTGTTTATTTCGAGTCTGGCAAAGAAAAGCGGACTGAATGTGGTCACGCCATCATCAAACTAGCTTTTCTGGTTTATATCCAAACGGTGGTGCGGTCATTGGAAAACCCAAGATCTTCCGCTTGCAAGCCGCAGCGCAGCATTGGATGGATCTCTGTTTCGATCGCCACAGCTATCCCTATTATAGCCAGAGCGTACGGAAGGTGCCTTGGTCCATCCGAAACTACGCAAATAATGATATGCAATCTAGTTAGACAGTAGCTAGCTAGCTCTAGCTAGTAGCTGGGCAAGCAATGTGCTAACGATCATTTCTTCATTGTTTCCTTCTCACTTCTCAAGCCTAGCTAGCTAACTAGCTAATATTCAGCCATTCTCAATCCTTGGACTTAAGCTTGCAATTGGCGTATAGTATAGTATAGTATAGTATAGATAGTGAGACAATCTTATTAATTAAGATGGGCAAGAAAAAGAGCAAGAGCAAGAAGAGCAAGAGCAAGAGCAAGAGCAAGTCAGGGCAAGAAGAAGCTGAAGAAGCTGAAGAAGAGCTTCAAGAGCTGCAAGAAGATCAAGAAGATCAAGCTGAGCAAGCTGAGCAAGCTGAGCAAGCTGAGGAAGCTGAGGAACTTGGAGACACTGAAGATGAAGATGAAGACGAAGACGAAGATGAATCAACCAAAAAGAAGAAAAAGAAGAAAAAGAAAAAGAAGAAAAAGCGTCAGGAAGACGATGAAGGAGCTGAAGTACATGTAGAGCAGCTGGAAGATGAAGATGAAGAGGATGATGAAGCTGAAGCCTTAGCTGAAACTCAAGAGGAGCCATCCACCAAGAAAAAGAAGAGCAAAAACAAGCAGCAAGAAGAAGAAGAAGAGGTAGAACAGACAGAGGATCAAGCCATGGAGGATTGTGTCCAAGAAGAAGATGAAGAGGAAGATGACCAGGAGCCATCCAAGAAGAAGAAAAAGAAAAAGAAACGGGGGGAAGAAACGGAACAGGCACAACCTGCTGATGAAGAAACAACGACCACAATGAAGCAAAAGAAAAAGAAGAAAACAACAAGCGAGGACGTACAAGACACACCCGTACTAGTACCGGTACAACCGACGGAGGAGGAGCCGAGCGAGAGCACACTTTCTGTGGGACGCACTTCCGAAACGAGTTTCCGCCGTGTCTCGGACCTATTCATTCTGAGTGACACTGTCGATGACCATAGAGACCAGGATACCGGACTTTTGGGCCGGGGGCTGCTCGAGGGAGAGGAAGGCGAATCGGAAGAAGATCTCGAGGAAGACCACCATGACATGGACTTGCAAAAACTACCTAGTCTCTTTGCTCCTCCTCCTCAAACCGAACTGTTGCCCACGGTTTCCGGAGACGCAGACACGGCCAAATCAGTCCGCTCCGATTTCAGCCGAACGTCAGACATTCGTCTTGTGGACGATGCGTTCTTGGATTCCAAAGTCACCAAAGAGGTAGACGATACCACCATCAGGGAACAGCACGGCGAAGAAGACATGCAAGCCAATGTTAATGTTGGCACAGATGCCACGAGGTCGGCTCAGGATGGTCCTCAAAATAGTACCGAGGACGGAGAGACACCAAGCGACATTGTATTCGTCCCCCCATCGCCCGACATTGTATTTGTACCTCCGCACATGACTGACATTGAATATGTACCTCCAGAAGGGGCAACTAGGGAACCACCTGCTGCAGAACTTGAAGCGGAAAGCAGGATGTCATCTATTTTTCCACAGCCGCAGCAGCAGCAGCAAGACAGTATGAGTCAGTCAGTTGCAGTTGCAAGGCACACTTCAACACTTCCAACGGATACTACAAGTAGTGCTGATGAGCAAGGTAACGTTGAGAGGGCCAGCTCTCGGGAAGAGACTGGGACCGCCAACCATTCTTTACCCGAAGATGTGCCCGAAGTGGAAACCGACAGAGAGGAGAACGCTCCAGATGTGCCACCGCAGCAAGAAGACATCATCACTGGAAGTGAAACAGTTCCCCAGCATGAAGATTCAAATGTTTCCAAGGACAGTGTTGACGAGCAAAGTGACGAGGAAACTGGGAAACAGGGAGAGACATCATCGTCACAACAGGACATTGAATTCGTCCCTCCTGATGGTTTGGCTCCAGCCAAAGATGCATCCACAGTGCTGGAAATGGAAGAAGGGGAGGAGAAAGATGACAAGGAGACAGGGCAAACAGGCGAGCTGCCCTCGCAGAAGGACAGTGCAAGCATTCCCCCAGCTGATGGTTTGGCTCCAATTGAAGGTACTCCTGCGGCAGATACTACTGAAAGCGCCGCGCAAAATCAGGATGCCTCGCCCGAGGGAGATATCATGACTAGTCAAAATGTGGAAAAACACAAACAAGGCGAGAATGATGCAGACTCGGAGGCGAGCGACAATTACGCGAACAAAAAGGGTGCAGCACTTGCTGCAGCCGTCATGGCCGGGACTGGCATAGCTACGGCAGCTGCTCTCACAACCGGAAACCAGGACGACGAGGCGATGCAGGATGCAGAAGCGGATGAGCAGCAAATGGGTGCAGACGAAGAAGAGTTTGAGATAGCCTTTGGTTCCGCTAGTGAGAAAGCTGAAGCGGACGACATATCTGTTGTGGACTCTGAAATCGAAGCTAGCGAAGATAACGTTCACGACAGCGAAGACGACGAAAAAACTCTACTCGCGACTGGGGAGTTCTTGGATCAAGCCAGAGCGAGCGGTGAAGGCAGCGGCTTGGAGCTGGAACATTCCTCTAGAGAAACAGTTGAGGCTAGTGTGGCTCGAGGAGACACTGAGGATGGCAAGGGAGAAGAGGAAGATACCAGTTTGGGAGTAGAAACGAACAGAGCCATTGCTGCTTTGGGAGACTCTGAGGAAGACACCACCCAAAAAACTAGAGACGAAGGGAATGTTGTTGACGGTGAGAACAAACCCTCTGACGACCTTACAGGTGCGATTGTTCCCGCTGCTTCCCGCGCCATTGTTCCCGCTGCTCCTAGTGCCATGGTTCCCGTTGCTTCTAGCGCCATGGTTCCCGCTGCTTCTAGCGCCATTGTTCCCGCTGCTTCTAGCGCCATTGTTCCCATTGGTGGTGATTCGCGTGCTCTTAGTCTCCCCGGCGTCAATGATGACGCAAACGAGGAACAAGGCACAAGTGATGAAGATGACGACGAGGGAGACTCCGCTACAGTCGAGGTCGAAGAGCAGTCGTGGTCGGAGCACAGCGTAGTCTATCCGCCACCAGCGCCTGCACCGTTTCGAATGTCCAGCTCTCAAAGCGAGACCGAACTCGTGATAGATGACATTGCAAGGGCTATTGGTCTCGAAGAACGATACGACGAGGAGCATGCATGGGGACGCTCCCACTCACACAACGCCGAAGAGGACTACCAGCACAAAGACAGCCCCGCCAAGCCAGTTGACAAGCAAAGGATGATGCTTTTGCTCACTTTCTGCTGTGGATTCTGCCTGGCTTCCCTTCTTTTCCTGATCATTATGTTGGCGTTGGGCATTTTCAACAAAGATCACAGCGATGACACCAGTCGTTCGGGGGGACTGGACGGTCTTCAGTTGGCGCCCAGTCGTCCATGGGAGACACCAGAGAGCATAAAGCAAGTGGTTGATTTGCCAGAATACACGACAGACAAGATCAGAAACGATAGAGAATCGCCACAGTATGATGGCTTCCAATGGCTCAAGAACGATCCAAATCTAGATGACTACCCTGACTGGAAGAGACGCCAAAGATTTTCCCTTGCTACTTTGTTCTACGCTACGACTGACGAAGAGAACAAAGGTTGGCACAACGATGAACGATGGCTAGATTACGATACAGACGAATGCACGTGGTACACGTCTCCAGCGCAGTTTACATCGTTGAATGTTACCGGTGAGAGCCAGTGTGCTGGAAATAGTACAAGCAGTAGGCGCCGCAGCCTAGCAGAGGGTGTTGATGATGGTCACTTTGAACATGTTTGGCTTGTGAACAACAATCTGAGGGGCTCGATTCCTCCTGGTAAGCAGAGTACTAGTCGACACCAACCCTTCGCCACTCCTCCACAGATTGATTCCCTCAACTGTGTTTGTTTTGTGTTGCTTCAGAGCTGGCCCTCTTGACGAGCCTTCAAAGCATCGACTTTGAAATGAATTCACTATCAGGGTTTATCCCTCCACAGTTGTCTGGACTGAATAGAATCAAACACATTCTAATGGATCACAACTTGCTGACAGGTGAACTACCAGCCTCGTTCAGCAAGCTCTTGACGATGGTGCATTTGTCCATCGTGGACAATAAGCTGAAAGGTCAGCTGAACAAGTTCTTGGGCAAGCTCTCGAATCTGCAAAGATTGGCGCTCGAAGGAAACTCTCTAACAGGCCGGATTCCATCCGATTGGGCTCACATGACAAGTCTGACCACTCTTGACTTGGCAACGAATTCCTTGGTTGGAAGTCTCCCGACAGAGCTTGGACTCTTGCAGCAACTAAAGGTGGGTAGCTTAGAATGCAAACCGCCCTGTTGGTGGCTTCCTTTGGTAAGCACTCACACTATTGGTGTCATGGCCATTCGTAGGTGCTGAAACTAGACGAGAACGGTCTATCCGGCACACTTCCAACAGAATTAGGTCTCTGCCACAGTATGCTTTCATTGAAACTTCAGGACAACGAGATTTATGGCAAGATTCCTTCCGGTAAGAGCTTGACACCTCTGTACTTTGCCTCTTCTTGGAAGTTCTGTTCTCCGCTAACTATCCGAATTGCTCTTTGTAGAGCTTGGAGGGCTGCCTGGTCTCCTCCACCTATCGCTTGGGCAAAACAGACTCACTGGCGAGATCCCCATGCACCTCGGAGCTTCCACTGTTCTAGAAGACCTGAGCTTGTTGTACAATGGCATTTCAGGTCCTATTCCTAGCCAAATTGGCTTGATTCAGTCGCTGACAACTTTGGCATTGGGTGGCAACCGTCTTTCATCCACGATTCCCTCAGAGCTTGGGACACTGTAAGCCTCAATACAACGATTATCGCCTTCGCCCCTCTGCTTCTTATGAGACTCATTTACCTTCTTTGATGCGCCCACAATATATAGATCCAATCTACAAGAGCTATCTGTGTTCGACAACAACTTGCGAGGGACCATTCTGTCTGAAGTTGGAGCTCTCACAAAGCTGCAATCATTGGCAACACACGAAAACAAGGAGTTGTCTGGCTCCATCCCATCAGAGATTGGACTCCTGAATCAGCTCCGAAATCTGTGGTTGTTCAAATGTAACTTTTCGTGCGTGAAACATGGTGCCACAGAGATGTGCTGGTCTTGCGTGATACCTCATCTTTCTTTGACTGATCAACAGGGGGAGGATTCCAATAGAATTGACTCAGCTGGAGAGGTTAGGGGTGCTCAATATACACACAAATCAATTGGCAGGAAAGGTTCCAACTGCATTGGGAGCAATATCAACACTAACCGATTTGGAGCTTCATTCTAACTTTTTTTCGGGGCAGTTGCCATCAGAGCTTGGCCTGTTGGAAAATTTGATTCACCTCTCAGCAGCCAACAACTACTTGGAAGGAACCATCTTTTCGGAAATTGGCTCGTTGACGAAGCTAATCGATCTGCGTCTTTATGACAACTTCTTTAGTGGACCTGTGAGAAGCGTGGAGCAGAACTTTGTATTTCCCTAATGTCTTTCAGAACTGACCCCTTTGTTTGTTCGTCCCAATTCTACTCCACTTATGCGCAGATCCCACCGGAAATAGGTTCTCACACTGACTTGACCTATTTGTCCTTGGCAAAAAACACGCTTAGTGGCAGTATACCCAAATCCCTTGGAGCTCTTTCAGAGTTAACATCTCTCCGCCTCTATTCAAATGCACTCACGGGATCCATCCCTCCGGAGCTAAAGAACCTAAAGAAATTGACGTTCCTCGCAATCGGGGAGAGTCCAGGGTTGACAGGATCGATCCCAGCAGAGTTGTCCGATCTGTCAATGCTCAAAAGCCTCCGAATCTATTCAACCAAGATTGGAGGCAAAATCCCAGACACACTATCATCACTGCGGCACCTCGAGTTCCTCTCGCTGGCACGCAACTCCCTAATAGGCAGCATCCCGGGAGATGTCTTTTCTGGATTCACCAATCTCAAGGGGCTGGCCCTGTCCGAGAATGTGAGTGTGCATCCTTGAAAGGTTGGGACGCCGGTATCACATTCACATGGTACAGTCAAGCTCACCAAAGCTCATTTTGTGCACCGTAGGAGCTGACAGGGAGCATCCCAACACAGTTGATGGAGCTACCGCAGCTTGAGAGTCTATATCTTTTCAAGAACCGCCTTTCCGGGCGCTTGCCGAACAGCCTAGGCCAGCTGTCTGGCACCTTAAAGGACTTTCAAATTGCCAACAATATCATCACTGGACCAGTGCCCCCGGAAGTTGGTTCACTCCAACAGCTTCAAATTCTCAATTTGGAATTCAACCAATTTGGAGGCTCCATGCCCAGTGAGGTTGGTCTACTCTCCAAGCTCGAGGTCCTCTGGATGTCTGGCAACTCAATGACAGGCGACCTTCCAACAGAAATCGGGATGCTAAGCCATTTGGTGCTGCTGAATATTTCTCACAATCGACTGTTTAGCTTTGTCCCATCGGAGCTAGGTGCACTAGAGAAGCTCCAAGAACTCAACATCACAAACAATCACTTCTCTGGCACTATACCCATTGGGATTTGTCAGCTGAACCTTGCTCTCTTGGAACATGACTGTTCTGAGTCCTTTTGCGGCTGCAACTGCGATTGCAGTGCCCGCTAACGTATCGGTTCATATAGGGGCGATACTGGACTAGACAGGAGCAGCTCTGCATGCCGTTCCACTACACATTTATAGAGAAAATTCATGTTTGCTTTATGGGGTATTTGACTGACTCGAAGCGGTGCCAGGCCTTGCAACGGAGCAGTGGAACAGAGAATTCTGCTTTTGGCTGCTCATGATGTTTCATTGTGGTTGGTGTAGCTTCAGTACTAGAACAACATGCATATCAATCAATCTAGCTAGCTAGCAAGCAAGCAACCAGTGCCCAGAATGAGCACCCATCAGTGACTTGTACAAGCAACCATTGCCCAGAACGAGCACCCATCAGTGACTTGTACATGTACGCGTGCTCAGCCAGCACCAAAGTTCGTATAGTCGTTCAGCCAAAGCCACTCACCAGCTGCTCCTCATAGTAAGCTCTCCATCCAGTGTACCCATAGTTCCAAGGCTGCATAGATTCCAATATAGTCTAGGAGCGAGAGCTCTGGATTCCGTCAGAGATAGCTCCACCAGCATAGCTGGCCTACAGCTCCAGCATCCACAGCTGTACTTGACTGATTTGAAGCGGTGCTGGGCCTTGCAATGGAGCAGTGCCGCAGCAGATAATTCTCTTGGCTGCTCGGGACGTTTCTTGTGGTTCGTGTAGCGTAGAACAACATGCATTCCAATCTAGCTAGCAAGCAACCAGTTCCTAGTCCAGCCTCCTAAGCTCTCCAGTGCATAGCTCCCAGGCTGCAAGCAAAGATGCTGTGACCCAGTATCAAATTCAGGCAGCCATGGCGGCAGCGAGCGGCCAACGAGATCGAGGCAGAAATCTCCCAGCCATGGCAGCCAGCCAACAATACTAAAGGGAAGGCAAAGATGCATACGGTAGCTCACTCCAAGGCTACTCACGCATCATATACGAACCGCCAGCAATTTCTATCAATCTAGTTTAGTACATGTGAACCAAGCAAGAAACAGATGAAAGAGAAGGGATACAGGTGGTTCTACAATGGTGCATCGACCTTGGGTGTCGAGTAATAGCCAGTCAGCATGCAGCGTGGTCGATTGATCACAGCTCTTTGGTTGGCTTGAGCGTAAGCCAACCACACTTTCTTCCACCCTGAAAGCCTGAAAGTGGGCTGGAGCATTTAAAAGTGCAGTCTGCAAACAACCTTCTGCATTCTTCGTGTACTAGTACTCGTACAACGTAGACTAGCTAGCTAGTGGTAGTTTTGAAGATTCTTTCGGACGGTGAAAAGGTGATTGGTTTTCTCTTGCCAGTTCTTCAGTTCTTGCTGGTCCAGCGAATCAGCGAAGAAAAGCATCAACGATAAATCCAGAGGAGGCCTATTCCGATGGATGAGAGCTTGCATGAGATGTTTACAAGTAGTAGAAGGGTCGAAAGTCGAAAGACTCAGTCGGTTCGCTCGCAGAGCTCTCTCAGAAGCTTGTGGACTGCGGACTGCGGACTGCGGACAACAGTTGGCAAGAAGCTCTGTGGACATTGTCAGGAGACGCGAACACTGTTTTGGAAAATATTTAGTCACCGGTACCGCAAGCAATAGCCCAAAACGTAAGGTAGGTGAGGTAAAAACAATCAAAACAGCAAGTTCTAAAAACCCCTCTTTCCTCTCGCATTGGTTGCGATTGTCAAAGCGACCGTCAGAAAATACGTCACCAGGAGAATGACTCCTCACCTGAGAAGAGAGCAGTCGCAAAGAACCAGATTGAATTCGGAATATCTCACTCCGAATACAATACGAACAGGAACATCTCGTTTATGATATAACAACTGTGCCGAATTGGAATCTCTGCAATCGTCAAAAGAAGGCGGTCAAACTGAGTAATGACTGGTTTGATTCTGGGATTGACAAACTCCCGAGATGATTGTCCAACCCATAAAGTTCAATACCAGTGATTGTGTAGAGAAGCTGATCAAAACTGCCCAAGAAATGGCCTGACCACCAGGAACCAGCAGCGAAGGCTGGTAGAAGGAATCGAATGATGCGGGAAACATTTTTGCTTCATTTTGAACCAAATCAGCCTGGATGACAAATTGAGTACGTATATCCCGCATCTAAAGTCTGTAATAATGGAATGCTACCTGTGTCCAGCCGTACCCAGAGTTACATTAGGTGGCGATTCTGGGTGGTGGATGTCGCTCCCAGCCTGTTCCGGTACCGTACCGTGCGACGTTACTGAGTACGGTAGGTCGCAGGCGGCAGAGCACCAAGTGAGCACCCAAGCAGTCTTTTGGTCAAACAGTTTCCCCTTTCCTTCTGTGGTGTCACCACTTTTACTGAGTTGCCACCAGTGGTTCGCCACTACTTGAGTACAGTACGGTACTCAGTGAGGTGGTTCGCAACCAACTCAAAGGACTCTTCTTTGGTTCTCGGCTTGCATTCAGATCTCAGCCATTCCAATAGCTCACAAATTTGCTTTCTGGCTAACCAAAAACCAAAAACCAAAAACCAAAACCAACACCCCACAAGTACTACCAAGTAACTAACTAACTAACTAACTAACTTCACAAAAATGAGTTCCTTCACTACTACCAATGCTGCTCTCCCTGAAGACTTTGCCCCTTCTGCCCATGATGTTGTGATTGGCAAGGGCAAGAAGTTCTACTTCCATGCTGGCAACCAATGGCTTCGAGATGTTGTTGCTGAGCGTATTGCTGAATATTCCCAGGCAACTACCAAGGCCGACAAGTCCAACATCATCTCCAAGGTGGTTGAATACATCTCTCAAAATGGCCGCTTTGTCAAGATTGATACACACACTGGCCAGTGGGTTTATGCCGAGCCTCTCTTGTGCCGAGAAAAGTGCTCTCAGACATTCCGGGACAACTTGGCTCAGACTTACCGTTCCTCCAACGTGGCCAAGAGAAACAAGCGTCGTCAAGAACAGCAGGAAAAGTCCAACTACATGTCTGTTTTCTTCAACAAGGCTGTCACCATCCCAGTGCCATCTTCCAAGAGAATGCGAATGACAGTCACCCCTGAACCAGAGACACAAGCTCCTGCTGCCTGGTTTGACTGGGAAGTTCCCATTCGCAACTTGGAGGAAGAAACAACCATTCCCGCTCCAGTTTCCAGCTGCAGCCGCCGCATGTCTTTCTCCTTCCAAGACTTTGAGGATCTCATCAACCTCATTCCTGAATCATACGCGGATGATGCCTTTGAGCCCTTCCAGCTCGACTTGTCCACTTCTGATAAGGCATCTGCAAGACCAATGAAAGACTTCTCCGCATCCTCCACCATGGGATTGGAGCGCTCTTTCCAAAGACGTACCGCCGCCGCATTTGCTGCATAAAGCAACTTACCAATGCAGCTTCAGCTTTTCTTCCTGCTTCCGGTCTAGATGTATATATATCACACCCACATACTTAAAACACTTCATTTTAAACACAAGCACCTCTACTATTTGATGTAGCTAGAGTACACAGCCACACAGTAAGTATACCGGCAAACCCGGCCAGGCAGCTATTAGATACGGAAACCACTGACAGATACTACATCACAAGCAGACAAAACCAAGCCAAAACAGCAAACATCCATACATGACATTGCAGCGGAACGCTTGCTTGGGGAAGGAAAAGGACAGGAAAAGGACGGATATCAGATTCTCTGGGCTGCGGCCACTGGTAGTCTACCTGCAGCCGCAGTGAAGTCTGGTTGGAGTTCCAAGAGAATCCTCCAGAATCTGGTTGGAGTGCCTACTAGGGAACCCTCCAGAACTACCGGTACCGGTACTGCTCTACTGGTCAGAGCCACGCTGCAACCTAAGAAGCCTCAAGACCAGTGGTCTAGCTACTAGGCGTCTACTAGCTTCTCATAGCCAGGTTCTGCAGCTACGGACGGACATGCACTAGACTGCACCACTTTACAGTAATTCCCAACGAATGTAATTGCCTTGTTCAAAGGATTCGTTTCCTTTCGGCCAGTTGCCAGTTGCCACAACATTGTCACTGCCCACTGCTATGAACATAATATTATGACCCCCAAAAGCTGCACGTCGTCAGCCTACTCACACCTCACACACACCAAAAGCCTTACCGGTATCGACTTGACATAGTTCACTAAATCCCAAGTTGCTGTCACTAGACTACTACGCTTTGACGATCCAACCCGAGCGAACGTTCAACTTGTGGGTCGCTACTAGCTAGCTAGTGCAACTAGCACTCAGTGAGTCAAGTAAGTTATCAAAAGGGTCAAAGAGATACATGAATAATTAAAAGAGGCAAGCGTCAATCTTCTGGGTATCTGTCGATGAGAGTTGCGAAAAGCAAGAAGTCTTGTCCGTTTGCCAGTGGTGAAACACTGCAGTGGTGAAAACCGGAGTGGCGGCAGTACGCAGTGCAAAAGTGAAATCCATGTGGTTAGAGTCAGTCGATCCCAAAAGATCCTTTTATGGCATCATGGCTGGTGATGGGTTCGTTTATGGTTTGGAGGCCCTCCCAGCAGGCCTCCTTTGCATGATGCTTCAAGGCCTCCATTTCAGCGGCGAGTGGACGATCTCCGCTAAAACACTTTTAAATCAACACTTACTTGTTGAAAGTGTGGTCCGCAGTGGCAGCCAACGGCGAGACGGCGAGCACCTTCAACCTGAACCTACTCTTATTTATACTTATTAGCTGCTGAGGCTGCCATCGTAACTCCATACAAGTTTTGATTTCGGTGCGCGCGTTCAATAGAGCTCCCATGGTTGCTTGGAGCAAAGGTACCATCTGAGTCTGAGTACGAGTAGTAGCACACATCAGGGCTCACTCAGGTGAGGGCAAAGTGAGGCTTGTTACTGCGCTTGAGGAGCTTGGTTCGGCATGGCCTGAGGCTGGAGCAAGCTGTCCATAGAGAGATGCCTCACCATCATCATGTGCTCTTAGATTGAACCGAATCATTCTGATGTGCCACAGCCCGTAGCATTTGGCTTGGATCTGACCCATTGATTGAATGATTGGATTCAATCATTCTATTCGATTCGATTCCTAGGTATCATAGCTAGCTAGTTGGCTGTGTGGTCCTACATATAATAGATTCAATCATTCGGATCACCTTGATACAGGAGCTCCTTCGAAAACCTTCAGTACATACTTTGTATACTGCTCGGGTACAATGATAGGCGCACGCTTCTCTGCTCGAGAATTCGTCATCCAATAAGAGCTCACCATGTATCCATGTATGTCATCCTTTGTCTGCACGTGTTAACGTCATCGCAATCTACATGTAATCGCAAACGAAAGCTGGCAGAATGCCGCAAGCGAATTCTGCCGTTCTGCCTCACAAAATTGAGCATCCGGACGCAAAACGACAGTATGTCAAACCTAATGCTATCTGCTTTGCAGCGAGCCCATGGCCAGCAAGGTCAGCGGCAGCGCTCTCTGAATGTTTCGGGGCAACCGGCATTGGCAGAGCGCTTGGCCTTGCCTTTCTTGCTTGGACGTACGCATATCTCCTCGAGCCAGCAAGAACAGGGGCAACAGCTACTGAGGACCCGTGTCGAGGGACCCTCTCCTCTGTACAACGGTGCCGGTGCCGGTGTTCATAGCTTGGAGCGAACTGTCGCTGAGTTGTGTACACATACGCAGGCTCAAGCAGAAGCAAACGTTTCCCGTCCCACTTCACTCAACCCGCAAGGGCTGCAAGGGTTGCAAGGACTGCATGGACTACCGGAAGGTGTACTTGTACACAATGCATCTGGTTCCGTACTGGTACCTCGAGTTGCTACTGGAACTCGCAGCGGTCGTGGTACGGGGATCACCACGAGCGCAGCTGCCACGGTGCACGGCAGGGAGATGTTCCCTGACAAGCTTTACCGCATGCTCCAAGATACAGAAGAAGCAGGTCTACAGCACATCGTAAGCTTTGCACCCTCTGGCAAGTGCTTCAGGGTTCATAATGTCGACCTGTTTACAACGACGGTCATGCCAAAGTACTTTTCCACCAAGTTGTATCCCTCATTCCAACGACAGCTTACCTTTTATGGGTTCTCTCGTTTTACCGATGGACCAAACAGAGGGTACTATCAACACCCCCGGTTCATCAGAGGCCAGCAAAGACTGTGCAACACGATCCCCAGACCAAAAAGACGAACTCTTCGACCCACGCAAACTACTGGTGACGGTACAGGTAGACCAAGCCCTGGTCCTTCTCGCAACGAATTAGGCACTGCGAATACTACATCAATGACCTCTCGTCCCGCTGCAAGCCCTAACGATGTCGTGGGCTTGATGGCTTCTCTCATTCGTCAGATGCAAAGGCATTAGTCTGTCAAACAATGATGAAACAGAGCCTGATCTCGATGTTGTATATTATATACTGTTCGCTCGGCACTTTGCCATTTGACCGCGGTGCCTTGCTAGCGTCGAGTCGAGTCTCGTCGCGTTTTTGTGCCCAAGCATGATCCGAGCGAATACCAATGAGAGCGAAAGTGGAGTGGACCACCGTATCCTCGTTTCATGTGTAGTTCTTTTATTAAAATAGCTATCCCGCCCGAACAAGCTACCGGTAGGGAGATTGCTTGAAATAGATAATAGATTACTTGTGAAAACAACACGAAGAACGTACCTGGTAGTAGTTCCTCCTTGACTTCATGCATGGATCGTTCGTTCATTTCAGACACATGGGAGAGAATCGATGGATGAAGTCCCTTGCCTGTTCAGGAGAGTTGTTGATCTTGTAGCTAAGCTTTCCGACTTTCCGAAAGCACTGCATCCGGTAGCCACGCCAAAGAACTAGTTCCAGAGATTCCTCCAAGTTTGAGTTTATTACGTCTCCTGAGACGACGCACCTTTTGGTTACCCCCTCAGTTGCACTCTGAAATCGATTGGCTCGCGTTTACTGTGTAAATTAGTGTACCCGCACTTCAGTTGCAGAATCAACGGTCATGTGTATCGTTAAGAAACAAGTTCCCTTTCGAAAGATTTAGATCGATTCGTGGATAAAAAGAACCGTTGAAGGTTCTAAGGTTAAGGTTAAACCAACTCATCGCATGCGCACGTACCGGTACCGGTACCAGGTACAGGTCCAGCCAAATCCATCGTTGAAGGTGCAGCACTGACTTCTCTCCCTCATTGAATTCGTATGGTAAACAGGAAAGAAATCCAAGCTTGGCCGACAACAATGGTGAGGAGTGCTTTATCCAATCGGCCGATTGAACGAACGATTCGATTCGAGGTAAGCCTATTATCAAAGAGTGTTAATTGAAGGTACAGCACTGACTTCTCTCCCTCATTGGATTTCTATGGTATTCAGGAGAGAATTCCAAGCTCGGCCGTCAACGGGTGAGTTGTTTTAATTATTCGAATCAAATCGGTCGCACCTCTATTATCCAAGCCGCTCACTCAAGCCGTCCTTCTCCGGTGTAGATTCGAAAGCCATCCCTCATTGAATCCTATGGATGATGGGATGGCAGTCAGTTCTCAGCCACAGACGGCCAAGTTGGATAACAAGGGTAAGTCGCCGGTTTTCTTCAGTATGAGAAGAGAAGAGAAAACCATATCTATTTCTTACTTTCTATTCTCTTACTGCTGACGGCCAAGGAATTACCATTGTCGCGGTCCAACGAACGATTGATCGCTCCGAATAACATAAGGAAGAAGAGGCTACCGCTACGGAGGTATGTGTACGGAGGAAACTGTTAACTCCAGCCCTACCAACAGCCTGAACGGATCGTCGTCGAGTCATTGAATGGCAACAGCCGTCAAGCGAAGGAGGCTACACGACAACACACAAGCACAGTGGAGAGTGGATCCTCGGACCGGATTCATCCCTCCTTGTTATTTCCTAGTGTTTGGTGGTGATTTCTGTGTCGATATCCATTTTCCTGCGGGAACAGTGCTCGTAGCGCCTGGCTTGATACTATTCCTGTACTCATTGTAATGGTGAGGTAATGGAGCGTAGCGAGCAAAGCCGAAGCTGAGTGTTCGGTACTGTTGCCGATGTAGCTATACCGCAGCCGGCTATAATGGTGATTCTAATGTTCGGTTGTGCATGTATTCGTCATAAGGATCCAATGCAAGATACCGGCAACTGTTGCCGATATAACTATACGGTAGCTAGCTACATTGGCTGGATTGACAATATTCGGTTGTACATGTATTCGTCATAGGGATCCAATGCAAGGTACCAGGTACCAGTAACAGAGCGTAGTGAGCAAGGCCGAAGCTGAGTGTGTTCGGTACTGTTGTCGATGTAACTATACGGTAGCTAGCTACAATGCTGGATTGACAATATTCAGTTGTACATGTATTCGTCATAAGGATCCAATGCGAGGTACCAGGTACCAGTAACAAGCGTAGTGAGCAAGCCGAAGCTGAGTGTGTTCGGTACTGTTGCCGATGTAACTTACGGTAGCTAGCTACATGGCTGGATTGACATATTCAGTTTGACATGTATTCGTCATAAGGATCCAATGCGAGGTACCAGGTACCAGTAACAGAGCGTAGTGAGCAAGGCCGAAGCTGAGTGTGTTCGGTACTGTTGTTTCGATGTACATACGAGCGCACAATGCTGGATTCATAATTTCGTAGTCATGTATTCGTCATAAGGATCCAATGCAAGGTACCAGGTACCAGTAACAGGCGTAGTGAGCAAGGCCGAAGCTGAGTGTGTTCGGTACTGTCCGATGTAACTATACGGCAGTAGTACATTGGCTGGATTGACAATATTCAGTTGTACATGTATTCGTCATAGGGATCCAATGCAAGGTACCAGGTACCAGTAACAGAGCGTAGTGAGCAAGGCCGAAGCTGAGTGTGTTCGGTACTGTTGTCGATGTAACTATACGGTAGCTAGCTACAATGCTGGATTGACAATATTCGGTTGTACATGTATTCGTCATAAGGATCCAATGCGAGGTACCAGGTACCAGTAACAGAGCGTAGTGAGCAGGCCGAAGCTGAGTGTTGTTCTGTACTGTTGCCGATGTAACTATACGGCAGCTAGCTACATTGGCTGGATTGACAATATCAGTTGTACATGTATTCGTCATGGGATCCAATGCGAGGTACCAGGTACCAGTAAAGAGCGTAGTGAGCAAGGCCGAAGCTGAGTGTGTTCGGTACTGTTGCCGATGTAGCTATACCGCAGCGCTACAATGGCTGTTCGTAATGTTCGGTTGTGCATTGTTCTCGTAAGGATCCAATGCAAGATACCGGCAACTGTTGCCGATATAACTATACGGACTAGCTAATTGGCTGGATTGACAATATTCGGTTGTACATGTATTCGTTATAGGGATCCAATGCAAGGTACCAGTACCAGTAACAGAGCGTAGTGAGCAAGGCCGAAGCTGAGTGTGTTCGTACTGTGTCGATGTAACTACGTAGCAGCTACAATGCTGGATTGACAATATTCGGTTGTACGTGTATTCGTCATAAGGATCCAATGCGAGTACAGTACCAGTAACAGAGCGTAGTGAGCAAGGCCGAAGCTGAGTGTGTTCGGTACTTTGCCGATGTACTATACGGTAGCTAGCTACATTGGCTGGATTGACAATATTCAGTTGTACATGTATTCGTCATAAGGATCCAATGCGAAGGTACCGACTGAGCGAGAAAAGCGAACTGAGTGTGTTCGTACGTTGCATGTCGATGTAACTATACGGTAGCTAGCTACAATGCCTGGATTGACAATATTCTTGTGTACATGTATTCGTCATAAGGATCCAATGCAAGGTACCAGGTACCAGTAACAGAGCGTAGTGAGCAAGGCCGAAGCTGAGTGTGTTCGGTACTGTTGCCGATGTAACTATACGGCAGCTAGCTACATTGGCTGGATTGACAATATTCAGTTGTACATGTATCGTCATAGGATCAATGGAGGTACAGTACCAGTACAGAGCGTAGTGGGCAAGGCCGAAGCTGAGTGTGTTCGTACTTTTGCTGTCGATGTAGCTATACCGCAGCCGCTACAATGGCTGATTCAATTTCGGTTTGCATGTATTCGTCATAAGGATCCAATGGAAGATACCGGCAACTGTTGCCGATATAACTATACGGTAGCTAGCTACATTGGCTGGATTGACAATATTCAGTTGTACATGTATTCGTTATAGGGACCAATGCAAGGTACCAGGTACCAGTAACAGAGCGTAGTGAGCAAGCGAAGCTGAGTGTGTTCGGTACTTTTGCGATGTAACTATACGTAGCTAGCTACAATGCCTGGATGACAATATTCGTTGTACATGTATTCGTCATAAGGATCCAATGCAAGGTACAGTACCAGTAACAGAGCGAGTGAGCAAGGCCGAAGCTGAGTGTGTTCGGTACTGTTGCGATTTTGATGTAACTATACGGAGTAGCTACATTGGCTGGATTGACAATATTCGGTTGTACATGTATTCGTCATAGGATCCAATGCAAGGTACCAGGTACAGTAACAGAGCGTAGTGAGCAAGGCCGAAGCTGAGTGTGTTCGTACTTTGTGTGTGATGAACTATACGGTAGCTAGCTACAATGCCTGGATTGACAATATTCGGTTGTACATGTATTCGTCATAAGGATCCAATGCGAGGTACCAGGTACCAGTAATGGAGCGTAGCGAGCAAGGCCGAAGCTGAGTGTGTTCGGTACTGTTGCCGATGTAACTATATGGTAGCTAGCTACATTGGCTGGATTGACAATATTCAGTTGTACATGTATTCGTCATAAGGATCCAATGCGAGGTACCAGGTACCAGTAACGGAGCGTAGCGAGCATAGCCGAAGCTGAGTGTGTTCGGTACTGTTGCCACTGTCGCCGATGAAACTATAGGGTAGCCGGCTACCGGTATACAATGGCTGGATTGACAATATCTGGTTGTAACTGTTGGTTGGGCAAAGGGATACAGGAGACCAACGCTGAAAAAAAGCCGAATTCTCTGAAACTCTATCTGTTTGGGTTGAGGTTACTGATGGGAGTCAATTTTCTCTACGGGACCACTTGACGTTGCCATGGACGAAAAGGACACCCACACGAGCCGAAAGAAAGTTGCTCGTTGTCTGTTTGGCTACAAGAGTTTTGACGCGAACGAAAGAAGATACACCAAAGACAAACCGCTCATCGCGACCATAATATATGCATCGAACCAACAATGACTTACGCGTTAGTTTCCAGCGACGAGAAATACTATGTGGGCGCTGTCTCGCCTACGTCAAGCAAATACCAGAAGATGATGTTCTGGTCTCTGGCTCTAGCAGTATTCCTGGTGCCCCCCTTTTGTGTCTTTGGTAATATCCTGTTTGGAGGACCTGGTGTCTCGTGGTCCTTCCTGTACACCGTTGCACCTGCCTCCATGGTGTACCACGCGCTCCTGTTTTCGCTGGCCTTTTCCAAGAACCACAAACGATTCTTCAATGATGCAGCAGAGTACTGCCTCTCTTCGTTCGCTTCCCATATACTGGCCCTCTACTATTTCTGTCTTTTGGCCGTTCAACTTTTCATCAGTCATTGGAACAATGATCAAGGTCTGGTGGGATCAGTCATGACCACAAGGCTGGGTGTATCTTCAGGTGCTTCCGATGACTTTTTGGCGCTCTTTGGAAATGCTGCCATTGTTTTGGCCATATCTTTGCTGGTCCATGTAGTATGCTATGAGAAAATTGAGCTGGTCAACACCAATGCGCCAACAGTTTCGGTACCGGTACTGCTACCTGTGGCAGCGACAGCGCCTACGCGTACCGGTACAAACAGTCAACTCGATATTGTATGATGCATACAATGTCATGTAGCTCATGTAGCTCGAGGAGTTCAGTTCAGACAAGTATTGCACCGCCATTCAAATGAATGAAAGAAAGCACTCCCACTCTTTAGAAACCGGTACTACATGTACCTCCTAAAAGATAACTCTGCAATCATGTATGTGATTCGGTTTTCTAAAGAGTCTATAGTTGTTGGTTTTAAAATGCTCTTTGATTCAATGCCAATTGCGTATCCGAGTCTCGAAGAGCCTAACATCATTGGCTGGGTGGAAAGGACAAAAAACTCGTGTGGCTGAACCCAAGCTGACTGAGCGAACAGCACGTGTTTGGTTGTTCGTTGTTCAAGTTCGTTTTTAATATAGTCTATTACTAGCTAGTAGTTGACTTTGCGTATCGGCATGTGTGTAGGTTGTTTGTAGGTGTATCCCTTCTGCTGGCGGTCGATGCGTAAGTAACACCGGCATACCCATATCGGACGCACTAGACCGTCAGCTACAATGCCTCTAGCTAGTGCAAGCTCTTTTGTGTCCTGTTTTCTTTTTGACGTAATCTCCCTTTTCTGATGCATTCTTCCGTGGTTTCAGGTCGCTGCCTCAGGGGGCATTGACATTGACATTGGTATTGGTATTGTTGGGGCCCCTGGCTCTCTTGAAGGGACGTTCATTCTGAGTTTCCATGGCAGCATGCGGGCGAGCGGCGGAAGCGGAGCCCTGCGCCATGACGCTCCTGGCGAGCGATACAGAATCGACGCTAGGCACAGACAAAAGTAAAGGGACCCACTGCTCCCTCAACTGCTCCGTTGAACAAGATTGAATCTCTCCGCGAATTGCAGCAATGGCTTGATTCGTGAGGAATGCCCTGGCTTCAGACGACCAGTTTTGGGTTCTTGCCAACTCGTGCAATTCCAACAGTCCTCGAGTTGCGGGCGACACGTTGATCGAACGGTTCCTTCCTGGTGGGCTGCCGCTGCCAGTGCCAGTGCCAGTGCCAGTGCCAGTGGCGGAGTTTACGTGCCCGGTCCTGCTCGCAGGCCCGTACGGTTGAGACGAAGGGACCCGATTCTGCAGATTCTTCAGTCCCATCATATGGTTGCGGCTGGACCAGAATGTTTCCTCCAGCGCCTTGAGTTCGTCTTGGTTCTTTTGCGCCTCGGCAGGGCTGAGTAGGAGTGTGACCGCCTGGTGTGTATACTGCAGACGACCGTTGTATTCAGTATTCTCAAACTTCTTGGAGATCCTTTTTGGGTTACACTGGAGCTTCTCAGCAATGAAGGCCCTCATGGTACCGGTAGTGTTAGAGCTGGACGCAAGTTCGGGCAAGTTGCCAGCTCTGTACTCCACAACGAGCTTCTCGACGTATTCCATCTCCTGAAAGGTCCACGCCCCCATATACATGACATTGTCTGAAAACAGCAAAGCACCAAAAGACAATCATGAGACACATTAGGTGACGTCAAGATCAACAGTCTGTCATACCGGTACGCTACTGTACCTCGGCCTCTCTGCTCCTTTTTTGTGTCGCTGTTTGGTGCCATGGCCGAGCTCAAGGGTCCTTTTTTGAACGTTCCTTCCTTCATCGCTTCTTGTGTGGGTTAGACTAGTAGCTGCCGTAGCTATGCATGGATCTAGCCAGACCACTACCAGGTACTAGCTAGAAGACTGGTACAGCGTAGCTCTACTAGAGTAGCTTTGGTCAGTCTGGGCTTGTCCCGTACCGGCACCACCAGGTACGCGAGGTTCTCAAAATTTGCTGACGCCAGCCTTCTTTTTGTTGTTCTCGTACTGGTCCGGAAGTTACGCCGACGGTATCGATGTTCTGCACGACATGCCGTCGCTACAGTGGGTGCTGCCTATCTATTGCCCCTGACGTTGCAGAAGAGAATCTAAACTCTAGCAAGCCGCTTGAGACAAAAAATTCATTTACTCTATTAGAGCACCTACTGATACTGGTACCTTACCTCCTTACAGCCTTAGTAGCTAGCTAGAGATAGGATGACTTGCACTTATGCTCACTTCACGCCTTACCGGGTACAGTCGTACTCAGTACTGAGTAAGCACTTTGGTTACTTATAAAATCATGTCGTATTTGTCGGAGGCCTAAAAAACTGTGTTCCACTACAGTCAGCCCTCTCTCTTATTTATGAGGGGGTATCCTGGACTTTGATAAATATAATGGAGGGCATAAATATAAGCGTTTTCTAGGGCCTTATTTGCTAGTAAAGTACGAATGAAGGGAGCTATCACGCTTTCGCTTGCCTGCCTTAGCAGCCCTAGCCATATTCAATCGGCGTCGTTCATGTTGGTCTAGTCGGATTGGAGCCTTTGGTATGGTTTGCGTGAAATTGTTTGGCAGCTCACAAGAATTGTTTTTGTCTGGTCAAAACCATCCTTCCAAAAATGCACGTAAGCAACCAGGGCTTGGGCTGGCACCGACGAGACAGCCTCTGAGAGGTGCGTGCAGAGGTACCGCAGAGGTGCGAGGAATCCCACGTCCATTGGATCTATATCGGCATTTTACATGCCATCTCGGTCAAATTGAAACGGTTGGAATGGATTGTGCGACGTTGTCGGGCTGCTCGAAAGATTTGTTGCTGCAGTCACGGTCACTCATGACTGCAGTCACGGTCACTCATGACTGGGGGGGGATCTCGAGATTTAATAAATATAATAGAGGGAATAAATAAGAGATTATAAATAAGAGGGAGGGCTGACTGTACTAGCTATCATAGTACCTTCACACTGGATGTCGTTTGTTCTCTGTTCCGATGCAATTCCATCAAAGTTTTTGGTCGGTTGCCGGCTTGGTGCAAGATAGATCTAGCGTTCAGTACATGCATGTGTGTAGCCAATGACGAAGTTCTGCCATAATCTGTAATCTCATTCGGATATTGACGGCAACACCTCTCGATCCCCAAGAGATACCGGTAGTATCGTACTAGTACTTGCTCACACCTCAGGAGAAAGCCACATTACCAGTACCAGTAACGGTACATGTAGTTATGCAGGCAAGTGGACTGAGGAAGAAGCAGTCTATGTGGACTGCCTGATTGAAAACTTTCAAGCAGGCAACCTTGACGGTGTGCCCAACGGGACCACGTTGAGGGGCTACCTTTCCAAAATGCTTGGCTGCGACCCCAAGCGTGTCTCCAAACGATACGAGAACTCAGACTATAATGGTAGGCAGAAATATACACATGTACCGGTATGCTCAAACAGCATTTCTGCAGTACATGTGCTAGAAACAATGAAGAGGAGGCTTCAAGACAGCTCCATTGCATTCTTGGAGAGCCGCAAAGCAATCCTTAAAGCTTCACCAGGATCCCGAGCTATTACAAACAAGTGCACACTTAAGGAACCCCGTCAAACAAAATCAAACACATGTAAGACAAGGAGCCATGCCCCTGCCTCTGCCTCTGCATCTAACCCCCTTGACAATCGAGCTTCGACCCCGTCTGTGCTACCGGTATCCATTCAAGGTGCGCCCGCAGGCAGTACCGGTACTGCTCCCAACGTTCTACATGTACACGTACCTCCACACGCACATGCTCCAAGTGTAGGAAACCTCTCAGCCCCAGCCAACCATACCGGTACCGGTATACATACCCTGGACAGTCTCCTAGCAGCTACCGGTACAACTGCAAGGTCTGGAAACAACCTCCAGCAACTCAGGAACTCCTCGTTCATGGGATTTACCAATGCTGCTGCTGCTATCCCCAGTATGTTGATCAACATGCCATCTGGTGCTACCGGTACCATTACCAGTTCTTTACTATCCGAGTCCTCTCTGGGCAATGGCTTGGTCCCTCAAAGGGTTCAGGGTGAACAGTTTGTCCAAGGGAGAATGCAAGAAGCACAGAGGGCAGCACTGGAGCAGAATCGAGAGCAAGAGGAGGCCCTCCATTTGTTTGTCTCTGCCCTCGACATGACAGCAGCTCCACTTCCTGCTGCCATTGATCCAAACCAGTTGCTGCGTTTGCTTCGTTTGCTTCGTCACGCCTGATATTGATCTCACAACACCTTCACGGTATGGCGAACACAGCAGAGGATAGAAAGCCAGCACACCGCCGGGGGTGGTAGAAGCTGGCACAGTTACCAGCCAGCAAGCGACCAGCTCTACGTCTATATATCCATATATTTAAAAAGCTAGGCAACATTGATGTATGTATGGCTTCTTCTCTCCCGACCATGGTGTACGATGTTGGATACAAGGGAGGAATTCAATTCCGGCGCCCCTTGATCTGCATGCAAAACTGGCGGGGGGCTATGATCGAGTGGAAGCAAGACAAGCAAGACAAGCAAGAGCAGATGTACCAGGATTGATCATTCAGGACAAAGCGGTATGACCCGTGACATTCCTCCACGCCAGGATTTCGTCCCGTCATGGCTATGTACCGCTATACTCGGAGTTACACCAAGGATTCCAAAACTTGGCAGTACTATTTTAGGCAGAGGCTGTCTCTACGCTGCTGCTTACAGTGGTTTCTAGTGGCGTGGGGCTCCCTTCCTCTTGAGATGTCCCCGCGTCCTCGACCTCCGTAGTACAGACAGTCACATGAGCACTCAGGAATTTCATATCTTCCAGAGAGGGCTGCTGTGCTGAGGCTCTATCTTGAATCGACGCGACGCGGATGATATGTGTATCTTCTAAGCTTGATGTCAAGTTGCCATGCTGGAGAGGGAATTTCTTGGGATCCAAAACTGGCTCGGCTGAAACATCCTTCTCCCAATACAAGGGGTCGGGTCCCATGTAAAGATGAGTCTGCGTCGCGTAGTAGCTGTCGTTGTCAACCTTGAAGTCGACTGAAATCTCACTAGTCTCGTTGTCCCACGAGACCCATACGGTTCCCACATTTTCGCCGCGTCGACTGCAATCGCCCAGCGTATCGAGGTACAAATCTAGAATGAGGATCCCCCCGGTCAGGCGCAGTGGCCCATTGCTCCAGCCATAGGTATAGTTCCGATGGATGCGTGGAAAGCAGACCGCGTCCAGAGTTTCATCCAACGCCCATGCATCCCGGCACTGGAGCATTGGATTCTCGTCTTCTTGCTCAATTACAGAGGGAGAGATGGAAGTAGAAGCAGGAAGGAGTTGAGTCTCAAGTGGCGAATCCTTTTGGGGCGGTGTAGTATTATCCCTGGAAGTGAGATTTGGCTTATTCGTTTCCATTTCACCACCCGCTGGTAGTGCATCATCTACCACCATGGCAGGGCTCTTGGAGGGGGTGTTCACGTAGCCTGGAGCGCTGTGCATCGGGGATACTTCAAACGTGGTTGGAGCATGGATTATGTCTTTCAACTCTTCGAGGGATCGCCTCTTCTCGCCGTCGCCGTCACCGTCGTCCTTGACCTTGTATGCTGCACAGTCACAGATGACACTCGCAAGAACATAGTAAGCATTGGCAGAGTCAGAGAACGGATAGGCTTTGGCAAATGCATCTTCCTCGGAGTAGGGCACAAATGGTTGTTTCGGCGTGGGAGATACAGCCGGTTCCGCCACAAGTCCGTGTGCGACGACATAAAGGTTGTAGGCCCCTTGAGATTGGCATTTGGCTTGTGTCATTTCATCCAAGGGAATCACATCGGTGAACGTATCGGAACCTTGGGGCCAGCGACGTCGGAAGGGGAAGGATTCTGTGTCCGGTTCCTGATCGTTGTTCACCGGAACGTCAAAGAGGTCGCTACCAACCCAGATGCTTGCTTCGGCCAACGACCAGTAACCGACAACATCGTACATGACAACGAGTTCACCTTCTACCAGGGTCAAGCACACGCTACCGGCAGTGGTTTCCCAAGCATGCGGGGCATGCAACGCCAGGCAGTACTCTCCGCTACCATCTTCCGTGTACATACAAGTGTTCTTCATATCTACCAAAATAGTAGGGGCCTGAGTAGGACTAGGGCTTGTCTTTGGTGTCATTGAGACGTCCGAAGGAGAGTCACTCGGAGCGGCACTGACAGTAGGCCGAAGCGTTGGGCTTGATGTGGGGGCTGCAGTTGGTGCAGAAGTAGGATCGTCGAGGGTTTCGAATCCAATAGCTTCGTCCTCGTCGCACTTGCAGTCAAGGCGCATGTCAACGTAGTAGAACCATTTATCCTTCTTCTGCAGCAGGGTCTCCTCCGCGTAGACATGCTGTTCGGATCCTTGTTTCACAGGGGAATTGCCACACTTGTCATCTGGGCCGCATGGTGAGCCCACGAGTGCATGGGCCACCACAACCAAGTCAAAGTCTCCATGTTTAGAGCCGGCACATCGTTCCTTGCGCTCCAAGGGAACCTGTGTGAACCATGTTTGGGTCTTCTTGTACCACATCCTTTGATACTCAAAGCTTCTGAGATCGGGTGACTTGTCTCGTCTCATTGGCATGCTCTGCAAGGCCGAGCCAACCCAAACCTGGGCCTCGGCCAACGCCCAGCCATCGTCGAGTGAGTACCTTACATTCAGATGCTCTTGAGCCTTGTCCAAACTGAAGCATGCTTGTCCCACAACGGTATCAGCAGTATCGTGTGCTGTTAATGGGAAGCATTCAGACTCAGCACGAAGGCAGGCCTGACCAGGAAGGAAGCTTGCAGTGTAGTTCCCACTGTCGCGATCGTCTGATGCAAAAACATCAGTGCAATCCTTGGCCAGCGCCATGACATAGATGGTATCTCCATAGTCAAAGCCTTCCACCGTGTAGCTGTCGGTGTAGGGGGCATCCACAAACTTGTCTTCACCGTGTTGGTAGGGAAAGTCCAAGAAGGCCGACGCCGAGGACACTTGGCTCTTGTCTGCGTTGCGATTGTGCACTGGAAGAGGATCCTTCCCCACGTACAGCAGTGTACTCTGCAGAGGAAAGGAGTCGTCAAGCGTGAAGGTCACGTCGGCATCCTCTCCATCAAAAAATACCTTGACGGTGCCGACTTGTTGTGGTTCACCTTCTTCTACAGCAATTTCGCCGTCTACTGTCGCCAAAAGATCCAGGACAATAAAGGAGTAAGACGACGCAAATGGCCCATTGGTGTAACCCCAAAGATCGTATCCAAAATTCTCCAGCGGTCGTGCCAAGTCTGGCTTGGCCGACGCAAAAGCCATGGCCGTTCGACAAATCTTTTGTGGCGGCGGAGGTGGAGGCGGGTAAGATTCATCCACCTCATCCTCATCCTCGGCGACTTGTTTGTCAATAGAGGAGGGAGGGAGGTTGCCTCGCCGCATAACTTTGCTCTCGTGAGGACGTGAACATCCGCACTGAAGGTTGAGCTCCATCCAACCAAACTCTACATCGTCACTGACGTATCTGTACTCGTACGCGTAGCCCCCGAGGGAGTGTCTGGCCAATGTTGTCGACGATACCATGTCGGCCCTGGCATGCGCAACGATCGGAATGGAGACGATTCCGTCTTCGGGTGACATGTTCATGTCTTTGAACTTGGGATGTTCGCTAGAACAGAGGTCTGTTGGCAAATGGAACTCAAAGACAATATCTGGCAAGCCATTTGGATCCGCAAAGTATTGATCAAACGCTTCCAGCTGAACTTGTCGGCTATCCTCTGGCCGTCGTGGTACGGAGTGGATGGAGTCACCGGCATGAAAGCCTGCCCAAACACTGGTTTGGACGAGTTCCATGTGGTCCAAAGGGCTAAAGGTGAATGCCAGCTCGGTCTCTTCCATGTCCTGGCTGGTGATGTCGACGCAAACGCGACTGATGGGTGATTGCAAGGTAGTGTCTAGAATATCCCAGCAGTGATGACCGCCTAGCGGGCTATCAAGTAGTCGAAACATGTCGGGGCCTTGGCATGCCTTGCCATAAGGGTAAAAGTCCTTTGGAAGCTTTGCCGGTGTGTTTTTGCGACTGTTCGGAGATGAAGACGACGAGGAGGTGTTGCTGTTGCCGTTGCTGCTGCTGTTGCTGTAGTTCTGTTCTGGTGCTGTTGGTAGTTGGTCGTTTTGTTCTGCGATCGTCGGCGGCACGACGCACCGACAATCAACTGATATTTCCATCCAACCATACCATCCTCCAGCTCCTTGTCCGTCATATTCCATGGCAAAGCATGCTAGTTCCTCTTGAATACCGGTAGCCTGATTATGACTGGTTTCTTCTGCGGGGGTTTGCGGGTGCAATGATTCGGACGCTGCCAACGACTGCGTGACAACAAAGAAGGTATGTTCCTTCTTGTTTTGGCAGTCTATTGGTATTTGTGTCTCCCATTGTTTGGATCCCTGTGTATGGTTACTCCATGACGTGTCAAACTGGTTTGTGTTGATGTGTCCTGTAGTTTGTATCCGAGGTACATCCAGCATGGAGTTTCCGACCCAAACATGATGCTCCACAAACGTCCACGTGCGAGCCACTGAAGACTGAAGCGATAGAAAGGTCAAACGCAGCGCTGGCTGGTCCAGTGAATCTGGCACGAGTTCGGCGCAGACCGATCCGGTTGGTTCGTCCATCTCGGCGACAATGGGATGGCATTCTTGAAGTATTGGGCCTAAGAGAGGCACTGATAATGATTGTCGCGATGCGTGTGCGTGTCTCGAGTGAGCGGATAGACAGTGTATTGAATGCTGTTCTTGTTGAAGCGCACTTCTGCTTTCTCGCTCGAGATCTGGTTCCTCGTACTCGTTGTCGCCGTCCAAGGTGTGAGCATACGCCGACGGTGCGCTTTGAATTATGAAGTTAATGAGCAGAGAGGCGGTAGTCGTCGTCATGATCAGCGTTAAGCTGGCCTTGATCCAACAGCGGAAGAGTCGTTGTCGTGGTCGTCCTCGTATTCTTGTTGGTTGCCAACGGTCATTCTTGCCCGTTGTAAGATTCGGACCTCGATCTTTCCCGTCTCCTCCTTCCTGGGCCTGAGCCTGAGCCTGAGCCTGAGCCGCAGCCGCAGCCGACATTATCATTGTCGCAACTTTCATTCTTCTTTGGCAAGGAACTTCATGCAGCGGATGTCGACGGCGCTGCTCCTTGGTCGGTCCTCGTTGATGACGATTGTGGGGTAGACCGCTCGGCAAGTCAGATGCCTCTGTCTGCCTTTTTTGGCTTTGGTCGAGTATAAACAAAGAAAGGGAAGCTTCTGAAGTGCAGTGTTGAAGCCTCCGTCTCAGTGAAATACTTGTTCATTCACTGTTTGCTATCGTATGAAGCCTGGTTGCTTGGTTGCGGCCAATTATTTCAGATAGCTTGTGGACACGAAATTTGTAAAATAATGAAAGCGGCGCTGATCGAAGGAGGGAGCTTCCGGCAATGACTCTGCAAGATATGTTTTCGAACATTGCTATCTTTCCCCACAGGAGTTGTACAGGAGCCCAAGATCTTTCTCACCCAACAGGTCCGACAACTGGAGGGTCCCAAAAAGTCGTGTTAGGCTCCAATGACGACGAAGATCTACCACGCTCCACGGGATTTGTACACAACAGCCAGATCTTTTCGAATGAATGACAGGCGCGCTCCGAGGAAGATCTTTGCAAGATCTTCAATGACTCCCTGGTACGTCTTTGGTACGTCAGTCGCGATTGGGGTATGAGAAGCCGCAGCAGATAAACAGAAGTAACATGTACCGTACTGTACTAGTACCGGTAACGGAGGGCTCAACGGCGTTTCCCAAGACACTTTCAAGACGACAGGAAGGGACGAGGATTTTTTAAAAGAAAAATGACCACCAAAGAACATAGCCGTGGCTACTGTAACTGTGAAGCCGTGAACTGATCCAGGCTTCTTTTCAGTACATGCTGTGATGCTGAGATACTCCGAAGCCGTCAAAGCCATATCCTTTGCTTGATCTACACCCAGTTAAAGGCTTAGCTTGTGCCAATCTTCCCACCTATCTGGCAAGCTGCCTCCGTACGGGTATGGCATACGGTAATGTTGACAGGCCATGATGAGACTATGCATACTATAAATAGTATGTTGGAAGGGATGGCCTCAACAATGCCGAGCTGACATACTGGTATCTTGGCAATTAAGTTTACTATCTGGCTTCCCCCGAAGACATGCTTTTAAGTTAGAGCCTCACCAGCCAGCTATTCAGTTCTGGAACTCAATGTGACAGCAGAACATTGTCAAGATTCTTTGTTTGGAAGATTACATTGGATGCTGCTGTCGTCACCAACATTGTTTGTTTATTTTAGGTAGCACCAAATAATGCCAGCCTCTCTGTTTGACCAATCCAGTGTCTTTTGAATGCAAGAAGGGAGGTGAGCTGTGTTTTTTGATTGGTGATCATACTAATGATAAAATTTTTGGGGGTTTGTCGGCTAGAAGTTTGTCGGTTCTAGCACTATTGGAAAAGACAAGAATTAGCTTATGCGTCTATTGCATTATCTTCTATCACATGCATGAAGAGCTACACTTCTGTATGTGTAGTAGAATGTCTTAATTAATTAATAGTAATAACTAACTTAGTTGGCTATGCTGCCTTTGCCGACAACTGTGAATGGTTGGATCCGTCTAAGCACTGTTCTACAATGCTGGCCTGTCGCCTTGGGTATCTAGGTCGGCATTCCATGCTTCGTCGTCTTCTAGGTCTTTGCGGCGCAGCGTTGGATCGCAGGGGTGAAGCTGTTTGCTTTTGAAGATCTCGACTTCGGTCAGTGGCAGCCTTGACGATTTCTTGCTTTTCTAGGAACTGCGGACTGAAGCACTGAGGCGCTGCGATACTTTGCCAACGGCAGTGCGGTTGCTGTTCCAGTCGAGCCAATGCTTGTTGGAACTGACTGCTACGACGTTGCTTTCGCAAAGACCGGCGAGCTTGCGAACGACTGATCTTAGCGCTACTGATACCGATACGTGCCCTCTTCTTGTTGGCGACTTCGGACATGGTCGTATTGCGGGGCGGGGACCGGTGGTTGTCAACCACGATAGTGATCGTGGCGTTGGCGTTGGCGTTTGTGTCATGGTTCGTGTTCTCGTTGTCCGATTCTTGCATTTGCTCGAGCAACACCTGAAGGTACAGACGCTTGCGGAGAGTCAGGGTGTAGTAGTCCATCCTTACTGTATATACTTGCTTTGTGCAAAGTGTTTCAATCTTATGCTTTGCTTTGTTTTGTTTTGCTTTGTTTTGTTTTTCTTTGCTTTTGTGAGCTAACTAATGGATAAACCTTCGGAACTTGCACTGGCATGCCGTGGTGGCTCCCGGTTCCATTGGTTCCAATGCTGCTTCCACGCAGACTGGCTAATCAGCCGGGAACGAATCGAATCCTCCCGTGAAAGGTGAACCCAAACCTGTGAGCAGGGTTACCACGGTTGCCGGCGGTTCACCTTTTCTGCTTGCAGTTTGTTTTAAGCCCTCTCGAATGTCTGAGGGCTCCCAGAGTCGAGTCCACCCCTAGATTATTTTGGGAATCCCCCTCTGAAAGTATGGATGGATACCGAACTCTACATACAAGACCCGAACAATCTTGGCTTGTGACTTCCCCCTAATGTTTGGGATTGCTGGTACGGTACTGGCACTACTAGCTAGTACCGTCCTGGTCATTGATTGATAAAGTGGAGCACCGACATGCTTTGGAGGCCCCGAATGATCTTGGCAGGAACAGTTCACTCGTTCACTCCAAGGCTGGCTACGATGCCGGTACCACGGCACCGAGCTGGGGTTTTGTGAAGACTACTACATGTAGTACTTGCTAGCTAGCTTGCAGGTTGTCGATGACCCTGATGCCATGCCTGAAGACAAGGTTTATCCTCTCTTTCATAGGCTGCTTCGGTAATAGAAGCAAAGAGGATCCTTCCTCCACAGCCGCTACTAGCAACTGGCTAGCTACCGATAGCTAATGATACCAGATTGTGGTACGATAGCCTTGTATCTAGCTTGTATCGGTAGCTGCAAAGCATTAGGATAGGCTCATTTGTGGGTGTTGCTGCTGAACCGAACGGTACCGGTACAGTGAGTGAAGAACCTCATCCTTACTGATCAAAGGCGGATCTTTACTTTGTCCGCAGTTGAACAGCACACAGCACAGCAGCAAGCAAAACCTTATCATTACGTTCTCACAAATCACTGGGAAGACGAAGAGACACTGCCATCATCTGCAGGAGCTACTACCAAAAGTAGTAGTACCAGTATGTATTGTAAGAGAGAGATGAGGATGTCAGCTATGCATATGCATACCGGTACTAGTACCGGTATGCACACACGCAGCTCTTTAGCTAAGAAGAGGATTTCGTGGTTACCGTTGGTTTGTGTTTGGGTTCGGGTTCTGTTGGTACTGTTTTCTCTATCTAGCTCTACTAGTACTGGTACTGGTAGCTTGGTTTCAGCTGAAGCAGCTGATGATCATGAGTGTGCTGCATCTGGCAAACTGGCGCTTATCACTGGAGCTACTGGACGAGTGGGTCAAATAGTCGCTCGTCAACTTTTGAAGGAAGGCTTTTGCGTGCTTGCGTTCACCCGCAATGCCACCAAAGCTCAGGTACTGTATACTGATGAATTGCAGTTGAATGAAGATCAAGCGAAGGGTAAAGTGCAAGTAGTGGTTGGCGACCTGGGAGATGGCGTCTCTGTCAAAAAGGTATTTCAAGAGCACCAGGTCAGTAATGTTGTCTTTGCAGCGGGAGGAGAAGAGGCCGACTTTAACGCGGTCAATTATTGAGGCGTGGAGGAATGCGCAATCCACGCTGCGCAATCCAAGACTGTTCAATCAATCGTCGTCATTAGCGCTGCTTGGCCCAGCAAACCATATTCCCTTGCTTCACTCCTTTTCAACTATCTATATGCAGAAATGCCAATGGCTAGACACTGGCAGGGAGAACGGGCACTACAAGCTGCTACTGCCAATTCAAACATCAACTATGTCATTTTGAGGGCAGGAAAATTGGTACCAGACCACGAATTTCCATCGGATGCTCCCACCGGACTCACCTATGGACAAGGGGATGCCTTTTGGTTTTTTGGTGTGGCAGGAATACCTGGCATGTGCAACACGCAACTTGCACGGTCGGTGCGAACGGCAATGAAGGTGCAAGGACAGTATACCGTCGAGGTCACGGGAGGCACCACGGATGCCAACGACCCAAAGGCATTCTTGGCATTGCAGCAAGACCAACCACTACAAGAAGCGATACCGGGGCTAGCAGATCATTCCGAAGAACAAGTGCTTTCGATAGCGCTCCAATGCCACGAACAAGCGCTCGTCGATTTCGCCATTTATGCTGGAGGATTTGGACTGCTCTTTGTCTTGCTCATGCTCCGGGTTCAGTGGGGCATTCCTGCCAGAATCATTGCCCTGCTTTTTATGCCCATTCTATTTGTGCTCTTTTGGACCTTTGTCATGTCGGACAAATCCGTTGAGGATTGTCTACGTACTGCTGCTGCTGCTGCACAAACCAAAACCAATGAATTATAATTGCATGCATATTATGGAGTACGGTACATGTACATGTAAGGAATTGCACATGTGCACAGCTGAATGATGAATGATGAATGAGAATCGAATCGAGGCGAATGATTGAAACATGAATTGCTTGGTACGGTTCGGAATTTATTGGTACCACCACTGCAGGCAGACGTACTCTAGAGTACTAGTACCTGAAAAAATAAAAATTATGAATTGGGTGTCGCCTTGACTCCTTTGCAAAAGCAAGGCAGGTCCAGAACTGGCAGGTCAAGTCGATCAGCCACCCTCGAAGGCCTACCGTCAATAAAATTAATAAAAATCATATTATGAGGGTTGTTTCTAGCCGCACTCTAGTAAAAATGAGGGTCAGTAATACCAGGTAGGTAGACTAGCTATCATGAGTGTCAGTCAATCAGGCCTGCCGCTGCATCAGCTATAATAAACTCCTGAACTAAATCTATCCATCCATCTGGCTGGACGCCAATCTCCAAGTGAGAGGGTAGATATCGGACACCTTATCGTACCGGTACCGCTACTAGCTAGCTAGTATGCATACTACGGTACCGGTACATATGATAGTCCTCTTTAAACTGATCAAGCATTGTCATGATCGACACATAACGTCAGTTCTTTTTCAACCAGAATATCGTACACTTGAGATAGCTACATGTATGATTGACGTCAGTAAAATGAAAGCCATCAACCACGTACTTGTGTATGTCGACAGTGATTCTTTCTACAGCTGGTAGCTAGCTGGTCATCCCTCACTCTTATGACAGCAGTCTGGTAGCACAGCCAGCCTTTTCTTACTTGCTCTCATCAAGTTCGTCAGTGATCGTCATCCATCGACACAGAACGTCAGTTCTTTATTTCTTATAGTGACGTGAGTTTGAAGGAAAGCCATCAACCACGTCTGTCTACAGTGGTTCTTTTTCCAGCTGGCCGTTCCTCCCGCCTCTTTCAATTCACTAGCTACTACTAGCTAGTCTAGCTAGTAGCTACTACAAGTGTACGGGTGCACTTGGCAAGCTTCCAGACAAATAAATGCTACCGACAACGCAACAACGCAACAACCCAACAACTATAACATCGAATCGAATCATCAAGAAGACAAGCTAGGTAGATAGATAGATAGATAGATAGATAGATAGAGCAAGAGTAAGTGGGTCAGTATGAGTAATAGACGCAGAGGAGATGACGACTATGACGACTTTGAAGACGAGGACTCGAACTCCCGAAAACGGAGCAAAACGGATACGAGCTCCAGTAGCGGCGGCGGTAGCTCGACGACGTGTAGTGCTGGGAGTACATGCACTAACAGCGGTACTAATAGTAACAGTGGTACCAATAGTGGTACCAATATTGGTAGTGATCCACCATTGCAAGCTCCAACACAAAGTCATGTGCATACGGGTACGGCTGAATCCAAACGGAGACTACGAAACGAGCGAGAGCAGCGCAGATCTTCCCTCATCTCCAATCAGTTTGACGCGCTGCGGGATCTGCTGCTGGACGCGGGAGTTGTGGTCCCGCAAGGAACCAGGGGTACAATTCTTACCGCTGCAAAACAGTACATTGATATCTTGAAGGACAAGCAGAGACAAGTCGCCGAGTAAGTTGCTTCTGCCGAATGTGCATGTGCGTGTATCATAGACCGGTACAGTACCGGTAGCTAGATGTGCTACCTAGCTACTAGCTACTAGCTAGGCTATGCTGCTGGCTAAGGCTGGCTACTATAGGTGGCACCTGATCAATCTCTCATCCATCCTTTGCTTCTCTCTCTCTCTCTCTCTCTCTCTCTCTCGATTTCACTCCTCTCTGTACTGGTACCTCAATTGCCTACCGCTAACCAACAAAACTTGCAACCAATCCTGCAGAAAGAAGGAACGTTTGCTCCACCACTTACAGCAAGTACAAGGGGGACAAGCCCAGGGAATATCCGCGTCAGCCAGAACCGTCAGCCACACGGATGTCATCAGTGCTGCTGCTGCTGAAACAATAGCAGCTACAACCACCGATTCCGATACTGATACAGATGCAGATACCGGTACTGCAAAGTCCATTGCAGATTACACGGCAGTCTTTCAAAATAATCCAACTGCCATGGTATGATTTTCTTTCTTCATGAACAGACCTGCATGTGCAAAGCAAGATGTGTCCTTCTCGTCCTCATTTTGCATCGCCTTTCTCCATTGTCATGTACTACGCTGCAGGCCATTGCTGGAATTGGAGGCTACTTGGTGGAATGCAATGATTGCTTCCGACGAATGACAAACATGGATTCCCAACAAGACCTAAACCAAACTTCCCTGTTTGCACTCGTTGCAGACAAGGAACTACCAAACGCATTTGCAAGAATATCACAATGGATCATGCACCTCCATGAAGCTGACTCGAACGAAAAGGCAACGCTTACGTTTCAGAGCAACATTCGTGTTCACGTTGCAAACAAAGACGAAGACGAAGACAAAGACCACGAATCATCACAAAGGGGAAACCAAAACCATTGGTGGCAGCTGTGTTTGACACCCGTCCATGAAACCAAGCAAATTGGCGCTGCACAACACGGCTGTGTCTCGGGCAACTTTTTGCAATATATCTGTGTCTCTTTGCTGCTTCCAGTCCCAAAGTCGCCTTCCCCAACGGCTCCTAGCCCTCTTCTCGTACCGACGCCGATGCCAATGACGCAACTTCCCCACACCCCGTTTTAGAAGGTGCCATCATGCATGCATGTATGTATCACAAGAGGGGCCATTGCACATACACGTACGTACACACTACACACAGAGAAGGTCTTATATAGTACCGTAGCCATTGTTCCAAGTAACTGTAACTGTACCGGTACTAGTACCTTACAAGTATATCGTACACGAGGCAGTGTCACCAACTTTAATAATCTCATGTTTACATTAGTGAACTCACTCAACTCTGGAACGCAAAAGCGCACGGCTTGCTTGCCATAGACTGTTGCGTTGCCAGTCTAGACTAGTTACATGTACATGTAGGTGTCATACGGTACGGCACATGGAGACTTGGTTTGTAGAATGCTGCACGAGAAGGAAGACGCCCCGCCACCGACGAGGTCCAATGTCCATTCCAGCCTTGTCTGAGAATGCTGCCCACCTCTTTCTCGAATGGGGCCAGAATCAATTTTAAATTATTTTAAACAACTTTTTATTATTTTATTTGCTAGTGTTGCTACTGTACGCTAGCGCATTGTGGCTGCATCGTCTCAATTGATGATTGATGGCTGCCCCGTGTACTGGTACGAATGCAAGTCGGGTATGGAGCCGTACGGTACGGTGCGTTTGTTGAACGATCTTACTACTAGTAGTAGTCGACTGTATGTGTTGCAAACAAAGTGGACTGTCACTATTAATAGACTTGACTTGCTGGACTAACCAATGGCCTGTGCAGGTATGGCGAGTTCATTGTGTGAGTGTGACCCACTTTTGTGGTTCTTCTCTGAATCACAATCCATAACTGCACCGGCACCGGTATGAATAGTCGTGTTGTTGGTAGGGGAAGGGATGGGACCAGAGGGCCCCAATTCGAGCAAGTAGTAAGTGGTAAGTTTCTGTGTATAGCGGAAGTTTCTGTTCTTGAATGCATTGTGGTATACGAGTATTTCTTTTGGAGAGGACCCCCTTACGGGATGTAGAACCACGAGTTGACCGGCAAATAGATCTTCGACAGCGGTGTTCAACTCATCGTATTCCATTCCGACCGTAGTGGAGTGAAGTGGACCTTTTTGCCTCTGAAGAAAAGCTCCGTATGCGGCATTGTGATGTACGACACGATAAGGTGCAACAGGTTCCAGTAGCAATCTGTATCCATGAGTAGAATTTTGAAAAAGCAAGCAAGGAAGCAAGGAAGCCATGGAGAAAGGAGCAGTGAGCCAGAAAGTTGAATTAGAACTTGCATCGACGACGGACGAAGTCGATAGTATATACATTGTTGTACATGTAACTTACCGGGCATGAGGGGAGAAGGACAATGCTTCTTCGATAGTGCAGGGTTGTGGGGATAGCAGGTATGGCAGTCTCTGATGTATGGGTGGATGGACTGCATTCGGTGCTGGTGTGCTGCTGCTGCTGGCGGTGCTTTGCGAAAGAGGAATGCTTGAAAGAGTCGGCGACGGATTCCAAGTGTGTATCTGCGGAAGCAACTGGAAGACCACCTTTTGTGTCGTCTTTTCCTTGTGATTTGTGGACTGAGACTCGTACTGGTAGTCGTTGAGGTTGGTTGCCGTTCCTTTGACGACGCCCTTGCGGAATAGACGGGGTCTCTTTTGTCCCATCTGCGTCTGATCCTGCTGCTGCTGCTGTTCCTGATCCTGCTGATCCTGATGGCTGTACGGGTACCGGTACGGGTAGTTTCGGTGCCTTCGTGGGTATTGACCGTGATGACGACAAGAGGTTTGACCTTGAACTTGAACTTGACTTACTAAGTTTGAAATCTTGGAGCGACTGTCACTACTACTAGTAGTACTGGAATCTCCCGTCAAGGAAGACTCACTGCTGCTGGTGCTGGTGCTGTTGCTGCTGACTGAACTGGTGCTGACTGAACTGCTGCTGCTGATCTTGGACTTTCGCTTTCTCTTTCTCGCCGCCAACTTGAGCAGCGAAGGACTCATCAGACACAAACACAGTCTTGTATCTTCTTCAGCTGAGAAATCGGTGTCATTGTCATCGTCATTGTCATTGTCATTGTCAGCTTCATAGCCCACGCCCAACGAGGAAACTGACATTTTCGAATGCTTGTACTAGCTATCTACTAGCTATCTACTAGTAGCTAGCTAGCTATACCTGCAATGTAGGGCTCAGCTCAGCTTGGATTGAAGATTCAAGTGATATACAGTACAGTAGCTTGCAAGATTGTGGGAATGATTTTGCGGCTAGACTACTTCAGGGATACTTTGCAATAGGTAGCCAGCGCTGATCGCTAATAATAGTGTGTTTTGCCTTGGCTCTTACTATATTTCAAAAGTTAAAGTTTTGTGTTTTGTGTTTTGTGTTTTGTGTTTGGTGTGATCAGAAGCAATGCTTTCAAGCTGCTTTCATTTCTTCGCTTTGCGTCTTGCATCGTCGATGACTTATCAGCTGTGGTTGCGAACATACTTGAGCATCATCCGTCAACAGCACTCGTACGGACCTTGACCGAATCTCCCACGCTTCTTTTTGCCACCTATACGAGTGCGTACCATGCCGTACTCAAATTGGGATTCACAAGAGCTTTTTCAAGCGACTAATCTTCAATGTAACACTTAAATTGTATAAAGTGTTTTCAGACGTAAGGCGAACTGGAATCATGAGATTTAAAGGGATAATCTGACGTACACTCTACAAATTGAAGTTTACACCACGTTGCAGGCCAAAAGAACGTGCGTACACTTGACTCACCTATTGCGCACCCTTCCTATTCATCACTTACTTTTCCGCTTGAATTGATGGGATGATATCGATGAGGGCAATAGAAGAGGTAATCATGCTTTAGTGCCGGCTTTAACTACTATTAGCTTTAAAGCTACCATAGGATTTCGGTACACACTAAGACTTTGTGTACATGTAGTATCGTACGTCCACGGGTGCGTACCGGTACGACGAGTCGCTTACTTCTTCGTGGCTTACATCCCGTCCAACATCCATGCGTCGCACGCACGGATGGCTCACATCTTTTTCATCTCTTGCTTCTTGCTGCCGTTATGGTAACAGGTATCGGTAACATGGCACCTAACATGGTAAGCGCCACCGTGCTACGGTATCGGTACGTTTTGGTTTAACTTCCGTGGAGGAGCAGCTTCCTACCCTTGTCGTCATCGAGGAAATATATGCTCCGACCCCAAACCCCAAAGAGCACAGTTCAGCTTTTGTTCGTACTTGAGTACGTGCTGCCAGCACTGAGTACAGGTACTGAGTACGAGTACTGGCTAGTGCTAGTACGTGTTGGGCACGACATCCAGCCATAGCGTCCATGAGGCCATTTTGATGTCTACTTTCAAGAAAGCGGGTCAAGCCGCATGTTTGGTTGGTTGACAGCTTCAATGTCAAGACCGACCAATGATTGATCATTCGTCTTTTTGCGTGCAGCTGCAATGGTGGCTCCTTGAGTTGGCCAACTACAGCCATGTAGCTAGCTATAGCTATAGCTACCAAAAGCATTCTAGCTAGCCAGTTCCGGACTAAATGTATACAGCTTAACTGGCTTTTCGCCTTGAACGATGAGTATGTGCATCTCTGCCCCGTCCAGACCGTATCGCGACGGCCAGTCTTTGCTTCTAACAAAGAAGTTACAGTCAACATTCAGATATATATACTGGGGGGGATTCAGGAATTCAGTAAATATAACAGCGAGAATAAATATTGATTGTATCCCTAACCCTAACTATTCCCGTAGAATTGTACGTGCTCTAGTACTAAAATAGGGTTAGAGTTAAAAATGTGGGAACTGGAGTATTCTTAAATATTATAGAGCGAATAAATACAAGATTATAAATATAAGCGAGCGTTGACTGTACATGGAACACGCATCATCTTGTTTTACTGCAACCATGTACCATGTAGCTACTATCACATATGCATGCATACCGGTACCACATACGACGAATAGAAGCTTAATAAAATAAAGCAAAATAAAGATCCATCTACCTACATGTACTTTGACACGGCAAGCAAAAGGTTGCTGAATTCTTTGGATCGACGTTGCTTGCCGTGTTATGTGTTGTGTGTTGTTGCCACAATGAGTACTAGTACGGTACGGTACGGCGTGGTGTGTGGTGGTACAGTACCGGAACTGGTACTGGTATGTATGTGTTTATGCATGCATGCATTTGTAGAGACTGAAAAACAAAGGGGAAAAGCTGCCAGCAGTCAAGTCGTCAAGTCGTCAAGTCTTACCCAACGGTGAAGTATCGTGAAGCGGTCGCTTGCTGCGCCTTTTCTTGCGTCCCTTGAGCATTCGGCAATTCAAAGGGTACCGTTGCAATTTGGGGTGGTTGCTGCAACAACGGACCATTGTTGAAGGTTGATGCGTTTTTGTCTTGGAGTAGAGTGACACACAGATACCTCAGCGTGGGCAGAGGATTGCTGTTTTCGTTGCCCCCAGCAGAGCTTTGTTGCTGTTGCTGCTGCTGATGCTGTTGATCTCGAATGGGTGTCAGGCAGACTCGAATGAACTGTTGCGCTTCAATGATGGCTCCACCATTGTTTGGACTGACTGTGCCTGCGGCAGAAGTGGGAGCCACCAGATTACTGAGCAGGACGATGGGCGCTTTTGTGGCAGGTGCGTTGCTGGGGCATGCCGTGTTTGTGGCCACCGCCGTAGCAGCAGCACCGGTATCATTGAGCCAATGACTAATCTGATCAAATGCATTGTGAAGGTCTTGTTTGGCAATGAGTGAAAATATAGTTTTCTTGGTGACTTGTTCCTTTGTGGATTTTGTGATTTGGCAGAACTGATCATTGCAATCCATGAAGGATCCCCCGAGCGTGGCAATTCCCATGGCGACGGGGCATTTTTGAAAAGCAGCCGAGTAGTCTGTGACCGCGTTGGCAATGGTTGCTGTTGTTTGTGTCTGTGACTGTGTTTGTGCCGCTGAAGCTGAAGCTGAAGCTGTCGATGGTGCAGCAGCAGCTTGACTACCGGCATTGTTGGAATCCGGTTTGTCACCGTTGGGCCATATCATGGTGGCAATGCCATTCTTGGCAGCCACCTGTCGTACGGCCGCTGAAGCCGATGCGCCGAGGGCTCCATCTCCAATCCTTTGCACTTGGTTAACCAACATGCAGTTGTCACTGTTGTAGTTCACAAACATGATGATGATGAGGAGGAGGAGGAAGCGGACGAGGGGTCAGCCAATGGCATGTTTGTATTGCACGTCCACTTTGAAGGATAGAATACATAGCTACTTACAGCAATATCCTTCGGTGCTGTTCTTGCAGCAGAGCAATGTATTCTCTGGCAGCAGCTAGAATGGTACCTTTGGTTCCTTTGGGTACAATGACCCCAGCGGCAACCATGGTGTCTCTGATGAGATCAAACTGATCACAAATCTTTCCACTCCTGCGTTTTTCTCTAGCATTTCTCATTCTTCGCTGCATGTCGTTGAGCAGGGAGTGGTCTTCTTTCTTGTCCTTACTGTTGTTACCAGTGTTGTCAGAGTATGTAGTGTTGGTGTCATGTTCCTGCTCCTGCTCCTGTTCCTGTTCCTGTTCCTGTTCCTGTTCCTGTTCAATCCTATTGGCAGTGGAAGTGGTAGACGTGTCTGGCTTGGATTTCTTGGGAGGTTTCTCTTGTGTCTCTTCTGGTTCTATCAAGCTGGATGTAGATTCAAGCTCTGGTCTCTTGTGCTTGCTACTAGTACTGGTAGTGCTGCTTGGTGGCACTGGTACTACATGTACTTGTACAGGATTGTCATTGCCACTGTCATTGTCATTGTCATTGCCACTGTCATTGGCGCTGTCTTGATCTTGATCTTGATCTTGGGCAGAGGAAGTCCTGGACAAACTTAAGGATAAGGAGAAAGGCGATGTGCTTGCACTGATGGTGCCAGTTTCATCTGACGACCAAAGGACGCCTCCACCCAGACCAGTGGTAGTCGTAGTACTCGTAGTACAGGTACTAGCAGTACTCGTTGTCCTGGCAGAAGCGGATCCCGAGGTGCCCTTACAATTGTCTACTGCATATTCATGTAGGTGCTCTTGCCTGCCTGGACCATCCGTACTAAATGTACAGGAACTACCTGTAGAACTACTACCAGTTCTACCCGTGGCTTCTTCTACCTCTTCGTCGCTTCCGCTGGTTCCACCCGTGCTACCACCTCCGCTAGTAGTAGACATACTTACCAGGTACAGTTACTCTATCAGCTATCAGCTATCAACTGTAGTTGTTGCCTTATCTTGGTGTGCTTGGCTACGGCTTGGCAGTCTTTGTTGTCTCTGCTGTCTCTTTGGTTCTCTCACTCTGCAGACCGCTCCAACATGCAAGAAAAACTACAGCCGAGAAACCCAGCACCTTCGCGACTGTCTCTTGTGCTCAGAACGTCAATGCCGCTAGCTCTGACATCATGTCACACAAGGAACAACACGTCAGATGTTTCTAAAATACGTCAGGTACTTATTAGAGTTCGAGATACAAGTGTCAAAAAAGTATAAAGCAGTGGAGATGCTGAACCTCGTCTACTAGCTACCAGGTATGATGCTAATAAGTACATGTACAGGACGGACAGCCTGTTCAAGTTTCATGAACTTGGAACAAACAACTTCGGATCATTGTGGTAATAATGGTACTACAAGAAGCAGCCACTGCAAGATCGATCTGTCGTACTAGCTAGCACTAATGTATCATCATCTAGAAAACGCAGGCAGTTACATTTATGGTTCTATTATAGATAGCAGGACATGTATTGGTACTGTACTGGTACATGTACTAGTTGTTGCTTTTGCTTTTGAAACTAAACTAAGCAGAAGGAGCAAACAAAGACTTGAATGTTCGCCCCAACTTTTTTGCAGTTCTCTTGGTACTGCTACTCGTACCGCTACTCGTACTGGTACTCGTACTGGTACTCGTACTTGGCAGGGCAACTTGAAAGAATGCAAGATCCTTGGTACCAGTACCGGTACTTGGATAACCACCTCCTCCTCCTAGTCGACTGAAAGTCTTAGTGTAGTAAGGAATCTTGATTGGCAAGTTGTAGTTCGAGATCGACTCGAGAGCGAGATGGGAGGACGAAAGCTTGGCATCCGATGTCGAGGTCGAGGTCGACGTCTGCTCCTGCTCAAGAGGAGCCATGCAGAGAAGTGGATAGTTGGAAAGGAGATTGTAGACGACATGAATATCATTCTTGGCAGAAATGATGGCTTCCACGAAGGTTTCGTGGACGGATGGTGATGCATTGCGGGAAGACTCTGTTTTGGATGCGGCTGTATCAGTTGCACCGGTAGTGATTGTAGTTGTTTCGTTTGCGGCACGTAACAAATCATGCACTCCAAGTCGATTGAGACGCAATCTGGTTCGCATGGCGACGGGTAAAGCACACTTTTCAATGGTATCCGTCAAAACGAGTTTTCCCAAGGTTTCATTGGTCTCCAATGCCTTGGAGAAGGCGTCCAGAACGGCCCCGGGAATGCGACTGGGTTCAAATTCAAAGCAGAGTCGTAGCTTTTGCAACGAGGAGAAAGGTTTTTCGAGTGCCTGGGCGACTGCCACAACGCCATCCGTGATGAAGTCTTCGTCTCCGTAGACCCTAACATCGAGTCGTTGGAGCGTGGAGTTGGTTTGAATCATTTTGGAAACGGCGTATCCGATTTCTTCCCAATCAATGTGCAACGTGAGGGCTCGAATGGAGTCATTGAATACGAGCATGTTGCTGTGGCGGTCAAGACGTGACGGCGACAGTGAAAGAAGGAGTGGTGTGAGTGTGTTTGTCTGCACGACGTGTCAGTACCACTACAGTATGCCATAGAAGAAATCTTACCTGATGGCTTCTCCCGTTTCTTCTCCCAGCAAACTGGAGACAATGGTGAGGTCTGTCAATTGTTTGCAGGCCTCGCCCCAGGACAGTTCACCGGCCATGGTTTGTATGTGTTTATCACTAATCTGTCCAAGAGGCAAGTTCATGAGAGACAATTCTTTCAACTGAGGAGATGCCCGGAGGATTCTGGCCAGCGTGTCGGTGCAGCTGCAGGTGGAAGCTGTGATGGTTTCGTTGTTGGAAGAGGGATTTTGTGGAGTGTGTACAGGGGCAATGGGCGTCCCATCTAGGTGGATGGATTGCAAAGCAGGTGGCTCCAGAATGAGAGCTTGCATTATGGCAGGATTGCCTCTGCAAGAAGTGAAGTGGATGGCACTCAGCCGGGGTTGGTTATTGAGGATCAAGCGCAAAAGATCCAACTCGTTCTCTGGATGCGTGTCCTCCATGCTGGCATTGCCATTGCCATTGTCAGGGTTTGTGTCCGTCGTCGTTGCAACCAATTGAAGATGTGAGAGCTGCAAGGACTCTAGCTGGCATTTCCCAATTAGCAGCTCCAGCAAGGCACCCACTGGCAGGGCAGCAAAGTACTCAAGATCCACCGTAAGGGATGTCAGATTAGGTAGACTTGCAATAGCCCGAAAGACTTGAATAATGCTCTCCATTCTGTGCGCTTTGGACATGCAGGCCTTGTTCTTTCTAGCGTTCTTGCCTTTAGTGCTGCTGGTGTTGGTACCAGTACTACTAGTAGTAGCCGGTACGTGTGGAGGAAAAGAAGGACAAGTGGCGTGCACGTGGGCTGTCTTTACCTTTTGCTGCGCCTTGGGGATCTCATTCAGTGCTAGCAGGGCTTGGCACACATTGGCTTGGTTCAGGTTCACACTGATGTGGCTGCGGTAGATTCCCATGGTGCTTTAAATAAAAATCTAACTTCTTTAAAAAGTAGCTAGTACTAATACTCAGTAGTAGCTAGCTAGCTAGATGGCTTTATCCGATTTGGGATTTGTGTTTTGAGTTTTGTGTTTTGTGGGAAGCAACTTCTTTTACAAGAACTGCATCCAGAGGATTGGCTATCTGTGAGAATGATCTTCAGAGTTTGCTTTCTGGTTGCCGGGCTTGAACAGCTACCCAGTCTCCTTTTCTAAAAAAGGGATTGTGCTCAATTGATCAAGTGCAAGATCTATCAGCAAGTTACTAGTACTTCTCGGTAGCTACCGTACTCATCGGACCAGCAGAGTGATTGACTACTAGCTATCTACCGGTAGGTGCAACAGGACGATAGTGGGGTGGTTTTGATCCCACTGTCTCAAGAGAGTCTATCATAAGCAACCATGAGCAACCATGAGCCATTATGCCAGAAAAATGCGACGCGGGTTGACAGGAAAAAGAAGCCGCGAGAAATCTTCGGCTAGTTTTGTTTAATAAGTCTTGATGGCTCCATCCTGACCTTCTGAATGACCTTCATGAACTCCTTCATAAGACAATTATTATCTAACCACTTAACCACTTTGTTCAAAAAATCAACAGGGGCTATGAATCAGAATTTCAGGATTTATTGTTTTTAAGATGGTCAGAAACCAAAGTCGGAATGAAATGCTTGGAAGGAGACACACTGTGATCAATCGGTACTGAAAACAGGTCGGCATAGGTCACTCAGCTGTCACTGGTTGGATCGGAGGCTCAAACGAACCCTCTTTAGTCGGGTTCTTGTGGGTATCGCTTATGGAAGCTTCCCCCTCAAGTGCTCGTTGCTTTTAGCACCTTTTTGCTGGATGGAGGCTCGATAGCTCTCAAAGCTACCGGTATTACCAGAGGCAAAGCCCTTTCGAAGAAGTTAGGTCGAGGAGACTTCATCTGGCACTGGTAAAGACGACGGAGCTTCAGCACCTTCATGCAGGATTGATTGCTGCGTGAAGGATTTGTTGTACAACAGCTGGGATGTGGGTATTCACCTGGCATTTCTTTTCTCAAGATCCGAGTCGAGTCGAGTCCTTGAAACTTGAAACTTGAAACCACCACTCCGAAAACCTGTTCGTCGTTCTGCAAGCAACGAGCAGTAGTACAGCTTCCCATGGTTCGCGTTATCGCTCCTGCACGGAAAGCTAAAAGCTCAGCAGCAACACCGAAGCTACCGCCGGGGCCATACCGTAAAGCATATCTAGCATACAGTATCTAGCATCTAGCTTCTGAGAGTTGGCGGGGGTATGGGGCAACTTTAGGACTTCGTTACAATGTGTTTCAAAATGCATAGTGGTGCGTAATTGCACGTCACTGCCCGTAACCCTAAGTAACTGCACGTAACTGCACGTAACTAACTACACTAATTTACATAGTAAATTGTACATAGTACGTACTTGCACCTAACGTAACTGCACGTAACGTAACTGCACTGTAACTGCCGTATTTGACCAGTATGATAGTCCCCTGTTGTTGTGGTATATCCTATAGTTGCCCCATACCCCGGCAGCCCAGGAGCGGTTGCCGATCGTTCGGCCCGTTCACCTGGTTGCGTTGGGTGGCTACATAAGCTTACTAGTAGTACATTTTACATGTAACTTGAAGTAGGGCGGCTTTGCAAGGAGTACCACCGTAGGCGGCTCTTATTAAATGTACGGTACTAGCTACTAGCTAGTACACGGACATCCGGATACACCGCTTGCTTCCTCTCCAATGGTGTTCAAACGCTCAAAGCACCAGCCAAGTGCAAGAAAGCCGCCACTCATCACCACTACATTTTGCCCTTGGGAATGGTTGGGAAGCTCTGCTCCTTGGATAAATTGCAAGTATCTAGTAGTATCTTGGCTCGACTTTATGACTCTCCTAAGCAGAATTCTCCAACAGGCACCATCACTTCTGTCTCGTACCAAACAAAAGATGGCACGAGCACCCATCTTGGTCACCTACAAGTACCTTGGTTTCTGCGCAGCATGAATGTGCTTTTGTGTAACAACCACCTTCAAAGAACATTCTGATGTCTAGACCGCCCAGACCAAGCCTGCTAATGGAGGGCGGAGCTTAAGACGGTATTCGCTCGCTCGTGATGATGCCCTGGTGGGGCACGCCACTTCTTTCTTCTTCAGGGCGAGATGCTTCTCCTTGCCATGTCTGGATCTGTTTGCTCCTTCTACCGGTATTAATAGTCTACTAGAAGCTCCTCAGTAGGTAATGTAGAAGCTCAGCCAGAAGTGGATGGGGCTGCCTCGTCATCGGCAGTCTTGGGTGCAGGGCTACTGGCTACTGGGTGGGCTACTGCTCAATTCGTTTCTACATTGATGGAACGACCAGGAATGGTGAAACCCACGTGAAATAAGCAAAGCACAAAGCGCAAAGAATCAGTAGTAAGATAAAACAACTGGCTTCGGTTCCGCCCTCTGCGCCAGCCACTGCTGTGGTTTCATGACCTTTCTATGCTCTTATTATAATGTGTCTTTTGTAAGCGCAAAGAAGTCGACTCGTGGCTGGTTGGGTGCAAACCTCACTCTGGTTGGACAGCGGTGAGCGTGTGCCTACCGGTACGTACCGTACCGACGGTCCAAGGAACCAGCCAGCCACCTTCCAAAGCGAGTATTAGGGTTGCTACACACGGTATCGTTGACAGGCTCGGCCCACGAGGTCCATCGTGGGATCGATGTCCTCTCTACCGGTACGACGCAGCCATGGATGGGGAAACATTCAATGCTAGTGCTGAATTGCCTTGATCTACGACGCCGCACTACAGAACGCAAATTCGTCTCCACAGGCCGCGTGGACTGACAAAGGACCTAGCCAGCTAGCTAGCTAGCTAGCTAGCTAGCTAGCTAGCTAGCTACATGTAGCTAGTTTGGTTGGGATGAAGCGACAAGGTATTTGTGGCGCGGGAGTGGCTTGGTTGGCGTGCTCATCTTCTCAACCAGTTGCTATTGGTCAATAAGCCACGATCTTTTTTAAGGAAGCGGGACTCATTTGCAACCACACAAAAAACAAATCTGAAACAGATTCCATCGCACACAACTAAACTCTTGAAAAGAGCTGATGATGGGTCAAAATGGCGGCCCTCGCAGCGGCGTTGCCCCAAGGAGATGAAGGGACTGAAAACCATGACACTTACACTAACGAAAGAACGGTGAGTAGGAGCTGTACAGCGTACCGTACCGTATGCATATCTGTACGGGATGCAAGGTTTTGAATCTTGATGACGAACATGCAATTCGACCTAGATAGCTCTCTCTTCGAGTGCTCGCTGTTCCAGTATTACTTAGACATGTCTGAAAGAATCAAATCACTTTACTGGTACTAGTACTCTGCCTGGCAAACCGCAACTCACATGCCGCCCTCTTTGTTGCCCACTCTTTCTTTCTTTCTTTCTTTCTTTCTTCGTGTTACAGCGGGTGCTGGGTGGTACCGGTAGGTACGGTACTGGTACCCTTGCGTCTACCGGTACCGGTAGCTACACGACGTGTACTTTATGCCATACCCTACTAGCTACATGTAGTACAGCAGTTTGAAAAGCAACTGAATGGCTGCTTGATCATTCAATTCGACAGTTCACCACGGGAGCGAGATACACTCTACCGGTACTGTAGTTACACTGATATGCATCTCGATGTCCATGGCCAAACTGTTCTTGGAGCAAAGGGTGGAGACAGTTTTTGGGGGGTGATTTTCCCGAAGCAAGCCAACTCAATGAATTTCTTCCTTGATCGCGGCCAGAGATGCAAGTACTGCACTGTTGGTAACATGCAGCCAGTTACTTGAAATACCGTAGCCAGGAGGCAGCGCATGGCATGCTGCATGGGCCTGATGCCAAGCCCATCTGGAGTGCAAAGTCAAGTACTACTCCAGTACCGGTATGCATAAGGACTAGCTGAATCGATGTCAATGATCACCGCATGTAAAAATACATGTATTAGTAGAACTTAGAGGAGATTCAAGACTCCACCCGACTCTCGTGGCCACTCTCCATTTCATTTTTTCAGGATGATGGAGATGCTGCAGCCATCAATGGGAGCAGAAGCAAAGAGACAGAGAGAGAGAGAGAGCCCGCAGCAACTGGTTTCTCCAACCAGCCAGGCAGCATACATGTAATATAGGTACCGAAGGACAGTCAGTCAGTTTAGGGTGCTGGTGTCGGCGCCTTGCTTGTTCGTTGGCCCGGGATGCTGTACCGGTACAACTAGTACGTGTATACGGCTGACAAGGAAGTCTTTTGCAGTTGCATAGAACGAACGCACAGCCACCTAGCCGGAGTAGGGAATGCAGTTGCTTTTGGATGGATCCCAGGCAGGCACAGCGCAACGTAAAAAGAAGAGCAAAGCAGATTCTAGCTCCTAGCTAGACCGAGACTTACTTTACACATACCGGTACTTCAGTGCTACAGCTACTGTACCGGTACCAATTCGGTACGAAGAGTTCTGATCTTTGGTAGTCTACGAAGAGGATTATCATTCGTCAGTCTTGGCTTGTAACGATCGTCTCTGAGGTGGACTTGTGGAAAATGACGAAGGTGGCTTTAAGTTGAAGCTGAAACGAGTGGGTTCTTTTCTTCCAAACTTCTCTTTTGACTTTGCTATTTACTGCTACGTGGCTACTCATTGGCATGGATTACATCATGCATGCAGTGTACTACTACTAGACTAGCTACTAGTATCCAACCCGGCATTTGCCTGCTAGTTCCACAATTCCACAAGGTAGACTGCTTCTCTCCTTTTCTAAAGATCAATCAGAAGCACAAAATATGGCTCCGATGCTCCTCCATCACAGCCAGGTGGCCGCCAGCAGTGAGGCTGTTCTTTTCTGTGTGCCCGTAATAATAATTAGCTCTATTTGAAGGAGTCGAGTCGAGTCTACATACATGTTGGATAGCGGAGCCATTACGTGGCTTTTGGACCAGCGAGAAAGTAGGGGTCGTTCACCAAGACATGCGGTGAACATTTTAAAGGTTGTTGCGGTGGATCGAATAGCTAAATGTAGCTAGCCAGCTTGGTGATTACATGTATTGCGGAGGTTGCGGTGAGCTCTGGGCTATGTTGTTGGCCACGGTGTTGTGTTGTGCTTGCGTGTAGATTTTGCAATACGCGTACTACAATTAGCAATTAGGGGCTGGAATATCTTCCGTTCACTAGGACAATTGGGGGCCATAAAGTCCTGTAATGTGTCAATTTGCTTGCGTGTATGGATCCTGGTTCAACCTGAGGCTTCTTTTTCCCTCACGGTATCACGCTTGTTGTTAAATGTGCAATTGATTTGATATTTAACGTGTTTAGGCCTCAAGACTGCAATTAATTGTCCATTTGGGTGCATCGATCTGCAAGCCACAACCTATTAGATTGCCCATCTTGCGTGTTGAATTGCCCGCTTATCCAATCAAAACTGCTAAAAAATGCACGTCACCATCTTAGCTTCTTTTTCAGTGGATCTTTCTGGGCTGTTGGGATCAAGCTTGTCGGATGCAGTTTTTCAGCGCATTTGTTTTTCTTGTGCGTACTACGTGCTCTTTTTGGAGGAGCTGCGAAACCTCAAGCTGTCGTCACTTTTTTGCCACCCTCGTCGTTGTCTAGCTAGCTATCTATTCTGCACTGTTGCTTTGGTCAACATATCGACCATGGAGGAACATACCGGTCCTACCGGTGCTACTGCTGAAGCGAGCAGTGGCGTTGCAATTGCTGGTGGAGGGATGGAATTGCCAGGGCTGAGTGAGATCTGGTTTAGCAGGCTATCCAATGCGCCTGAAGAAGCGGGAGTCACAGTCACAGTCTCAGCCACGCTAGCACAAACACAAACAAACCTTGTCACTGCTAGTAGCAACGGCAGCAACAGCAACAGCAACAGCAACAAGCGAAACTTGGAACCAGATGAATCCTTGAACCCTAACCCCTTCATGCACGTTCCTCCCCAAGATCTTAGGCAGACTGGCACTGCCACTTTGCAAGCTATTGGTACATGTGCAGGCAGACAGGCTGGGGCTGAAGCTAAGACTGAAGCTACAAGTATGGATATTATGGCTAGTGGTATCTTGGACACTGCTCTAGCCACTCAGCAGGCAGGCAATTGCATCTTTCCAAGCAGCAGCGGCAGCGGGGCATCCATTGGGGAAGTCACCAATGCCAGTATGCATACCGTTACTAGTACTACGAATGATACCGGTACCATCAGCTCTACATGTACAGGTACTGGTACTGGTAGAGCCTCAAAGAGGGCCAGGAGGAGACCACTCACCGAGAACAAGCGCCTGGAGAGAAACACACGAGAACAGGAAAGAAGCAATCAAGTATCCAAACAGTTCAACGAGCTTAGGGATCTACTTTCAAAGTCGGGCATTATCATACCAAAAGGAACCAAAATGGCAGTTCTAGGAATATCCATTGAGTACATTCGGGCCTTGCAAGAGCAGCAGAAACAGGCTGAATGGTACGTACTAAATTACATACCGTAGATCTACTTGCCGTCCATTGCATGCTTCAAACTCTCTCACACACTCGTGGTTCTGCCCTTCCATGCATTCTTGTTTACCACAGGAAGAACCAGGAACTCGCAAGTCAGATTCGTCAACTTGCTCAAGGCGTACACGGCGAACAGTCTTTACGAGCCATTCAGCACGCTGGAAACTCGAACGCGATTTGGGACCTACCCAGTTTCTCCCACGGACAAGAAACAAACCCCGCTCGCACTGCCAATGGCACTGCCAATGGCACTGGAGCTGGAGCTGCATCCTACAACTCCAACGAAAGTGCATCGGTCGACAACTCCAGCGCAAACAATTCCCAGGTCCAGTACATCGATTTGTTCCAGCACGCTCCGGTACCAATGGTAAGTTACTGATGCTTCAATCATTGTTTTTTAAAAGAGACCCTCTGATTATGAGTCTAATTCACGACGGCACTGCTTACAACTGATTGCTTGTGCTGGGCATGCAGGCTATTTCGTCTCTGGGGGGGTCGCTTCTGGATTGCAATCGTTCCTTCGCCAACTTGACCGGACTCGACAAGGATCAAATCAAGAGTCTCACCATATTCAATCTCATGGCACAAGAAGATCTAAAAACGTCATTTGAACGCATCAGCCGCATGCTTGAGCAAAGGACAACCAAGACACACGATCTACTCAATGACGACGTATTCCCGTTACTTGTAAAGGGATCCTTCGCAAACAGTCCCGGGCTTGGCCTACAGATCACTTCGATTAGATCCGGCGATGGGGAACCACAAAACTTGTGCATCACTTTGATGCAACTTAACCGGCACCCAAACCAGATGCAGCAGCAGCCCCAAGAAACCAGTTTGGCCCTCGCTTCTCCTCCGCTGGAAGCAAACAAGGAAGAAATCCCCGCCATTTCAACCGCTGGACTGGTTTCGTTGAACGACATTATGAAACAAGCCATGCTTCCGAAACACGAAGACGACGTTTACCGGTCCTCGCCTACTCCTTTCCAAGTCATTGGATAAAGGGCCGGCAAACTGCATGAGCCAACCCTTTACCTGCCTGCCTGCCTGCCTCTACTGTATATAAAACCGACTCCAGGCACGGTCGATTCATCTGCATTGCATCAAGCACAAAATGTACATACACCGCAAATATACTGTTGCCCCGTACCGTACCGGTACAGGCAATGAACAAAGCATCCTTCTTGGCGGGCTCAACATGGCCCTCGATTCTCTCTTGTACATACTATTTCCGGCCAACAAGAACTAAACTATGTGTACGCAACCACAACGTCATACACACGGCTATCTATAGCCAGCATTGGAAGGTCTATCAACGGATCGGCATCAACCATGTACATAAATTGAATGCCAGCCCTCCAAGTCACTACTAGTATATACACACATCCAACTTGCTTCCCCGAAACTCCAGTGTACTCATGATGGCACGCTTCGATCGATCTCTCTGCACATAAATTTGTAAATAAAGATAACCCATTTGCATTTGGAGTGAACCAAGGTGTGTGATGGAAGGCTTGGCTGCATGGATAGCTAGCATTGTAATTTGTAGCGCCCGACCTTTTAAAAGAGGTCCACCGACATGCATGGGGCGGCTGCGTAATTGAGTGCGGCGCCAACAACCAGTCTTCGTTTGCCTGGAACAAGCAATCCATCCATTGCAGCAAACAACGATGCCGTAGCTAGTGCTCGCCGGCGATCCATTGCTGGCTTTCGCTCTCAACATGGACATGGCTGCAAGAAAAAGAAGCAACATGTGGCAAATTGGATTGGTACGTCTTTCGTGTTGAAGTCGCCGTCCCAATGGCCCCGCCCATAAAGTCCATTCAATTGCCTTTCTAAAGGCCGACGTGGAGGGGAAAGCTGCTGGCCTGCTGCCTTGCCCTTGAACCGCTGCCCAACACCCTTGCCCATCAATCAAGAGGCTCTTCGATACCCTCCTGCACTGACAAGCAAGTGCCGGTTTCGTTTGACCATGTCTGTGGTGGGGAGAAAAGAAACAAACCCAAAAGGTGGCACGCAACACCGTGGTGTCAGGGCGTGGACGCATTGACAACCACGAGCCCATGACCACATTATTAATTGATCGACGGCGACTTTGCTGTTTGATACTTTTGATGCGGCAAGAGCATACCCCCCCCTGATCCTGACTTTGTTGACGATTTTTGTGCCCACCGCATCGTGCCGCACCACACCAAATGAATTAAAAGCTTAAGAGATCCAGCATTCAAGGAATGAGATCCGATTGAACTGGCCAGTATTCTGTCCACTTTAACTATTTTCTGTTGGGGCTTATTAATTTTGCGTATGCGTATGCGTATGCGTTTGCGTGACTATACACTAGTGAGTACAAAACACGCAAACTTTCACTATACCAAAATAGTATCAAACTTCTACCAACTAAAGAATAACTACTAAGTTCTATATCTAATTTCACTTCTTTGTGGATTCTTTGTTTGCGTTAATTTCATCAATAACCTGTACAATATAGCTGTGACCAAGAATAAATTCAACGATAGTTCTCAAAACATTGTAGCCATGTTCGATAGGCTTCCGCATTTTGCAGTACTGGTGGTAAACCTTGATTGTCATCCCTCTGTCTTCTCTGATCGTCCATCATTGTTGTACCTACGAGCAAAAATGGAAACATCAAACAAACAATGATCTCCTCATATGTACAGGCAGGGTGGCATGTGATTGCAACCACCTAAAGAGACCCTTAGCTTCAGGAGGCCCTACAGGTTGCCATGGGCAGCTCCAGCCCCGTCATCATTGAAACCTACCAGTACGAGGACATCGTAGGCAGCAAGGTAAAGTAGGTCTTTGATAAAAACACACTACCACAAAGAGCTAGCCTGCAAAGGTAAAGCCATTGGATAATAGAAACACACTTAAAGCAAAGAAAACACACCAAAATACTGGTGAAAAGGCACTGCCCCGTTAAATAAACACACCAAATTACCAGTTGAACACACCAAATTACCAGTGAAAAGGCACTGCCACTCAATTAAACACACCAAAAACACACCAATCAACACACAAAAAAAAACACACCAAATTCCCAACAACCTTTTCTGTTGACAGTTTGTTTGCATTTTCACTGGATGCGTTAACTTTTTCCAGTTCATGTTTCATGTTCCTTCCATGCCAACGCCAAGACCCAAAAACATCCCTCGACTTGGTTAAAAATCTCTCTTAGATCTTGAATCGGCCATATCTAGCTAATCAGCCATTTCTTGCTGTAATGGTCGGCCCCTCAAATGCACCGAGGTTGAATCTGGCTCCGTAACTCGACTCCGGCAGGTTCCATGGAGCTCTATGCAGCATCGAGCGAGACATCTGAGAAGCCCATCTGAAGGTAGGATACCAATCTACAAGGGGTTTAAATTACTCAATTAGTTTAGCAAACTATGGCGACGGAGTGACTTTTATGACGCGGGCAAATGGTGGGGAAGCCCTCACCTAGCTGAGTCGTCATCCACATAAAATTCTGCACAGTATCAGGTCATTCTCAAGGGTGCCGGATGGGCCCCCCATTAGTGGACAATGCTGCATCGGTGCAGGAGAAGGTGACAAAGGCAGCACCTGGAGCGCGGCGCAATACCCAGGGTTTGAAAAGCATGTTACTCTTGGGTCATAGTTCTGCCAGTCTGTAGGTAATTGTGCATGGTTTGTTGTCGTGTTGTGCGGCGGTGATATGTCGTGCTGAGTCGTTCATAGGCAGCCCTTGCCAGCTTGATGGTTTCGAGCCAGCGGAGAGTTTTCGGGAGGGACAGGTTGAGATTGATTTCCCTGTAGTCAAGGTCGAGGCGCCAGTGGTCGGTGGGAGGTAATGTGGCATCACCTTTGGAGTACTCTTTCAGGATTTCCTGGCGGAGGGTGGAGAGGTGGGAGAGTTGGGTGGGGGTTGGTTTCGCACCGTGTAGGGCATCGTTCCTGTGCTGCCACATTCGGAAGTGGAGCATCCACAGTTCATTTGCCAAGGCAGTTGCCCAGCTGGTGCCATCACCTTGTTTTCCAATGGAGTGTAAGTGGAGCTCGTGGGCAGTGCAAAGTGGGATTGCGATTCTGCCAAGTAGAAAATTCCACCAACCCAGTTTTGCCTGAGCACGGAGCCCGGTGACAGTGCTAGGAGTTCCAGATCCCATCCAAAGGGAGGTGTTGTGTCCCTTTTGCCAATGATAGAGCTGGGTCAGGATTTGTTTAGTCATCATGGGGTCTGTGTGGCGCTTGTGCAACCAAGTTTTCAGCTTGGAAATCTCCACTTTTGGGTTAGGGTTAGGAAATTTGGAAATTTGGCAATGGGAAAAAGGACATTTGTGAATGAGCAAAAGGAGAATAGCAATAGCGATAAAGTAAGTAAGTAAATAAGTAAGGAAGTAAAAGTAAGTAAGTAAATAGAAAATGCCTTGGAAATGTGAATGGTACAGTGACTGCAAAGGAAAAGGTTCTGGAAAATGAAAAGGTACAGCAACTGCAGAGGAAAAGGTTCTGGAAAACGAAATGAAAGAAACACCGACTGATATAGTAACGGCTTTGGAACTGTGAATGGTACACGGATCAGATACGCATACAGAATGGAGTAGAACAGCTTTAGAATTGTGAGTTGCAACGGTATTGAAACAGCAAAGGCTGCTTCGACTAGCTGTGTCGGGAAATGCCAAAGGAGATTGCGCATCGAAAGTGAGAACTAAAACATACTGGGTTCGGTGGATGGGAAATGGCCATTGTAACCAGCGAACCGATGTTTGTGAAGGGGAAGAAGGAACTGTACATACTGATTGTGAGAACAGAAATTTAGATCGTAACATTGGACAGAGGAAATGTATAGCAAACATGAGAATGAGAGACGGAAAAGAAAGATCAGAGAAGGCAAGGGGAATTAACAAAGTGAAATCCGAGAAGGAAAAGGAAATGGAACCGTGAAATGAAAGGGACCGAGAAGGAAAGGGAATTGAAATGGAAAGGAGAATAGAAGCGGAATGGAATAGTGCATTACAAAGTACGAAGTAAGTACATAGTAAGTAATCGTAACGAAGTAATCGTAAGGAACGCAGTAATGCACAGGGTAAGTAACTAACTAAGTAGATAACGAATTATATGCAATTAATTACTACTTACATAAGTTATACGTACATACGCACCCACCCTGTCAATTCCACCAGATGCAATACCTGCAGCGCAATGCCCTGCAAGCAAATACATGCACCCTTTTCATGTACAAATGTATATAATTGATTTGGTACTTACATACGTATATACATACATACATACATATTTACCTAGCCATTTCCAATTCATTTATTTGTAGCAACAATCAAAGATTCGGGTCAAGAGCAACGAAAAAGCGAACTACCATGAACATACGTGTCACCCAGCCAGAACTGTGCATTGCACATACCTACATTACCATTTCCAGTTCAGTTATGTCGAGCAACGATCACTGGTTTAGGTCAAGGGCAAGAAACACCCGCCTCGCTTCCGTCGATTTGGGTCGATCGAAAACCATTGATCTGGGTAATGTAAAAATGCTTGATCTAGGTTAAATGGAAATGAATTCATGTAGTTCTTAAAGTCTTATTAATTCTGTGTTATATCTAAAGAATAGCCGCGGACATCGCCGCGTTGTTGCCGTTGTACTGAACGATCTTGAAGAGAGTTGAGCCCGATTTGCTCTGTCCGGATTCGTAGACGGTGCCGGGCCTCTGTAGGTACAACTTGTAAGCATGAATAGCAACTACACTGTTGTCGTCCTTGAAATACTTCTTGTTCATTGCATCCAACAGGAGCTTGACACAATTGTCGATGTCGGGAGTCTTGGTCACAAAGACAGGTGCGGAAGAAGGCACAACGAGCTGTTTCTTGGTGGGACTCCAATCATAGTGGTGCTTCGGACGAGTGAAGTAGAACTTGACTTTGATGACCACCGGCTTGGAAGCATTCTGCAAGTCAAATTTACCGGTAGCAGAAAGCGAAGCCATGGCCTTGTCTATTTCAGCCTCCAAAGAAGAACGAATTTTGCCACTGGCAGGGTAGAAGCGGGGCTTCTTCGAGCGTTGGCAGGTGGCCGCCGCCCTGTACTCGGGCCGGGGGATACCATCGATACGACATTTGAATGACGTGTACGAATCGGTCTGGACGAACGCGGCCTGTTGCGGGTCGGAGAAGGTGTAGTTGTCACTGCCACCGGCGGGAGACTTGCTGTTTCGCTTGGCCCCTTTCTTGGGGTCCACGGCAGGGGGAGCGCTCATTTGCAATCTAAAGAAGTTTACGAGGAGGGAACAACACGCGATGAGAAAATGGACTTTAACAGTTAGGGTTCATCAAGATTGCGTTTTCCAAACAGCCGGGAAGAGAACGCAAGAAACCAGCACAGGTGCGACGAAAACGACGTTCGGAAAGGATCATGCCTGTCACGTTGTAGCCGGCGATCGAGGCACTCCGTCTAGGGGGAGGAAACCAAAGTGAGGAGCTGGCTCTTCGAGTTCGTGAGGGCAATGACGGATAGATTACTGGCACTCTCGGTTCCCTTTGCAAATCCAGCCAAGGTGAGGTAGGACTTGGGCCTCTTGTCCATGGAAGAGAACTGGTACCCGTTGATTCCAAAGAGCTTGCTGTACTGGAGAAGGCAGTTCTTGATGATGAACACGGGGTGGAAACCGGACATGCGCGCCTTGACGACGAGGTCGGACTTCATGTACTCAACGAAAACGTAGGCGTAGCACCCTTTGAGGCTGAGGAGAGGAACCCCACCTTTGCACATGGGACCGTGATCCTTCATCCAGGTCATGGTTTCCTGATGGCTCTCGCGTTCCTGTTCGGGGATGGACCAGATGGGTTGGAGCATTCCGACATCGATGCTCGTGAAGGTGCGCTGGTTCTTGCCGTTCTTGGTGACGAGATTGTCAGCCCAGAAGCGTTTGTTGTAGCTGCGGCGTCCTTGATCGACGGTGAATTCGTGTTGGTTGACGTTGTTCACGGTAGAGACCGCGTTGTTGCGAATCATCACTGGCGTGAAGAAGAAACAAGCACGAGGGCTCGGGGCAATGACTCGATCGCGGTTGTCAGGATCGTCACCGATTTTGGTGAAAGTCTGCATGGCGGTGATGTTGAAGACTCCAATACTAGTCATGGTTGGCAAGAAGCACTGCTCGACGACTGGAGAAATGAACTGGGCAACACCGGTGGTGACGCCCTGGACATCCAATCCAAGGTCATTCAAAGCGCGAAGGGCATCGTCCTCTTCGGTAGCAGCACGGGCCCTGAGAGAGCCGGGTTCCGAGGACGAGCCGGCATCGAAGACGGTGGGACGGGAAAACTTGTAACTTCCAGAAACCACGACCAATTTGTCGACGACGGCCCTGTTCTCCTGGCCAATGTCTCCGTAAAGGCGGGGGCAGAGCACCGAGTCTGGACCGTTGTAGCCCTGACGGAACAAACCGTGGGGGGACTGGCGGGACTGGTAGCACGGCATCGTGATGCTGGAGGCGCCTCTCTTGGAACGGGTACGGGGAGAAGGGGACACCACCATGACGGCGTCTTCGGTGCAGCGACGGACAGGCGTTGGGGGAACCGGGACACGGGCAGCGGGAGCAGAGGCCTCACGGGAAGGTGCGCCGGGATGGGCTGTCTCATTGGGCGCGTCGACATCGATAACACTGGGCACGACCAAGGCGGCGACGGCGTTGCGCACTTCCCGGGTGAGCTCTCCGCGACGGTCGCGACAGGACAGACAGGAGCACTCGTCGTTGCCAATCATGTGACGGGCCAGGATGCGACCCTCGAACTGGGAGCCTCGGGACGCGAGGGAGGAAGAAACGCCGCGACGACGGTACGGGTTGCTGGAAGTGGCACGATGGAAAGAGGACATACCTGGGACTGGGCTTGGCGCCCGGACAAAGGTGGATTCAGTGAGTTCGGTGCAGGAAGCATGCGATTGCAAAGGCCTGCGCATAACAGCATTTACTTACTTTGTACTTGGTAGTGATGATCGAAGCGAGCTGTCGGTTGGTTGGTTGGTTGGTAAGTTGGTTGCTTGGAGGTTGGTTGGCTGCTGGGTTGTTAGTTTCCTTTGTTGGTTTGTTGTTTTCACTGTGGCCGAATTATGACCACATTGGGATAGTTTTGCAAGCCACCGATGGACGGCCACCGATGGACGGCCACCGATGGACGGCCACCGATGGACGGCCACCGATAGACGGCCACCGATAGACGGCCGCCGATAGACGGCCGCCGATAGACGGCCGCCATAATTTCGCATAATTAAACTCATAAATGCAATAATCGGAAGTTGGTAAAGGAAATCCAATAACAAATACCATTTACCTACATTTACCCACCCAACTACCCGACTATCCACCCACCAACAGGTCGCTTTGAGCACTGCTACCAAGTACAAAGTAAGTAAATGCTCTCTTGGACTAAATGCTCTTCTGGACATTCACTCGCATGCAGCTTCTTCGCGGAACCCACTCAGCAACTTCTTGTTTGTCCTTTAACAACTGAGCAACACAGGCACCGGCCAAGTATGGAGTCGATAACAGAGGTGAACGTTTCGGATTGCTTCGTGGAAGGAGATGACGACGACGCGCCGCTCCAGTTGACAGAGATGTGCGAGGTGAATGAGTTTGCCGTCACTGACTTGTCCACAGGCAACAGCAAGGCCACGGGCAACAGGAACGGTTCCGCGGCTAAGGCACGAGCGAAGATGGTGCTTGCGTTTCATCCTTACTACTTCTGCCACTTCTCTACCACAGGACCGCGCCGGTACAGAGGATGGGGACTGACAGAGACAGAGTCGCAGCTGATCGAACGAGGACAGCGGTTCAGTCGAAGCGCCCTTGGCTTTCAGAAGGCGATCAATCTGTTCATCTCGAATGTGAATTGTCCCTGCGGTCAGGGGCTCGCGGTATGCGGGTTCGTCGTATCCCGACAGAAGTATCTTCCGCTCGGAATGCTCAAGAGATGCATGACGTCGAATGAATACGGTGTGGGCAACTTACCAAGAAAAGACCTGGATCTGGACTGCTGCGGCATGCACTGCAGACGCCGCCGGTACGGCAAGTTTCTCGTGAACCACCCTGGAGCCAGGCCATTTCCCAAGAGCCGGTTGAACAAAGCGTTCGGGGCCCTATACCACGCCCCAGGCGGCTGGGATTGAGAGAATCCAGCCAGTATAATTATTACTTGTTCCGCATAGCACACTGGTAACGTGCGCAAACTAGAAGAGCATTCAGTCGGACGCAATCTATTTTGCTACCAACTACTTTCCTTAACACGTTATTGCCAACGAAACGCAGCATTCGGCACGGAAACCGCGGGGCTGGACCATACACCACACCCGGGGTTGGAATTGAGAGAATGTTGCTAATATAATTATTGCTCGTGTCGCATAGCGCACTGGTATCGTGCTCGAAGTAGGCGAGCGTTCTGTCGCACGCAAACCATCCTGCTACCGATTAGTTTTACTAACATGTTATTGCCGCCGAGAGGAAGCGATCGGTACGGAAACCACGGGCGTCGGCAGTCCCGTTGTTAGATTTCGATACTTCGCTCCTTGGAACAACGCCACCGAACGTAGCATCCCGAAGGTACGATGTGTTCTAAGTAGATGCTTTTTGGTAACAATTATTATTTACTAACACGTTATTGTGGTCGAGAATTTGCATCCTGTCTTTAAACCACGGGTATGCCGGATCGACTTATCGAACCGGTCTGTAAGTCACACAGAGCCTAGCCATCGAAAACACCGTTCAACTCATGCACCGAAGTCGTCTCTTCATAGTCGAGTTGCGAGTGGGGGATCGTTCCAAGAGACTCTGCGTCATTGCCCATTTCCTTATTCTGGGTATCGGTCGTGACAGTCACTTCCTTCGGAATTGAATCACCCACTTCCTTCGGAATTGAATCACCCACTTCTTCGGGAATGGACAAAAAATCCATTACATATTTTGCTTTTGTCACGGTGAGTGCAATGCTGCCAACAGAAAGAGAGCAATGGTCAGTGTCATTTGGCAGCTGAGTCTTCTGCTTCTTTGCACTGGGCAAGGAAATTTCAGGTCCACCGCCACTGCTGCTGGACTTCGATCCTTCGTCCCCTTCGGCGTCCGGTAGCTTAGCGACCTGTCCGCGGATCTGCTCAGCCGTAAGAAAATAGGGATGCTTTGTCCATGCCTTCTTTGCGTGGGCCAGAATGTACTCAAGGGCTCCGTCTAGCAAAACTGCACTTGTCTTCCCAACTTCATGGAAACGGTCGATGATGGCCTTCCTGCTCGTGAGGCCAGTGCAGGGCCCAAGTTGTTTAGCAGTATTGTTCATGATAGTTTCCAGGGTGCTGTCATACATCTTGTCATAGATCCACTTAGGCATTTCGTTTAGTTCTTCATCAGTCCATTCAATCTTGGGTTTGTAAAATTGGATGGCCTCCTTCATTGTGTCTCCAGACCACACCTCGTTGGTTTTGCCCATGATGAATAGAGTGAGTGTTGTGCAATGTATGTTTTGGAATTGTGAGTCAAGAGAATTGTGAGCCAAGAGAAGTGAAGGAATGAACGAGATGGAAGTAACAATATGGCTTTGTGAAATGGGACTGGTATTGCTGCATAGAGCATGCACCGTTGCGGTCTTGCCTGGGACTCACCCTTGTTGCACAGTGCATGAGACGTTCCAGTCTTGACTGGGATTCAACTTGTTGCATAGCGCATGCACTGCTACCAGGTACAGTCCTGGCAGGGATTAAAATTGTGGCATAGTGCATGCATACTGACTTTAAGAAAGGGGCCAAAAGTGGAAAAATCGAATATGGCTCCACTACTGGTCTCAGCACATGCACCCGGCAAAGGTGACGTCGCGGATCATGTCAGATGGAGGGTTGGCCCATAACTCTAACCTTATCAGCCTAATTAGTAGATTCTGACAAAGTTGGCCGATCGCAAAAATTCTTGGGCCCATCATAGTCAGAACGACGCCGCCGATTCAGCAAGTCAAATAATCCGAGCGTAACTTTGCACGTACACGTAGTTACGCGCGTAGGTAGCAAAATGCTCGGAAATTCATTTTCTTTTAGACAACCCCCCGTTATTCGATGTCGCCGTCAACATTCATTATTGAAGTAACGTTCCTATTTTTACCCCGGACGGCCCTAGCCCCCGCGATTAGCAGTGAAATATCTGTGTTGATGGGACTCCACCGCCTTTCGAATCCGCTTTTGGATCATATGGGTATTGACATATATGCGTTAATTGTTCTTGCCGTCATAACTGAAATCTGAAGAATGGTCCGTCCACCCATCAGTCAGGCTGTGCTGCTAACAGCTAGATAGATAGCAGGGTCCAAATTTTTGGCCCGTTTTTTTAAAGTCATATTTCTTAAATGGGCAAACTAGACTAGTTTACTATCGGAAAGTTTGGCCTTACGTCCATTTGGCGTTGAGAAACGGCTATCGCACGACACCTAAATGGGAATTTGTAAATGGCTCCAGACCTGCTCCAGAGCCTTTTCGGACCATATAAATGGCTGAACCATATGTTAATGCAACCATTGTGGTCAAATGGATGTCTCTCCCGGCCCGAAATATTTTTTATTTTCGCGACCTAGAAACACCAAAAGTACCGAACCGCGCTAAACTGTTCCTGTGCTGTATTTCACTCTGAAAGCGGTTTACAGCATCTAGTTACAATTTACTAAATACTAATTACAACGCTGCGGTTTCATTCACGCCGACAGATTTGGTCCGTCCTACCATCCGTTTATGCTTTTTTGTACTGGTTGATGCATACTAGGTGGGACTCACTATGAAAGATCCACATAACAATATTTCCAAGTTAAACAGACCAAGCCGGTCCACATTGAAAATAGGACCAACCCGATCGGACCAAGTCTTGCTGTCGAACCGAAAAGTCTGTGAATCGCACGTGATTTGGCTGTCAATCGCTCAGAACGACTTTTTTTCGAAAAAGTTCCGATATCAACACTGAAATACACGACTATGTGAACAACATCGGTAAAAAAAACCGGCTAAACTTTTTTTCACTTTCAACTTAGAGATTTCTGGCAGCACGTGAATGTGGGCCACAGCTCTTGCGCCTAGCCAGTCACTTGTTGGAACAAAGCAGCAATGTCAATATATAATGAAATGTTGTCCTTGTCAAGATGGAAAAATCAGATTGGTTTGAAACACCAACCCTTAACCCCTAATTGCTTCTGATTCTTGTACATTACATATAGAGCAGTGAAATACACTATTACTAGATCCGTATGACAATGGTTCCAACCTAACCACAGCAAGTCGGTAATGTAAGAGGCTTAGATTTATGGTGGCTGAGCTTAATGCTCTTGGAGTCGAATGCGGACGGATAGATTCAACGGCTTGAAGTGGCTGGACGTGTTTCTGTTGGACAGACTTGGTGAAGTGTGTGGCTGGCGAGGCTTGGAGTGATGCTCTTATAACTTGATGTTCTTGGGGTGAAATTGGTGAAGTTGGATTGTAGTTGCTAGCTTCAGGAGCTTGTAGTAGCAAGCTCGACTTGTTGCTCTCTGAGATCGATGGGGTACAGTTGCTCTTCGAGTTGAATGCGTACAATTGATTCAATTACTTGAAGTGGCTGGACTTGTTACTCTTGGACTTAATAATAGAGTGTGCGATTGGAGAAGCCTGAGGTAGTTGAACTTGATTATCTTAGAGTGGAATTGGTACTGTTGAATTCAATAACTTGAAGTGGCTGAGGCTGTATATGCCATTTCCAATTCATTTATTTGTATGAAGGACGAAATGAATCAATTACGTGGCAACTCTGATGAACATTATTACAAAGTAACTAAATGCTATTTCAAAATGTAAGAGTGTTACCTTTATGGTGGCTGAACCTAATGCTTTTGAAGTGAAATCCGCCATAATTTCGCATAATTAAACTCATAAATGCAATAATCGGAAGTTGGTAAAGGAAATCCAATAACAAATACCATTTACCTACATACCCACCCAACTACCCGACTATCCACCCACGAACATGTCGCTTTGAGCACTGCTACCAAGTACAAAGTAAGTAAATGCTCTCTTGGACTAAATGCTCTTCTGGACATTCACTCGCATGCAGCTTCTTCGCGGAACCCACTCAGCAACTTCTTGTTTGTCCTTTAACAACTGAGCAACACAGGCACCGGCCAAGTATGGAGTCGATAACAGAGGTGAACATTTCGGATTGCTACGTCGAAGGAGATGACGACGCAGCGCCGCTCCAGTTGACAGAGATGTGCAATGGCTCCATTCGATGCTCTTAGAGTGGAATGGATACAGTTGAATTGAATACGATTGGACACACTTGATGGAGTGTATTGCAGGAGAATAGTGGAGTGAGTGGACTTTGATACTCTATCGGTAGAATGAGTATAGTTTGATTCAATAACCTGAAGTGGTTGGATCCGTTGCTCTGGTTAGGGTTAGGGTTAGGGTTAGGGTTAGGGTTAGGGTTAGGGTTAGGGTTAGGTTTAGGGTTAGGGTTGGGGGTTAGGGTTAGGGTTAGGGTTAGGGTTAGGGTAGGGTTAGGGTTAGGGTTAGGGTAGGGTTAGGGTAGGGTTAGGGTTAGGGTTAGGGTAGGGTTAGGGTAGGGTTAGGGTAGGGTTAGGGTAGGGTTAGGGTAGGGTTAGGGTAGGGTTAGGGTTAGGGTTAGGGTTAGGTAGGGTTAGGTGTTAGGGTTAGGGTAGGGTTAGGGTTAGGTTAGTGTTAGGGTTAGGGTTAGGTTAGGGTTTGGGTTAGGGTTAGGGTTAGGTTAGGGTTAGGGTTAGGTTAGGTTAGTGGTTAGGTTGTTGTAGGGTTAGGGTTAGGGTTAGGGTTAGGGTTAGGTTAGGGTTAGGGTTAGTTTAGGGTTAGGGTTAGGTAGGGTTAGGGTTAGGTAACCCTAACCCTAACCCTAACCCTAACCCTAACCCTAACCCGTCAGAGTACCCTTTGCTATTCCAATACAGTTTGCAAATTCAATCCTTATATCATTCACAATTTCAAAGCCGTTTCCATTCCAGTCAGTGTTCCTTTCCAATCAGTGTTTCATTTCCCATTCCAGAACCGTTTCCTTTGCAGTCACTGTACCATTTACTTTTCCAAAACCTTTTCCATTGCAATCACTGTACCATTTGCATTTCCAAGGCGTTTTCTATTTACTTACTTACTTTTACTTCCTTACTTATTTACTTACTTACTTTATCGCTATTGCTATTCTCCTTTTGCTCATTCACAAATGTCCTTTTTCCCATTGCCAAATTTCCAAATTTCCTAACCCTAACCCAAGCATGATTATCTAGGGATGACGATTGATTGTCTGAGCCGGGCTAAGTTAAGATCGACATGATTGACTATTTGACCAAGGTACTCAAGGAGTTCCCTGTGAACTTTGACCATGTTCGTTCTGTTCCGAGTGCAGCCCCAGCCGATTTGTTTTCTGTGGGTGACGGTGACAATCTGGACTATGAGACGAAGGATACCTTCCACACGAATACAGCCAAGCTACTCTTTACCTGTAAGCGTGCACGTCCAGATATGCAAACCCTGACTACCGTCCTTTGTACTTGAGTGAAGCAGCCGAACCAGAACGATTGGGGCAAACTTCTCCAAGGCGTCAAGTTTATTCAACAGACTTTGAATGACAAGCTCATCCTCCATGCTGACGATGTTCGCATTATCCGCTGGTGGGTGGATGCCAGCTTTGCTGTGCATCCGGACTACCGTTCCCATACCGGAGGAGTGCTCAGTTTCGGCCGCGGTGCCCCAATTGCTGTGTCTAGTAAGCAGAAACTCAACGCCCGAAGCAGTACCGACGCCGAGCTCATTGGAGCTGACGATGTCATGAGCCCTTTGTTGTGGACCAAGTTGTTCATTATGGCATCATTATTTATAAAAAAAAGGATAGTCTGGACTGGTGCAGCCTTAAAATATTACTTCATTATTATTGCAAGATATATTTTTGGCCACGTCATCCACAAAATTGGATCTCCTCAACATAAATTCCAAAGCACGAACTCGCAGCAAAGCTCACAACTTTTGCAAGGGTACCAGTACTGCTGTACCGGCCGGTACGCCCACGATACACGATGGGCAAGACCAAGAAGAAGCGTTCGTCCATGCGAGAAGAGCTGTTGGCGAAGGAGTCTGAGCAGCGCAAGTTGGTGGAACAAACGTACACGGAGCCAATTCATCCCGGGACCGATCTGAAGGAATTTCAGAACTGGTTGGGTATCTTTTACCGGCACGTGTATCGCCACGAAGATGAATTGAAGAGACTGCTGCGTCAAAATTCAGTGCTCCGACAACACTATGAGCGATTGGTGGTCAAGAATCACAATGCTACCGTCAAGTTGACTCATGAAGACTTTTTCCAACGGTACCTCTATCGTTGTGATCCCCAACGGGTGTGGAATTGGGAGCTTCAGGGAAGTCAGAAAAGACTCGACTTGCAAGAATCTTCGTCTTCTCTACTGGATGATGCGGCTACCGTTCAAGTGCGACAAGTCCTCAAAAATAACAACTCCATCTCTGTTCAGGCTTCTCACGCACAAGAAAAAATGGAAGACGAGGAACCAATGCCACCAGAATCAGAATCAACTCCAGCATCAACTCCAGCATCAGAAGCAAAAGCAAGCAAGCAAAAGAAAATTCATGAATGCAAGGATAAGGAACCAATGCCAGCTCCCTTTTCTCTGCTGCTAGTGTCAGGTGCCATTGCCCTATTTGGCTTCTTGATTTTGTCCATTTGGATCTATCATGTCCCCTCGAATGACAATTCCTGGAAGGCTTCCGCATGCAAACTGGTTCGAACTGCTGACACGAGCGCTTCATTATTGTCGAATGATCTGCCATGGTGGTCCCCACAAGTCCGTTTGGGATGTCAACAACAGCACACATTGGCAAATGTACAACTAGACAGCAACCAAGAGCCAGATCAAAATATTTCTACGCGACCATGGTCGGTCAACCCCGTTCGATGGCATCGGCGAAGGACGCAAAACTACTACACTACCAAGAATGGAGCCAAGGTCCTCGTTCGACAGCAGGAAGGACACGACGACCTTCAACAAGATGCCGCCCCTCAATGGTCACTGCTACACTGGAGATCACAGCAACAAAATCAGTTGCTAGCCACACAGAATCAACCGCAAGAAGGAGCAAGTGTATCGCCCTGGTCGGCAATTGCCAACAAGTTTCGTGGCCGGGGATGGAAATCCAGGAGCTGGGGGCAAACAGATGACGGAGAAATGGTCATGGAAGAACAAGAAATATCCGTCACAACCACCACCGCTCAACGATCGCGAGGACAGCCTCAAACGCGAAATCCATCATCCACGCGTACGCAAGTTACTACCGATACCAAAGAGAACCAAAAGTACATCAAAACGGTCGTCACGGAAGTCAAGAAAACTACCATTTACACTCCTGTAGAGTAGGAAAGCAAATGTTTCCTCTTGCCAAGATGGGAGAACGGTTGTGTGCCATTTGACGGGTGGTGGGCGACTTTCGAAAGGAGGATCGCGCCGATGACGAGACATGCCCAGCGTTTGGCTCTGGGATTGAATGATTCAATCGATTCAGCGGAACCAATCCACGATGTATACATGTACAAGGTAGATATTGTATTTGCGTTGCATACACGTCGCTCTTGGTTGCTCGTCACTACTGGTAGGCACTCGGCTCGCTTTAACTCGGCGCTCGAAATTTTCGCGAGGAGCAACTCTGGAGCGAACGCACCAGGGCAGTCTTTCACATGCGTTCATGACTTCGTCGCCGTTTCCATGCAGAGCTCCTGCACTCGTTTCAATCATCGGGATTGTCTCTCTCCTTCTCGAGCTCTTCTAGCTAGAGGACTTTCAAATGAATGATCCAATCGTGGCTGTTCGACTCGATTGTTTCATAGCTACTAGTTGCTAGCTAGGCGAAGGGTTCCAGTCCAAGACGGCACATGTGCCAGTACCATTGCATGGGCAAAACGAATAAAGAATGGAGCCGGTATACTACACCACTAAAATAAGTAAGAGGTAGTCGTTCCTGACCTACGTCCATGGAGTAGGTTGCAGCAATCAGACTATCAAGCTGCCAGTCTGCGACGGCAAAACTGAAACGAAGGCTACCGAAAACATGCACCACAGTTGGGAAGCAGGTAGGAAGAACCGGAATTGCTTTCAAACGAATGATTCGATTCAATCGCGATCTCTCAATCAATGGCACCGTGCTGTAGCCAGTATTTGCATGCTTGCTTGCTTGACGTTTCCCGCAAGAACTATGGAGAGGTCGTGTCCGGGCGACCCACAATGGCATGAATTCATCCATCCAGCTTGTTTGCGAATCGCTTGGCCCTATCAATAGCATCAGATATATATTCGCTTCCAAGCAATTAAAGTGGTCCTCGCGTACCGGGTACGGCTCATTCCGCACTCGGCACCAGAAGTCTAGCCTGGAGGCTTGTCTCTGTGCATTGATAAAAGTATGGTTACTGTACGTCCAACTTCCCCTGAATTGAAAACGCCAGCACCTATATACCGTACTGCAGAGCCTGCGGCAGCGTTTGCTTTGATTAAACGAGGCTTCCTGCCTTCGAGATGGCTTGCAAGCAATGTCGAGGCGAAAATCTTGAACCGTGCTGCGTTCAAGGTACAGCATCATTACCGTGGGTGTTTGCTGTGCCTGAAACCGAGGTATCACAGCTCCGCTAGCTTCGTTGAAAAGTACGTAAGCCAGGATGATGTCGTACTAGCTAGCTCTGCATAATTAAAAACTTAATCAAAATTTAATAAGTGTCCTTCTTTCATTAAGTGTTTACTTGAGCAAAGACTAGAACAGACTAGAACTATTGAATATACTGTATAGGTCTAGTACACCATTTTCAACACTTTTACTAATGCTTAAAGCGGAAATATTACTGGTACATACACTATTTTAAAATAGAGCTGTACCGGCAACCGATGACAGGCCGATGCGAGAGCCACATCCACGGTACATGTGCACATCATGTGCACCCAGCCAGAATCGAATGTCATCATGTCATCATGTCCTCTTATTGTTGATGGTTGTTTGCTTCAAGATCCGCTGTGCCTTGACCCAGCCCTTCTTTCATTGGTGGTCATCGATCGTGCTTGTGCCTGAACGATCTTGCTTGATGACGCGAAAGGGCTGATCAGTCGGTTCTCAATGCAGTTGCGGATCGAGTTGCATGTTGTATGGTCCAAAGCCACAATCTCAGCAAAGGCCCGGGCCCAGGACCCAGGACCGCGCCCAGGACCCAGGACCCAGGACCAGGCCCGCGCCCCATGATACGGTACGGTATGCCGTCTGATGTATTGGTACATCCACGAAGGTTGTACTGTACCTAGTACTAGTACTATAGTACCGGTACATGATGCCTTCATCTTGGCTTTAGTGCCCCCAAGACCCATGCATCATTCCGTCAGCTCAAGCCTTCTTGAGGTTTGTTCAAAGTTCAAAGGCCCTGATAGTTTGGGAGACCACTTATTTACATAAGCAAAGCACAAAGAAACTTCAATGGTTACTTTTTTACAGCCTTGGAGGACAACACCCATGGGGATTGCAATATTGTTTGGGAAATATCACGTTCTCACAGGCGGCCACGACGGCCAAACTTTTTTCTTGGGAGCAAATCAACGCCAATGCCAATTCTGTACAGATATACTCGTACAAGCAGTATGCCTCCTCCCAGAGAAGCTTTGCCTTTGGGAAGATCTCCAAAATCCCAAATGCACCCAACGATGGTTCAAGATTTCAAAAACCTTAGAAGATCTCACAAAGATCTTGAATGACTTTTGGGTTGCTTGGCTGCTTCGAAAGCATCCAGTTTGGCTCACAACTTATTAAGATCAATCTCCAGAGATTGAACAAGCATCCAAAACAGATCAGGAAGACGAACCAACATTGTTGACTGTTGACCATGAAGCTCGCCATCTTTGCTGTGACCGCCGCTCTGCTCACCGGATGCAGGGTGGCTGCCGGTGAGGAGCCCGAAAAAAGTGGTTTGCGTGCTGGCCGCATGAAACCTGCTTCTTTGGCCAAGACTTTGGATCTTCATGGTAAGTCCTTCTTGTGTTGCGAAAAAAGCTCAAAACTCAAAACTTACACCGATGGCTGCTCCAGACCCAGACCATGTCGAGGAGGCCAAGGCAGACGTTAGTGGCGGAGTCCACCCTGCTGGCAACTTGAACTTCCACGGCCATGGCCGGAACCTTGCAGACGGATTCCCCATAAAGTTCACGGGGGATTCTCGCGGGTCGTGGTCCACCTTCAGGGGCTCGGAAAATAGTGGAGATTTTTATTTGGTAAGCCCTGCTCGATACCTTTCCTTCTGTTGTACGTGACAATTACGTTGCTAGTGAAACATCTCTCAACAGTTGTTTTAGTGTGGCCTTGGGTTCCGTTGGGATCCAGTTTGGCTAATTGTGGGTTTGAAAACCTTGTATTGCAGTAATGACGTTTGGGATGCTGGCAGTGACTGGCAAGTGGAGTACGACAAAGGGCACCACGAGACCCAATGGGTTGAGAAAAAGTGTGATCAAGGCTACTTCATTAATGGAGGAAAGCCTCAGATTGACCCTGTGCTCAACAAGAACCTTCTAGGCTTTAAGATCAGTTGCGCCAACAAGGCTGGAGCAAGTGTATTCAAGACTGTTCGCCAACAAGATGGTTTTGATAGGGACAGCTGGCTGGGTCCGAATACCTATACTGGAAGATTTGCTGCTGCAATGAGATTCAAGCAAGACATTACCGTGTTTGATATTTCATTCGATATGGTAGAGCCTCCCAGTGAAGCTTTATCCAACAACCCTGTCATAGGATCCTGGGAATCAAAATCTTCGGGATCTCCCTTCAACATTTTTGAGCTCACGGAGTCGTTCTCGAGGACTGATGGAAGGTCGGTAACCAACACGTTCGGGGAATCGGTTGGTGCGGCAATTGAGCAAAAACTAAAAGCGGGTGCTCTTGGCACCGGAACGGAAACGACAGTTTCAGTTTCAGCTGAAATTTCACATTCGCTGGCTAAAAGCGTGGAGAACACTCTTGAAAAGTCAGTCTCACAAACCTTCAGCGCCACCTGTCAAGGCGTTGAGGGCACCAATAAAAAGAAGAAGAAATTACACACACAAGGCGCTGATGGCAGCTATGCAGTATTGTGGCAATACGTTATTACCCAAGATCCAGACGCCGAGGGGTTGGGCTTTGACCTAGAATCCACATTCTTTGCCTGTACGCCAGGGCACATGATCAAGCCAAGATGTGTTCCTGTGTTGTGCCTGGATCTGGGGTGCCAGTTATGCGACGGAGACGAGACCACGACCGACAGCGGAGGTGATAGTTCTGGTAAAGTATACGAGCACAGGAGCGGCATCGGTGGTCTTGACGTGTCTAGTTCCCCTGATGGCACAGTATGGGCGGTAAGTCAATTGGAGTGACATCGGTTCACCTGTTCTTTGGTTTCAAATTGTTCTGCAGTTTAGATACATGTATCTGAACCCGCCGCTGCACCTTTTTTTGTCCATCTTAGATCTCCTCGACACCAGATGCCGGAACCAACAACTTGATCTATCGCTGGACTGGTGCCTGGACGAGCGTTGCTGGATCTGCCAAGCGTGTTTCAGTCGGAAATAGCGACAACATTCTCGTGACTACAGCCCAAGGAAAGCTCTTCAAGTGGTCAAAATCTTCGGGCGGCTGGGGACATATTTCTGTTCCAGAACCAGCACGTGATGCTAGCATTGCCGCCGATGGTATCATCTGGATGACGGCGATTGGTTCAGGTGCACACGGAAAGATCTACCGAAGGGCAGTCTCGGGTGTTTGGGAGACCATTGCTGGGTTGGGAGATCGTATCGGAGCTGGATCTGCTGAAAAGGCGGCTTTGTGCAATGGACAGGGTTCGGTGTACATTTATAGAGACGCAGGATGGAAACATGGTGGTGATTGCAAGCCAGGATCGAGTATTGATGTGGACTCGGATGGTACAATTTGGAAGATTAACGCAAGTGGCGCCCCCGTCATGTCCCCTGATTATGGAGCCACCTGGAATGCTCCCATCACCGGCCAGACAGGAACGAGCATTTGCGGATCGAACAAGGACGGCTTCTTTTTGGTCACAGATTCGTCGGAGATCTGGCAGTACCACGACCCCACTCCCTAACCTCGCAGGTCAGCCTGAAGAAAGTACTGGTACAACCTGTGTATATTCGGCAACAAAAAACATTGAAATAAACAAAACCAAACAGCGATCGAAAAGGAAAGCAACGAAAGAAAGACAGTATACGTATCCAACGAAGATCCAAGAGAAGAAAGATGCATGACAAAGAAACCGGAACGAGGCAAGAGGCGCTGGAGAAGCCTGGTACCGGTACCGACAACAGTACGGTGCCGGTATATACTGTACATGAAATACATATATTTTATAGTATTGAGCCAGATTCGATTCAGTCCTAAACGCACCAGCTGCTAGCTAGCTAGCTAGTAACGGTCCTGGTCCAGTGGGCACATGCCTGTTCGACGGCTTCGAGGTTAACGGTGTGAGAAGATCGATTATGGATCTCACGATTGCGTGTGAATGACGACAACGACAGGAAGCAACGTCGGATCCAGGCTAGCTCCAGTCTAGCCAGGTCTGTTTCTTGTGTACGGTACATATACCAGTCGAGTTCATCGGAACAACTAATAGATTCAAGTTCGCTGCAGACCCGCCACGATCACGATAACACGGTCCCTGTAGTGTAGTAATATTAGATCAATCCCTTTGTTTCCCGATTGGTCAAGTGTGAAGCCCTGGCCGTTCGAATGGTGATGGGTGTGATTGCTTGTCCTTGTCCTTGTCCTTGTCCTGCACCTGCAGCTTGTTGCATCTGTCTGGACTGCTCTACCATTTTGTGCAGTACATCGAATCCATCAAATACCTTTCCAATGCAAACATTGTGCTTGCTGAATTCGGTGTTGTCTTGAAGGTTGATGAACACCTGGAGCCCCCCACCTGAGTTGTCGCTGCTGCCTTGAAGGGAGGGTTCGGACAATCCCACTGTCCATGCTTGATGACGCTGTTGGGATCGTTCAATAAAGTCTAGTTTTGCCTGTTCTGCAACTTGTGTATGTCCAGATCCAACATTCATGATCCGGTTGTTTTCTAGATGAATCTGTGCTCCATCCCACTGCTTTTTAGATATTTGTTCGAGCCATGTCCATGCAGCATGGGGTGTGTCATGCCATAGCAGAATGGAAACCTTACTGGTGACTCCATCCATGACGACTTCCCAAATGACTTGTACGGGTCCTTCTCCGAACTCGTGAACAATAGATCTGACGGCCGAGTGTTGAATTCTGGCTTGCAGAGTGCGTACTTCATGACTGAGTTCTCCGTCCATTTCCCTGAGTTGTTGTAGCTGTTTGTCGATCAATGCAGAGTCAATGCTGGGTGCCTGCTGCCCTTGGTTTTGTTGCGGTTGTTGTCTGTCTGCACTGTCATTAATGTTGTTGGGGTTGTTGGGTGGGTTTGATTTGAGGTTGTCGAATCTTTGTAACACTTGATGCAACTGAATGGACTGTTGTTCAAGTCTGTTAATATGTAGAAAGAGCATGGCTTCTTCTGACTTGAAGTCTCCAAGTCTATTTGCAATGAGGTTTGATTTATGGTGACTGTCGTAAAGCAGGAACGTGACAAGTAGGAAAATGACCATTTGCAGGATCTGTGTGAGATTCAAGTTTGTGAGAGTTGTAAACGGCTTGGAGTCATGTTGGAACAGTTTGTGCCGGTTCTTCAAATTGCTGTTGCTGTTGCTGTTGTTAGAGTTGGAGTTGGAACGGTTGGGGTTTGAATGTTGTCTCTGGTTGTTGCCGTTGTTGTGGTGTCGACCGCTTGAGTCTCCTTCCATGGGCTTTCGTTGTCGCAGAGCTGTTGGTGTAGATTCCAAGTAGTCGTCGGCATGTCCGTGGGGACTTCCACGTCCATGGTCCACGATGGTCATTGGTTGACCCATATGCATAATAATATTATTATTATTATTCGATTCATTGGAAGTCCGCGACCAGTCAGGCAACACAGCAAGTCCTTCTCTGCCAGATGAAGACATGGCAGCTCTCATCTTGTGTCTGCCGCTGCTAGCGCTGCTAGTACTAGTACTAGTATTATTAATAGCATGGTTGTCTTGGGGAGGTGGCGGATTGATCAAGGGAAGTTCCGCTCCACGACTTCTGAAAAATCCCAAGCTCCCAGAATTACTGCCAATCCTCCCTCCTGCTTCACTCATGGAGAAGGAGGATTTCACAGGAACACCAGGTCGGCTTGTTGTGGAGTAGGTCATGGCGCTCCTCGAGTTTTTCAAAGCGGGGCGTTCAAAGCCATTGTCATCTTGACCATGGTGGTACGATTGGCGGGGCATGGCAAAGAAAACGAAATGATGCTGTGTTTTGTGTTTTGTGTTTTGTGTTGCGCGGAAGTCTTGCCGTGTCATTGCTCGATTGCTCGGACGTCGCTTGGCAAGCAGACAATGACTGAACCAGACATCCAATACCGCTTGTGACACCTTCAAGACCAAAGGTTTTTAAAAGAGGCAGCACGAAGAAGTGACCCAGTCATCAGAGTCACGTCAAGCTCAGATAGAGTCAGGGCTATCTCAACTACAATTAAAGCAGTGTAGCGGAATAAACATTCGGGCATAGCTTTGGACTTTGAATGATGGGTCCTCGGCGGGTGTTGGTCACCGATCACGAGTGAGTACTAGCTAGCTAGTAGTCCTGTACATCTGCCGGAAGCTTGGCAACAGGAGGATCCGCCAGAACCACCGGTCAGTGTTTCTATCATTACTAGTACGATCTATGGAGGTACTTTACAGACGAGTAAATGTACTGGTATGTCATCTTGGAAAAGTAGAGCATTACATGTACTAGCTTACCAGCCAGCAAGGGATAAGTATCAATCCAGCCCTCACAGTTTGAGCAAAATTGTGATCAAAGAAGTCCGGGCAGTACTGGCATCGTACATTACTAGTACGGTAGTCTAGCTAGCTGTTGTGCATACCGGTACCAAGTATCATTGTACGTGTATCTAATCATGCGCTGGATCAATCAACATGCTTTTCGTTCATGGAGCCCGCCTTATGATCGAGGCTCCCGAAGTTGTCCCTGCCCCGTGTCCACAGCAGCTCAACAGCTTTGCCTCACCTCAAGAGTTGACACTGAAACTTCCAAAATAAATCCAAAGATTTCTTTTCTTTTGATGTTTGATGTTTGATGGGGTTCTTTGGTGTTAAAACTTCCTGAACGCCAATCAGCACCCCACCCTTTATGTCATTTAATTAAGTACCAGCTACCAGACCAGTTGAGGGTAAAAGGTAAAAGAGACGCTCCATTATAATTTTGTTTGTTTTAGGTTTCGGTGATTAACATCCAGTTGAGGATTCGTTTAGGTTACTTTAGCTGACACTGAGCTGTTCATGGCGATCAGACGCTCGGACGTTTCACTAGAAACATCTTCCGTTCTTATATTTCGCAGCAGTTTCAAAGGGAGCACTGATACACCACCCTCTAACCCAGAATCTGATAGCTCCCAGATTCTCCAAGCTCACTTGAACCTTTCTCTGAGTACTTATTGATGGTGACATTCTGCTGTCAAACGAATGGGCACTTTCGTGTGCTTTGACTGCTTCCTTCCAGTCCAACCGAAGATTGACAGATTCTTGTTGGTCCTATGGGATCCTCGCCGTTCGCCGTTCGTATTGTGAGAATTTGCCTCCATTAGAGAATTCTACAGTAGTCTAGCTAGCAGTGGTCATGTACCGAAAGTATGGCATACCCGTACGGTGTGAACGGTACAAGACTGCAAGATCGACGAGAAGAGGCTAGACTAGACTAGTTGGCACAAACGAACGCATTCATTTTTCTACTAGGGTTTCTCACAATAGCAGTTTTTTTTTGTTTTAATTAAGTTTTTGCAAAGTTTTTGCAAGTTTTTGCAAAGTTTGCATTCCTCGACCATGAAGATCCTGAGCCGTTCTAGCGCTCCACGCCGCTCGTCTACGGCGAATTGGTTGGAACCAACGTCGTTTCGTCCTGAAGACTTGTTGGATGAACTGCAAGATGAAGAGGAGACGAACACGAACGGGGACGAGTTTAGCAACGGCAAGTCTGGAAACGGGACTACCGGTCAGTCCAAAGATGACAGCTTGACCGACTCTGAGACCATCAAGGAGCATTCCATGAACATTGAAAAGACCACCAAGCGCACACTGCTTGCCGCCTTGTTGGTCCTCATTGTGGGATCAGTTGCTTCCTGCTCGTTTCTCTACATGGGAATTTCCAACACCAAGCAAGACAACTCTGGCGAGTTTGAAAGGAGGGCCTCCGATTTGGCCAAGAGCATTGACTCGTCCTGGAAAGACTACGATGCGGCAGCCCTATGGTACGTCAGACGAACATCATACTACATGTATTATTGAGATGAGATTGGTTTTGCACCGTTGCTAACACTTACTTACTTACATACATACGGTAGGGTCCATCAAGCTTGTCGCAATTGGCGCACGGATAACTTTACCAGTGAAGACTTTGAAATTCTATACCACTACACCACTTCAGGAGGATTGGACTTTGAAATGGTGCAATGGAATCCCAATATCACGCACCAGGAACGACCTCAAATGGAGCGACAAGGACTGGATATTTGGGGTCCATACGCAGGATACCAGGGAGGCATCACTGGTTTGGAACCAGATCCTGCAAACCCAGAAGAGCTCGTATTCAAGAACAGGTCCGAACAGCCATTCTACTTCCCCATTCAGGTACGCATCACGAACCGGCACAACAGATTGGTCTCAATGCCTTGTTTGATTATCATTCTCACTCATTTCATAATCATATGTCATAATATGTCATAATACAGTTTGGAGAGCCAAAGGAACTCGTTGGAAAAGCCGGAAACTATGATGTGTACTCGGCTCCCTGGGAAGCAGTCACCATAGATAAGGCTCTACAAACGGGAGAGCCAGCGCTCACAGGAAGGTTCATGCTCGTGGGCACGGCGTCAGAAAACGCCGGATACAGCGTGGCACTGTATCATCCCGGCGCGCCTCTTCCAGACAAATTCAACTCAAAGCCAAGGGATCTCACGAGCCTTGTCGTTAGTATTGGGGCTCTTCTCAAACGGGCTGCACGCGATCAAGCCGTGACCCTATCCGTATACCTATTCGACAAGACTAACAACAAATTGGATCCTTATGTTGCTCCTCAATTCCTATCGGGAGTTGAAATCAGGGTCCTCCACGAGACAGTCCACCATGACCAACAAACAAACCAAACTACTACCACCACCACCATCACAAACCCACAAGCCGAAACCAGCTATGATGCACTCCACAAAGATACCGACCTATACTACGAACGAGAAATGGAAATCGGAGGGCGCGTCTGGACCGTAGTCGTAGTGCCAGTGCAAGGAACTTACGTCGCAGATCTCGCCTCTGTCGTCGTTAGTGGAGTCATGATCTTTGTCGCTTCTGCGCTTCTCGCCGTGTGGATGATCCACAACATGTACCAGTCCATTGCCATGCACAGAGTCATCACAAAGGCTGCAGCTGAAGCTTCCATCGTCTCCAACCTCTTCCCTCCAGCTGTCAGAGAACGCATGATTCAGGACGCACAAATCAAAGCAAGGCGACTCAAGGACCTCAAGTCCGCCAACAAACAAAAACAAAAAGATGTTTTTGTGAACGGAGAAACCGGAGAACGAAGTGTACTCTCCAAGTCGAGGCTCAATACTCTTCTCACCAGTGAAGGCATCTTTGGAAGCAAACCTATCGCGGAATTGCATCCATACACAACCCTCATGTTCGCCGGTACGTGAAGCAGTACTTGAAACATTACGGCAAACGTCACTGCCGTCATAATATGTGCTCACGCACTTGTTTGCTCTTCCAACCCAAAGATCTGGTTGGCTTTACAGGTAAGACTGCTTGCTTGCGAAAGATAGATGTTGGGTAGCGCTTGGCTCGACATGATCACTCAAGATCGCTGACATCCATTCTCTCTCCCTATTCTCCCATGCATAGCGTGGAGCAGTGTCCGAGAACCATCTCAGGTGTTTACATTGTTGGAGATCTTGTATCATAGGTGAGCATAGAGGACGCAAACCACGGATGCAAGCCCAACGAGTGAATATTGCTCTGACATTCTCGCCCATTCTCGGTCAACACTTGCGATGCAGTTTCGACATGATTGCGCAGCGACGGAGGGTGTACAAGGGTAAGAGAGCATTCTGGTATTTTGGCGTCGGCCTCTGCTAGTTTTCTTGAGCGCTTATTTACTTACTTGGTTTGCTTTGCGCTTCCAACTGAGCAGTTGAGACAGTGGGAGATTGCTGTAAGTTTGTCAAAGTGTGGTGAACATGATGGAAATTGGTCTTTCATTCATTCGCTTATCGATGCACGCATGAATCCTTGCAATCAACAGATGTGGCTGGTAAGCGCAGTTGGTTGGACCCGAAGGGCTAGAACGAATGGTGATGATAAGGGCCGTCATCCTCACGCTGTTCCTGCCGTCTGTGCCCCCTCTCAGTTTGTGGACTACCGAAGCCACGAAAGGACCATGCCGGTAGGTTGATCGTAGATTGTTGCAGCACGTTGTGTTCAATGGCACCTCAGTGTACTGACCATTGTTCTTTGCTTAGCCGTCATGGCGCGGTTCGCCAACGATTGCCTCAACAGACTGTTGAAACTGGTCAAGGCACTTGAAAAGAGCTTGGGTAAGAGTCAACGGCGACAAGGATTCAATCGGATCGGTCCTTGGTTTTGCGTTCCGAGGTTAGCTCACACGATGTGATTGTGTGATCCTTTCCCTATGCAGGTCCGGATACAAGCAATCTTGGTGAGTGACGAGACCGGCAACAGGACAAGTTCCTTGCACATGTACTAGTACGGAGTATGAACAAGGAATGGAATCAGCAGATGTCTCACATGACAATTGGTCTTCGTCTTTCGATCGGTTCAGGTTTGAGGATCGGTTTGCACAGTGGTCAAGTCGTCGCAGGCGTCCTGCGTGGTGATAAAGGTGAGTCCGATCAGAAAGGCATGCAGCTGTATATGCCGAGAGAGAGAGAGAGAGAAGCCGTGGACTCACACGACCTTGTACTGTTCTGGCAAATAGGACGCTTCCAAGTACGTCAATTAAGGAACCGTTTCGTTTCCTTTTGTTGTCGCAGCTGACGGGAAAGCTCACAAGAAATGATCCTCCTCTTCTTTACGTAGCTCTTTGGAGATGCGATCAACACTGGTAAGTACAAGTGCAACCAGCGACAAGACTGCTAAAGGGCATTGTCTGTTTCCTCATGCAATTTGTTTCCCTCCATCAACAGCATCACGCATGGAAAGCACTGGTGTTTGTAATAGGATCCAAGCCAGCTCCGAAACAGCGGAGTTGTTGATTCAGGGAGGACGTCAGAATTGGCTCATTCCACGGGACGACCTTGTGGAAGCCAAGGTGAGTTTTTGATTGTGACTTCTTCCTGGGACTGGGCAAATCCCCGAAACGCTCTTCACGTGTACCTTCTGACGCGCCACTATACTTGCCTAAACTCGACACAGGGCAAGGGCAAGCTGCAAGTGAGTTAATTTGTGGCGTGCTTCGTTGCTGTGGTTGGCTGATCATCGTGAAATCATCTCCATTGCATCTGACCTTGGATCATTCTACTTGTTGATCTATCGTAGACATACTTCATCCGGATCAATGAAGCGTCCAAAGCAAGCGATGTTTCGGACGACGGAGACGTTCTATCCTCTTCCTTCATCGGAGCTGCACCTGACGCAAATCTCGAAAAGATCAACAGACTGGTAGAATGGAATGTGCAAGTGCTCAGTGCCTTGCTGAAGAGTGTTGTAGCGCGAAGAGAAGCAATGGGAAAAGGATCAAGTTCTTCTAATTCTTTGATCAATACGGCGACGGGGACAGGCACAGGAATGGTCTTGGAAGAGGTGAAAGAAGTGATCACTCTGCCAGAGTTTTGCGCTGACACCCTGAAAAAGCAAGTGGACCCAGAATCCGTGGAGCTTGATGTGGAGGTAGTGGATCAGCTTCGTCATCTGATCACGAGGATCGCCTCTGGCTATCACTTCAATCCATTTCACAACTTTGAGCATGCGTCACATGGTGAGTCAACCAATGACCAATGACGAGACTTGGTGTTGCTTAGTTTGTCGCAGTAACTCATTATTTGTTCCCTTCCCTCCGGGTTGCATTCTGCAGTCACAATGAGTGTTATCAAGATGATGAGCAGGATCGTTGACCCAAAGCAACAACTTGCTGTGAAAAGACGCAAAGGCGACTATGACAAGGACAAGCTCGACGCCGAGCTCCATGACCACACTTTTGGTACGTCCGAACTTCAAACTCAAACTGCAGGCACCCCTTTTTCGATCGATCGTTAGGACGCAATTATTAAATAATCCCATGGGCCAAAGAAATCTCACACTTTCCCCACCAATTTTTAGGCATCACGTCAGATCCGTTGACTCGATTTGCATGCACCTTTAGCGCCTTGATCCACGATCTCGACCATTTGGGAATTCCAAATATGGTGTTGATCAAGGAAGAGTCTCCATTGGCGGAAAAGTATAACAATCTGAGTGTGGCAGAACAGAATAGGTACGTCCAGGACATGGCTTGTGACGGGATCACTCTGGCAGCATGCCGCTCACTTCCTTCATCTCCCAAAATATGCAGTGTGGATCTCGCGTGGAGCATGCTGATGGAGCCTCGTTACGAGAACCTGAGATCGTGTCTGTGCTGCGATGCCGAGGAGTTCACTCGATTCCGATCTTTGGTTGTGAACAGTGTGATGGCTACTGACATTATGGACAAGAATCTTGGAGCAGCAAGGAAGCAACGTTGGAATATTGCTTTCAATCCCGACAACTCCAATGGATCTCCTTGTCCTGATGACACCTGTGCAGTCAATAGAAAGGCAACAATCGTTATTGAGCATTTGATTCAAGCCTCTGACGTGTCTCACACAATGCAGCATTGGCATGTGTACGCCAAGTGGAACGAGAGACTCTTCCACGAAATGTACAAAGGTTACAAGGCAGGCAGGCTTGAGAAAGATCCTTCCGAAGGATGGTATCAGGGAGAGCTCGTAAGTTCATGCACGGCACTCTTCTGTATTAAATCGTGTTGCAAGGCAGTCATGCTCACGGTCTTTCTTTGCGGCTCCACTCGATGGATCACAGGGGTTCTTTGACTTTTACGTCATTCCACTTGCTAAGAAGCTCTTTACCTGCGGAGTTTTTGGCGTTTCCAGTGATGAATTCCTGAAGTAAGTTGTCTTCCTGTCGTTTGTGTGGTGCCCGATTCGTGCTATACTGTTTGCGTCGCACGGTATCGCTCACGGAATTGCATGGTTGCCTCCAAAGCTACGCTGAGATCAACAGGAAAGAATGGGAGCGTAAAGGACAAGAAATGGTCCAGCAGTATCTGATCAACTACAAGGAAAAGTATGAGAGCCCCGACAGTGGAGCCGTCGTTCCGTGATCGAGTATACTGAAACTTAGGGTTTCATCATCAGTTTTGAAGTTGGGTTTCATCATCAGTTTTGAAGTTGGGGTGTTTTTCATTTTTCATTTTCTAGTTTTTGTATGAACATTATAAGAAAGGTTTTAACTGTACATCCTACCAACACCGTTGCCTGGAGCAGACTAGCTAGCTAGCGTTGCATCCTTATTGCGAAACTTGGAGTGGAGTCTGTATGTCCTTCGAGGGACGAGACAGTCCTCGATCAGTGCGTGAAAGGCCACAAGCGCGCACCTCTCTCCGTTCAGGATCGCGTGGCTCGGTCTCCATCCACTCCCACGCTTCCGAAAATTTGGCCTCCAACGTTTTCGATTAACTCGATAATTTGCCTCTTCCACCAGTTTAAAAGAATCGCGAAGTACTGTACCTGGTACCAACTGAAGCTAAGTCGATCTGATCTCCATGGCCGCAATGAGTCTAGTCGTTCTCCCTTAATTTGAAAGAGGGTTGTGGAATGGAAGAGGCAATACGGAATCTCTTGCTAACATACTTTAGTAGTTGCCTAAAAGGTTAGGTCTCGCGTTCCCTCGATTCGACCTTCTTATTATTGATCATCATGCGAGATTGTCAAATCGACCTTGTCGCGGTGGGCTTCGAAGACCGTCGACAGGAGCAGCCACATGCACGGAAAGATTCCACTTGCAAAGGCCTCCTTCTGATTGTAATTCTACTCTGTGCAACCTTGTTTTGCTCTATCGGCTCCATGATTGGAGATCGCCCAGAGCTGTTACGAGGGTTGCAAACCGAAACGGGAATCGAAGAGTCTGCCGATGCTGATACCAATGCTTATGACTATCCCGTGATGAACAACCAACCGCCGACAAGCTCTGTTGAGAACAGAAGGAAAGCAACAGGCATGATGTACCCGTACCTAACAATGCAAACACGAAATCGAAATCGAAATCGAAATCGAAATCGAGCGCAACGACATCGTCGTGTCCTTGAAAAGCCTCGCCTGAACCTAGTCGTTAGGGGGTCACAAGAAGAGAAAGACCGAGCAGAAGAAAGGTTCTGGACGGAAAGTAGCACTGAGGGAGGCACGGATGATGGCGGCCCAGGGCGCTTGGTCATCTTTGGAGGGGAAATAACGGGACCAGGCATCGCAAGGGCAACGACAGCAAGCAGTATTCCTTCTTCGTTTGCGAATCCAACAACGCTACCACCAGCAAGAGCAAGGGCGTACCCTACAATAATACAATCGGGAGCAGCTGAGACTCCAACAAAACTAACCCGAGGCGTTGCTCTACTGTCTCAAACAGCAACTGGAGGTCTGGAAAAGTCACTCAGTCGGCCAAGACAACAAAACGGTGGGAATGGTCGCCCGCCCAGGCCAGATGACGCTCAGGTTCAGAGTGAGTCTCTTGGCACAACATCACCATCGCCATCACGAGCACCGTCACGTGCACCGTCGTCGTCGTCCTCCTTTTGGTCCTCGTCTTCATCATCACCATCGTGGCGCTCATCCCTAATGCCAACAAACTATCCAACGACTTCAGGCGAAGCAATCGAGAGCGATGGCTCCAGCAACGTTTTTATTCGTCCTGCCGCGACAGGTTCAAAAAACACGAGGCCTGCAAAGTTTACAACTAGCTCGTCCTCGTGGAGCCAGGCAAACGATGTTACAAGCAGCCCAACCCCAGCTCTGACCGGAAGCATTGCTCCAAGCCAAACTGAAAATCCGAGTCAAAGTGCTGTGGCAAGGCCAAGCATCGATCAAACACTGAGCCCTACATCAGAACCAACTCAAGAACCTACATCGGAGCAAAAGCTTTCCATGAAGCACATGGAAGAAAACCCTTCAAAGAAAATTGGCCGAGAAATAGCAACATCTGAGTCAGACCTATCACTATCGCAGGGGAAGTATGTGATGGATTTATTGGAGACTTGGCTGTCAACATCTTCGAACCCACAAGCAGATTTGGCTTCGTTGCAGCATCTTTTTGCCAAATTAACGCCTGCTCCCACAGCGAGTCCATCTGGTGCACCATCTACACATGCTCCATCAGATTCGCCTATAACGCTTACTCCAACATCTGGTCCCGTCACGAATCCCACATGGATGCCCACGGCAATGCCAACATGGCAACAAACAGAACTTCCAACTGCAGTAGGAACTACATGGATGCCCACAACCGGGCCAACGGCAGGCACAGCGGCAGACTTGGATCAAACAGTGATTCCATCAACAGAAACGAGTATTGAAAATATGGAACAAACTACTGATTCAACTGTTGATCAAACAACCTTGGAAAGTCAGTCTGTTACGATTCTTGGTGAAGGTGCGTCACCCAATCCGACCAATGATCTTCGTCCAAATGTACTACAAGCTTCCAGCAACCCTGCATCAGAGCAACTCTTGGTATCTACGGCCGCACCAACAGACTACAGCTCAGATGATCCATCCTCTGATCATTCCTCTGGTCCTCCATCACTTGGGCAATCTGATGGACCAACCCAAGTCACAGCTTCTGAAGCCAACGTAATATCTGTTACTCAAAGCCCATCACCATCACTTGGTCCAAGTTCTGCACCATCACTTGGACCCAGCCCTGCACCATCACTTGGACCAAGCCCTGCACCATCTCTTGGTCCAAGCTCTCGACCATCACTTGGTCCAAGCTCTGCACCTTCACTCATACTAAGCTCTGAACCATCACTCGAAACAAGCTCTGCACCGTCACTCATACCAAGCTCTGCACCATCACTTGGACCAAGCTCGACACCATCACTTGGACCAAGCTCTGCGCCATCCTTCACGCCGAGCATTTCCCCATCTCTTGGACCAAGCTCTGCACTGTCCTTCACTCCAAGCATTTCCCCAACTCCAGCACCAACCATGCCATCAAAGCTTGAAGCCTTTTTGCTGTTGGTTCAACAAGCCATTGACCCAAGTCCTCAGCCAACACCCCTTCTGTCTTCTGCTCCAAGTGCCTCCAGTGATGCTACAAGCCAAGAGCCGTCATTTTACTCGAGCCCATCTGAGAGCCCATCTGTTGAATCATCTCTAGGGTCAAGTGCTGGTACTTCTTCAAGCTCATTGCCATCCACTGGACCAAGCCAAGGCCCATCCCCAAGCCCAACCATAATTCCAACTGCTGCACCAGTTCAGCCTTCAGATGTACAGCAGGCATACATGCAAATGTTCCACCATGAGACTTCAGTGCCAACCTCAAGCCCCTCAAAATCATCTATACCAAGCTCGCCTCCCTCCGAGTCCTCAGCGCCAACAGCACCCCAGAATCAGTCTCCTACCCCGAGTCTGGAGCCAAGTGGTTCAGCTTCTCTCCCAGCCAATCATGTAGAACTAGTTGGAAATAACGGGGAACCTGCCACTGCCTTTCCGTAAGTAAGCTTGCTTGCTTGAAGTTGGGAATGTGCTTCTTGTTAACATTTTCCTTCGCCTCTCTTCAATTCGAAGGCTCGCTCACTGTCAAGGAGACTGTGACCAGGATGGTGATTGTGCTGGAAATTTAACATGCTGGCAACGCAACTCCAATGACTTTGTTCCCGGATGTGTGGGGGGTGAAACACACAACAAGGATACTGACTTTTGTGTGCTTCCCGAGGATCTTTTGCCTTTGCTCATGGCTACTCCTTTAACAGCAGTAGTGGAATCAGTTAGTTCACACAATCAAACCGCCAACCAAGTTGAACGGATTGGCAACAATGGTGCACCTGCTAGTGCTTTTCCGTGAGTGCAGAACAATTTTTTTCAGCCACTATTCAATGCTCGTGTTCATAACTAACATTTCTCCTACTTTGACCAATGCGCCAGGTTGCCCCACTGTAAAGGAGACTGTGACTATGATGAAGACTGTGCTGGAAATCTAACTTGTTGGCAACGGAATGCCAATGAAACTGTCCCTGGTTGTTTGGGAGGTGAAACTTTCAATGAGGCAACCGATATCTGTGTGCTACCAGAGGATGCACTTGCTAGCCAGGAATCATTTAGTCCACAGTCACTACAAGATGATCTTGTTGAGAGAATTGGGAATGATGGTAAACCTGCCAGTGTCTTTCCGTAAGTAGAGCAAAGGTGTCTTGAAGATGGTGTGCAGGCTTCTAGCATGGTTCTCAAAGAAGCTATTTCGAATCACCTTTTCCTCTTGACCGCAAAAGTCTGCCTCGTTGTAAAGGAGATTGCGATTATGATGATGAGTGTTCTGGAGATCTAATATGCTGGCAACGTAATGCAAATGATTATGTCCCTGGATGTGTTGGGGGTGAGACCTTGAATGATGGTACAGATGTCTGTGTTCTCCCGGAGGACACCCCGACACAAACACCAACCAGTTCCCCTGGCACTCCCAGTTGACAACCGTCTCCATAAATGACATCCTGGTCGGTTCATGGTCCTTCCTGCCAATCACGAAGCTAAAAGATGCTCCTTGCTGGCAACAACAATGCAAGGGGCACAGCCCATGGCAACGGCAACGGCAACATGATTGTAGTGTCAGCCATGTGTTCTCTTGTTGTGCCTAGCTAGAGGCAGCTCAAATCTTTCGCTAGTGTATGATCGGCATGCATCTCTCTGTGACTGTCGCGAGCATGCACTTACACAACTTGAAATTGACGACGCGCAGCCGCATCGATGGTCGTACATGTACCGTACAGCTCCCATCCACAAGAAGGAAGCAATGCTTGACAACGGAGGACGAACCTGCTTGGGACTGGTATACTGGTATACCGACCGGTTGTACATGTACCGTAGCTCTTGACGATCTCATCATCCTCACCATAAAAAATTGAAACTCCTCGAGACAAAATTGCCACTCTAAAACTTTGCTGCTTAGTTACATTGGTATCACTTGCTTGCTCGACTTCGGATCCAATGCTGCATACATGGATGCCGCGACACTGGACGATCGACATAGTATTTGTCAGTTGGGGGGAGGTCTTGTCAATCCTGTGTACCAATCAGCCTTGCCACCTGTGGAGGAGCAAGGAGGCAGATCTATGCATACATAGCACTCGATTTGAGACTCTCTCCTAAATCGAATCTAATGTATGGCGTGCCAGCCAAGCAGAGGTCATGCATATGAACGTACCGTACCATCACGAAGATCTGTCTCTCTTAGTTAGGTTCTCTTGCTCTTGACGTTTGGTATCTCAGTCCCTCCAGCTGTTCCTCCAGTGGCGACTATCTGTCTCTCCGTCGTGGACCATGGAGGAGGTGAAGATTATATTAAACCGTCTGCCTCTTAAAACAGCTAGCTAGACTAGCTAGCTACATGTAGAATGTATCCAAGCATACCAATGGAATAATTGTATTGTGCGAATGCTAAAACGTGGATGGTACAATCGTAGCCTGGTAGCTGTCGTCTGCTTGGAGATCTTGGAGTCACACTGCTTGGACACTTTATGGTTTTCCGCTGTACCAATCCAATGGCCTCTCTCTTTAGGCATAAGTGCTACTTGTAGTTACTACTACTATGATAGTATGGTGAAGCGATACTTAGTTTGGAATTAGAGGAGTTTTTGATGTCTTTCTCATTGTTCAATTGAGCAGCGTCACTGGTCACTGAGTTTAAGTGTCTGGAGACCGGTACTCGTATGCTCTTTTCGGTGTAAGTTAACTCGGCCAGGCCTTTGTTCGATTCGATTCTTATCACTTACTTAGTTATGCATACTTATTCACGTACTCCAGAACTCTTGTGCTCTTGTACCGTACAACCGTACAAGGATGCATTACTTCTACTGCACTTCTCCCGTGTCAGCGCACATTAGATCTATCATACAGCTCACCCCAATATCCAATCCTCATAAACTTTTTCTCGTTGAGTTTTTTCTTCTTTCGAGTGTTACTGGTACAGCCTTCGATCCTCTCCTCTCCATCAGCCCACTCATCACTCACTCACTCCCACACTACTAGCAACTACAGCACTAGCTAGCAGTATGAAGGTGTTCAAGAAGCTCAGGAAGTCGATCAGTGGTCAGCGCGATCGCGTGACTTCGACTTCCACGGCGACTTCGACTGTGAATGTAAATCCGTCAGTCCAAGACTTTTTCACGGTCAAGGATCTCAAGCAAGCGCTCTTAGGCAAAGGTGGCAAAAAGAAGAAGAAGAAGAAGAAGAAGAAGAAGAAGACGTTGTCCATCAGCACAGCAAGCACCGAAGGCACCGTGGAATCTGCAACGGACGACTCCCACTGCGCTGATGAGTCACTAGTAGAACAAGTCCCGGACCACGATGCTCTGGCGTGGAAACTCTCCAATCTGGATGTGGCCAACAGTGAGCCTCAGACCATGGAAATGGAAGTCCAGCGTCTCACCGCGTTGCAATCCTACTTTATACTCGATGCTGAAACTTCCGCCGAATTTGACAGGATCACCGAAATGGCCTGCAAAGTGTTCAACGTCCCTGTCGCGTGTGTCACCATGATTGATCTGGGGCGTCTTTGGTTCTTGACCGCAACAGGCATTCCCAATGCCAATGGAATCGAAGCGCCGCGAAAAGTCGCCATTTGTGCTCATGTCGTCAAGACAAATCTCTCGTGTCTCGTCGTACCGGATGCCTCCAAGGATGAGCGCTTTCGAGATTCGCCACTCGTCGCGGATCCCAATGGTCCCGCCATTAAGTTCTACGCAGGAGTTCCCTTAAAAGTACCGGAAGGAGCCAAGCTTGGAACCTTCTGTATAATTGATCAGAAACCACGGCATGAACCATTCACGCAAAACGATCAGCAAGTATTGCAGGATATGGCCGCTCTGGCCGTTAATGCTTTGGTGGCTCGTCGCAACAGACTACTCAAACAAGAACAAGATGCCAAAATGCTAGAGTTGGCGGAATCATACGCCGAAATGCACAGTTGCCTCTGCAAGGCACAGTCCTGTGTACAACGATCTTCCTCTGTTGCCAGTAAGTCCAGACGGTCCTCGGGATTGGGCAGTTTCACTGGCGACAACACCATTATTTGGGAAGAGACCAAGAGTACTGACGGTCATGTACAGGACGATCAATATGTCGATCACGATCACCAAGACGATGACAGCACGTTTCACTCCACTGTCTCGTTTGAGGCACTCGCAGATGAAATCAAACTGCAAGCGGACATTAGTGCCGCAAATGCCAGAACCATCGTCATGGAAGCCACCGAAACAGCGCAATTCGAATTCGAAAATATGCAAGTCTTGGAAGATGCCGATGCGCAGGAGCTACAAATCGCCAAGAAACGCATTCCCCCGGCGTATGTGCGACTCCTTCAACAAAATCAAAACAACAACAACAACGGAGAAGACAACTTTAGCGTGGGATCGCGCTCGCTACGAAGCAAGGGAACTGGTAACCATGCGCACACGAACAATAAGAAAACTGTGGATGCTCCTGACAGTATTCATGACGCTGTCAATGCCATGGACGTGTTCCAAAACCTCAACGATATATGTTCCCGGTTCACACGTCCCGTCCCCATCTACTTGGAACTGCTGGGAAATGTACCAGTGACAATGCACTGTCGTGGTTCCGACTTGCTGATCTTTCAAGCCACCATGTCACTCCTGGCCAATGCGAATTCTAGAATACACAAGTGGGATACCGACGAAGACGATGGTATGATCCACCTCAAACTCAAAACAATCAACGGTGGAACCACGCTTGTCGTCGAGTGTCAAGACACGGGATGCTTTGCTGCGGAATGGGAAGGATCGATGGAATTCCACAATCCGCGTTCGTTACTGTACCCAGTGCGGAAAATCAGCAGGTCCCTAGGCGGAGACTGCGGAATGAGGTTGGGTTGTTTTGCAGAAGAAGACGGAATGGGAGATTCCAAGGCTGGACACATGAGAGCGGATGCCGAACAAGCGGGAGTCGAGCTACTGGATGATGTCGAACACGAGCAACAGTATTGTATCTTTTGGTGGAGCATGCCGTTGGTGATGATGGGGGGCGCAGACGATGGACTGGACGGCTCGGATAGTTTGAACTCTGCGACAGAAGAGGAGAGGGAGGAGGAGGAAGAGCGCCAGACCATCTTGAAGGTACACGAATCCACTGGGAAAAGAAACAAGTAGAGAAGAGTTGATACCGTACAGCGCACAGTACACAGTACACTAACTTGTGCAAAGATATTAAAATGCACATAGCTGAGACTTCTTTCAAGGTCAATCGTAATGTGTGAATTGAATCCTTGATCGTTCTACAGCATTAGAGCTTCCCTTAGTGGCTGATGGGCTCTCTCTGATCACAATACCTGCCATGATAGCCAGATAATGTCTATGATCTACATACTAACCCCCGTGAGGTATCGTACCGGTACAGTATCTGTCTCTGGGCCGCATCTACCCAATTTTCAAAACTAGAAACATGCCACGTCGTCAGTTTTCCACGGTCGCTGCACCTTTCTGAGCTCACTCTCCAATGTTCAAGCCGTGGTTTTCAAGTTGGCTGCTTCTGTCTTATCATTGTGATAGCCTTGACGAAGCAAGACACCTTCATGATGCATGTAGTCGTCTATACTCGAGTACCAGGTATGATCTTACATGCACAGTAGTACTTGGATTGGTGAACTACAACGGTGAATCATTCTCTCTGTGGTGCTGTCGCTTGCCTTGCCTGGTGAAGTCCGGTTTCTCATTGCCCACTCCACTCTATCATTACTACGGTAGTATTACGGAAGTACACTCTGCCAACCTATCTACCCATTTATGTCTCCGTGGATCCCGCAAAGCCAAACCCTTTGCCCCCCGTAATGGTCCTCAATTTCTTGCCCCTGATCCCACAGAACCTAGTCCTGAATTTCAACTGTTCTTTGCTTAAGCCTGGCCCCGGCTGGCTTCCGTAGATAATTTCCCTACTCTAAAACCCCCTATATATGTACGGAGTACTAGTATCAGCATGATCACAAACGCCAACAAGGAAGAGCTCCTGGCGTTGCTCGAGAGAAAACACAAGTGGCAAACAGTTCTCTTTGAAGATTGGAGGATCCAATGTTGGCATCGCAGACAGCTGTGTTAAAATCGAGACTATGCCCTATCCACCGCTTCCTCGAACACCCTCATACCACACACTTCATCACTGGTACCGGTATTACCGAAGGCAGCCCTACGTACCGGTACCGGTATGCCAATTGTGATGCACAAGTTTTATTTTATTTACAGGGATAGGGTGGGATCTGCATTCCTTACGCCATTCGTGTACTTGAATCGGCGGATAAAGGATCACTTGCAAGTTCCTCATTTTCATCGATGGTTGCAGTCACAGTGCTGAAAGGACGGGAAGAGGAACACTCTCCCAGTTCTGCTTTGGATTCTAAGGTTCCAAAGGAGTTGTGAGAGCCAGGCTCAGGGTCAGTGCCGTACTGTTGGTCAAATTCCGCATTCAGTTGTCCCACAAAGCTGTCAGCCATTCCGTTGCTGGTGCTCGTTGCCCCAGACATATCCATTCCAGGCAAAGGAAAGCTGTCGTTCATCCCGCCAGCTGGCATGCTCTTTCGGACACTGCTTCTCGTACATGAAAAACTTGAGGCGTGAGTGTTCATAGTTGGACCAGGCAACGTCATGCCGCTGACCCTCACGTTGCTGCATCGTCCAGAACCACCACTGGGGCTTGACTTGCCAAGCTGGCGCAGATGCACCATCAAGGGAACGAAAATGTTCAAAAGCATCGTGATCGACAAGCAAAAGATCAGACCAACCTGCAGGAAGTATCTTGCTGCAACATTCTCAGATTCAATCAGGAACAACACGGGCAAACCGACAAGGATAACTTGAAGCCAGGTGTACACAGCAAGTCCAAGCTGCTTCGACTCGGAAAAATCACCCGAGATGTTCCTCGCTTTGTAAGCCTCGAACGCAGTCACGACCATGGCAAGCACGTTGATTCCGACAGTCACGCCCTGCAGGGAGTCTCCAGTTTTCCCGGAAGAACAAATACCATACGTGTTCCAGATCTCGCCATCCACAGACCGTCTCTCAAACACCATTGGATCAAGGACTGTCCAGATGGTCAGCACAAGAGCATTGAAGACAAACAGCACCGAGAAGAACTTGAGCGCATCACTTTCCGAAACTGTGATTCGCGCAAACTGCTGCCGGCCTCCAAAGAGCCTGTTGATTCTCCAAAGCTTGGACCAAAGGGCTGCAAAAGTCACGGTCCAACCCATGCTGACGAACCAGGGAAGACTCATGCAGGCACGGTCGCACCAAGCCAACGACACAATTTCATCATCCAAGCTCAGCGAGCCCATGGCCAGTGAGATGAATCCAACACCGCCACAAATCATGCCCAGGAAGAGAGGCTGCATCTTTTGAATGCACCGAGCTCGCTTGTGATAATGTGTCCAAGCTCCAAACGCCAGTGCAAGCAGCATTGACACTATCATGGCGGAGAAACCAACATAGCGCATGTTGCCGAGCTGGTTGAACTCGGGGCTTGGTGTCACTCGCATGAGAATGTCAAATGTAGCATCCGAATTGTCCACGCAGCCCGGAAAGTTCCCCCCATCGAGTACCCCAAATGAAACAGTCCCCAAGGCTGTACCAGCTTCCAAGTGTTCGGCATTGACAGCGAAATTGAGAGCCAAGCTCTCCCCCGGTCGAAGGAGGGTGGGCTCGCCGTCCACGGACAACTGTAGATGCTCTTCGAGGTCCTCATTGGGAAAACTTCCACCAACGGCGGTGCCGTTGTTCTGCTTGAGGCCAGTCGCCCACGTCAGTGTCATCCAATTATTCGGAATGCTTTTTGGTACAACGCGGAATGCCTCGAGTTCGCGGTTAACCAGAAGGACGCGCCCCGCTAGCCATTGCGCCACCCCAGATTCCGCAGCAAACTCGAGCTGTTCATCGGAAAAGGCAACGTGTGTAGAATTGGGGCACTTGGAGCAAGACTGCAACGCTTCTACCCAATGCGTTTGGGAAGGACATCCTTCTTTTGTTTGTATCAGATTGAGCGGTTCTGTGGCCATTGTGTTGTTTGTCAAGCGCCCCTGGCGGGATGCGTCATAAGGGGTATCGAGTGACGACAGGTAATCTCCCACGATATTCTGATGTATATCATCCGAAATCATGCCGGCAACTTCTCCTTGCACCACAAGACCTTCTCCCAAGAGTGATGGATAGGGATCATAGGCTCCGCAGAGGTAGCTATCGGTCGCAAAGGAGTAGTAGTTGAGGCGCTCAATGGGTTGATATGCTTGAGTTTGTTCGTCCCAAATGTCAATGCTAATGACCCGGTGCTCTTGGAGTTGTGTGTTGTACACGATCTTCATGCCACTGACTTGAAGCAATCTTCCCCCATCCTGCGTTTCTCCCGATTGAAAAGTGGCAGCGCCCATGGAATAGTCAATCAGCTTGAATAGAACGAACCGGCAGGTTTTGTATTTGATACCGTGGTCTGTAGTAGTACTGTACAGAGTTCTACACAGACCGGCGGTTACAAATACAAACCAGCCGTTATTCGTTCCTAACAAAACGAACCGGTACTTAGGGCCGGCTGTGCCCCATCGGTCTCCGGCCTGACCATCGGGCTGTCGGGCTTGCGCCCTCTCTTAAGCCCTCGGTCAGACCTCCGACCTTGGGTCCCTGCCTTATCCCTAAGTAACCAGGTTCGTTTTTTATAAAAGAGACCCCGGTCATGACACCCTGGCACATGGTATTTGGAAATGGCTAGAGTGACGAGTCGAGTCAATACGAAAAGTGTGAGAAAGCGGTGCTTCCTATTCCATCCATCCATCTACCTGCAGCGTCCTTGGCAACTTACCAGAGTACTCCAAATGTTTGACACAGTGACATTGCCTGCCGGCCATCCACTGCCTCTCAATCCTCCCGAAGTAACGAATGCTACATGAGCATTGGATTTCCAACGAAGAGCGTCAGCAAAAAGGTTCCCTTGCTCGCATTCGCCCCCCTTGCAGCGTCTGTAGTCTCCTTCGCGAGCCACAGGCATTTCGGAAGAGAGTCCAACAATGGGATCATTGGCTTCAGCTTCATCTGCGAGGGTCCGGATGAACGCAATGTCCTGCATGTACTGGTCATCCTTCATTTCGTCCGTGAGATCATCTTCTAGGTCCAGGATGGTGTTTGTAAAGTTGGAGATTCGCCCAGACTGTGGTTGAATGGTCATGGTGTGCTGAAAGTATCCTCCGGCCGAGTATCGCATGGAAGTAACCCACATGGAGGAAGAAGAGGGAAGAATGGCATTAGGCGTAACAACTTGCAGAGGTTGGGCAAACGTAGCATTGACGTCATTTCCAGCCCCATCAATGACAGCAGCGGGCGGGTATTCGAGAAGCGCCATGGCGTCGATCGTCTCTTGAAAGACATCTGGCTCGAAATCGCTCAAGTAAAGGACGGGAGTCCAGCAGTTGGTGTTGCTGTCGATGGCGTCTTGTTTCCAGGTCATGTTGACAACTGCGGTGGTGATAGTGCGATCAGAACCGGTGTGGTGCGGTGGTACGGGATGGTCTCGTAGGTATCTGTCGTACAAACTGGTGGAACGAGTAGCGGCACAGCCTCTGAGTTCGTTTTGCTTGGCGATATCCTTGAGCGCAGTTCTAACGGCCGCAATCTGATCTTGACTGCTCATGGGTTCGCCGTTTCCTGCCAAGCACATGATGGCCAAGTTGGTTCCACTAGATGTATCGTAGTGAACGCGTTGTACGTAAGGATGCCAGCTGACTGACGGCGGGACCTCAGCATTGGTGAGTACAAGAGGAAACGAATGAGATTGCAAATCGGAAATGTCACGTTGACTGACGATAAAGTCGTCCTTATGCTGCAGCAGCAGAGAAGGCGAGGAACTGAAAAAGTCAAGCCCGTAGTACTCGTTGAGTACGAGGCGGTTCGTGGCCCAGCCCAGTGGATGCGTTTGAACGAACTGTGACTGCTTGTCCAGTCGGTGCATCGTCAACGTGGGGCCTTCAGTCGCGTAATACCGCTGAAACGCTGCCGTGGCTGCAACGCCTCCTCGACACGACGAGACATCTTCAGGCGAACAATCAGAGAGACTGCGGCCTCCAAACAACGGCGCAAAACTTCCCACCAGGTGGATCACACTTGCTTCTTGTGCTTGTGCTTGGCTGTTGCTACTGGCAGTGTCATTGTTGTCATTGTCATTGTCATTGTCATTGTCGCTCATCTTGGCTTATTGCTTGTTGAACAGATCTGAACTTGGCAGAGAGAGATCGAGTAGTGCTACTAGCTAGTAACTAGTGGTAGTAAACGTAATACTGTTGTTTTGAATAGAATGATCGAAGGGACCCGAGTGAAAATTTGGGCGGACAAAAATAATGATGAAAGCGGCAAAGGAACAGAACACGCGCTTCCAAGACATCATCTTTAGCTTACCATTGGTGTCGTCGGTCGTCGGTCTTACTGGTAAAACTACCAGACCAGCGGAAGCGTTGTTCAACTCTTATTACATGACAATGTAGTTAGTTAAACTAGAGGTGTTGCTTTGCTACATGCAACCTTGTAGCCAAAGCAGCTCAGAAACCATGTTGTTCATTCGTTCTTCAGCTGTCACGGTGGCACGCAGTTATTACCGACAGGAATGGCATGAATGCATGGAATCAACCCCCACAAGTTGGCCATCCCTGCAGAGAATGGCTTCTTTTCATCTCGTCCGAACCATTCAGCATTGACTGTACAATAGTCTGTACAAGTGGATCATTCAGATTACTGGGTAATAGGAAGGGAACGGCGAAGCATAAATCTGACCATCCAGGTCAAGTTTTTCAAGTTTTTCCTGCGACCACCTGCTCACAAACCAAGATGCAGTGGCAGAGCAGCCACAGCGCTCCCAAAAGTAAAAGGTGACAGTTGCTTTCACGATGCGAAGTGGCTACCCCAATTGCAAGACTCTCTCTATTAATAATATAATAGATGAAGGCACATGAGCCACGTGTACCGTACCGGTACCGTATAAACGCTAGAGTATGCTAGCTATGATACAGTGTACCAGCCACATTTTTAATAAAAAATTGGAATGTATGTGATGCAAAGAAGAGCTGGCTGCTCTGGCTAGCTCGACAACCACCAACGGCCTAAAAAGTCTCACCTACATGTACATGTACATGTGTCTGGTTGCCTGCACCCCGCCAGCCGTAGAAACGCAGCAGCGCAGTAATAAAACACCACCCACCGGTTGACCAGCCACACTACTCTAGCTAGTAGTCTAGCTAGTACGACTGTATGATGACCAAAGGCACTTCCTGCCGGGGTCTGGGTTTTGCTTCTCACTTCTCACTCCGAATCGAATCACTTTCAAAGCCAGCCATGGAACGCACAACGGAAACTAGACTATAAGCTAAAAGCTACTGCACTGAGTATGGGAAAGATTACTGCAGGGCTCCAAGCAAACAGAGAACCGGTAGAGGGGGAAGCCAAGGTCTTCTCCTCTGCTTACGGGCTACCGTACTAGACAGCTACTCCCGCATCCACGCATCCTCCTTGCGGTCAAGCAAAAACTAACAACTGCATACATGTGTTGGCATTGGTGATCCAAGCTTGGTTCCGGCAACGATCAAAGAAGGACCCAAATAGTCAGAAAGCAATCTTGTTCCGCTGCAAATGCGGCAGCTGCTTTTCGTGTCCTTTGTGTGTGTCCTACTTTATAAGGAAGGCACGCTTCCAAGAAGCAAGTACCATGGTACTCTGTATCGTCCACGCTGGAAGGCGTCGGGGCAGCGGTACTCCAGAAGCTGTTGCTTGATGGACTGCGTACATGCATGAGAAGCGCCAGCAAGCTAGTAGTCTGGCTCCGCAGGCCCGGTTGGACATGTACGGTAGGTTACCATCGTACTCTCATCGTCGTGAATGTAGTCTAGTAGTGCTACTTTTGCATGGTGGCGAAAACCACAACGGCGACCACCAGGACCGCAATCACCATGAAAACACACATCGCAGCCAAAAACATTCTGTACCGTGCATTTTGGTCCTGAATGGCTTGCAGTTGCTTTCGCTTTTCTTCACGAGTCACCAACTTGCGCCCTTGAGAGTCCCTCATACATGCCTCCTCATCTTCCAATTCAAATGAAGCGTCAAACTCGGCTTCGCCGTTCACACGAGGAGGGGCAAGGGGGTCATCGGCTCTGTGGCTGCTGCGCCTCTTTCCCTTCTTCTTGCCGTGTTTGGAAAACGAAGAAGAAGACGTTGATAATCTTCGTGGTGACAAGGGTGAAGAAGATCGACGATGTTGCTTCGGCGGGGAACTGCTGCGCCGTCTGGATTTCTTCTCGCCTGACTGCTTCTTTCCTTGCTTCTCTTGGTCGTCCTGAGGTTGTCTAGCCGCTTGCTCCTGTCTTTCTTCCAGAGTATGGCGGCTGTTCTGTTGCACCAATGCCGGCCCACTGCTGTTGTCGTTGCCAGGGCTGTTCTCAGTGTCATTTGCAGGAGCGGATTCGGTGGGTGAAGGAGCGTTATTGTTGTTGCTGTCGTCATTGTCATCGTCATCACCCCTACCGTTGGGGGAGCTCCGGTTGTACCTGGCGACTCTCCCGTTTCCATCCGCAGCAGCGGCTTCCAAGGGCTGCAGTTCCGTCTTTTTCTTTTTCTTCTTTTTCTGTAGCGGTGCAGTGGACACCTTTCCTGTATCGAGGTCTCGGAACCAGAGAACAGCCTCTTTCTTCTTCTTCGGTTTGCTCTTAGTGGTAGGATGATGGTGTGAAGCTGGTCGCTGGTGCTGTTGGACGGGAGGTCGCAGCGCCTGACTTGTAGTTTGCGGCTGATGTGCCGAGGCTGCTGACAAGCGCTGCTGCCGCTCTGATGGTTTCCCAGTGAGAGGTTGTTGCGCCAAAACGACTGGGAGTGTGAGCTGGGATGCAGCTGATTCATCTTCAAAGACTAGTGTTCCATACAAGTCTCGACTGTCATGATGGGTGTCGTCGTTGTGACGTCGGTCACTCCTCATGGTTGAGTTTGAGTTGTGGTATGTAGCGTAGTCACTGTTGCGTTCGGAGAAGGGGAGACTGAGTTGGGATAGACCATTGGCGTCGGGTGGGTCAATGGTGCCACCAGGAGGATCAGGACTGGAGGGACTCCTTTCTAGTGTTTGAATACTAGCACTGGTATGGTGAAATCCGTTAGGACTGGTAGGCGGGGGATCATTAAATGCTCTTGGAATACTGTTTTGGTGATGAGATGATGTTGGAATCAATTCATTGTTGTTGTTTGCGTCGACAAGATGCTCCTCCTCGTCCTCCTCCCGAAACACGCCGTCATCATCGGACGGGTCGTATACGGGAGGATCTGCTGCGTGTACGCGTGGTTGATGTTGGTTATTCTCGGTTGCGACTAGTTCGATTTCCTCTTGCCAGCTTTGTTGCCACTGTTGTTGTTGTTGTTGTTGTTGGACCTGTATGGGTTGGTGTGTTGTTGTAGTTTGTAGTGGAGGAGGCGGTGGAGGTTGTTTTCGACTTTTGCTGGTATGAGCAGGCATCTGTATGGGTGCGACAGGGGAGAGCGGGGCACCTCTGGCTCGCTGTGTTTGTCGTTCTGGCGTGGATGGTGGAGGTTTGAGATTGTTGTGGCTGTTGTTTTGGCTGTTATGGCTGGTGAGGTTACTGTTTTGACTTTGACTTTGCTGACTATTAATACCAGTAGTACTGATGCGATGACTATTGAGACTGTAGAG